TAAACCTATACGGCTCTAGTATGCTAGTATTGCTAATAAGTCTATATAACGAGCCTCTTCTTTCTCGTACGGCTCGTATCTAGTCGGTAGTAGTGCTTTAGCCTTTCGTCTAGTGTCGGTACTAATATTGTACCGCTGCCCTATCTTCTTAGTATATATCTTCTATAACAACTATAGCTTTCTATTCTGTCTGTTACGTATAACTTTAATACCGAGAAACTATAAGAGCTTACCTAGGTTATTAAGCTTATATTCCTTTATTAGCTTCTGCTTAAGGTCTATTGCCTTCTACCTATATTATCGGTAGTACAATAGTACTATATTATCTATATAAAAGAAGATAAACACATGTTTGTCCGGGTTAGTATATAGGCAGTCTACGTTATCGACTAGTTGTATTCCGAGCTTGTTTTCGTAGGTAGTAGTAAGGTAATTGTACTATAGCCGAGGTAACTCCTATAGGCTATAGAGCGCTTAGATTAGCTTTAATACCTTGCCCTTCTACTCAAACTTGTCTATTAGGTAGCCTAAGGTATAGCGTATATAGCAATATAGCATTAAGGAAGGCATTAACTATATCTATTTGCTTAGCTTCTAGGTTAAACTTAGCTACGATAGCTATAAGGGCTCTAAAGACTCGTATAGCTAGTATTAAGGCATAGGTGTCTAAGTGTGTGTTCCTCTAAAGGTCCCCTCTTATATATACTCTTGCTTTAAACTTAATTAGTCGACTATTAGCATTACTCTTGTATTTAAATACCTAGGTAAGAGGCAGAAGATTAGGCTTGTCTAGTATATTTAGATCTACCTATTTAAAGGTACGTATCTTTAGTGCCTTATTAAATTCAACTCTTGCGGCGTATATCTAATGCTCTTTAAACTTGCTCTTAAGTACCTATCGCTAGTTACGTAGCTCTTTTAGCAAATCTAACACTTTCGGGGATAAATCGTTTTCGTTACGAGGAAGTAGTAGTAGTAGACTGCTATCGGCTTTATTACTGTCGGCGGTGCTACTATATATTAACCTAGCTTCGTGCTCTGCTACTAGATATAGGTTGCTAAACAGAAGGAGGTTTCTCGCTTGTTCTCGGTCGCTAATATAGTAACAGTAGATAGCCGCTGCTCGCTGTCGTTTGTTTAGGTTGTTAACTCGATAGTAAGGGCCTCCTATATTCGGTAAGTAACGATGAGATATATTAGCTACTTCAATTAGCATTAGCAATTTAGCTAGCTTAGTACGTAGCAAATTGAAGTCTATATTATCTGTATAACCTAGTGCGTCTATATTGTTATTAGGGGCTTTATTACTAGCATCGTTCTTAGGTTGTTAAGGTTGCTAATTAATAGTTAGTTCTACTAATCTATCTAGTATATTATTACGCGGTTATAGTGCTTCGCGTAGGTTAATCGGAAAATCTTATTTCTATAGCTTAGCTAGTGCTAGTAGTTCTTAAGGTAGGTCTTGTCTAACAGGCTTATCTACTAGCCCTATAGGGTTAACTATTATAAGTCGACTAGGTCCTATTAGTATATCTACCCCCTTAGCTCTAAACCTAACAAGGTCTAGAGGTATATCGTATACTTCTCGAAGTTCGTTAAATTAATGCTCCGAGGCGGGTACTTATGCTTCTTCGAGATTACTATATTTAGCAAGCTCTTAGTTAGTTATAACAACGCCTAGGTTATTATTATATCTATTATAGAACTTAGTCTCGTTAAATACAACGTCTCTTGTACGTAGTACTATTATTCGTAAGGGTACCTATATCCGATAGATAGAGTGTCCCTCGTACCTATATAGGTATCTAATATAGGTTCTTAAGGCCACTTTTATAGTGTTTAGCAGTATAGCCTTCCTTTTGCTATTAATTGTCTCTATACCGTAGATTAGTAGATATGCCCTTGCTCTAAACTAGTAGATGTAAGCTACATTCGGCTTATATCTAGTACTAATCTTGTATAGTGTTCGCATTAATAGGTTAGTAGTACGTAATCTTAGTAACCTATTAGCTAGGAAGGTTGCTATATAAACTGCTTCTAGCTATAGGTTGTGTAGAAATCTAGCGTATATTATTAAGGCTCGAGCTACCTTAATAATAGTACGGCCTACGCGCTTAGCTAGGTCCTATTCTAATGTGTATAGGGCTGTTAGCCTCTATATAGTATAGTTATTACGTAGATACGATCGAAAGCGAAGGCCTAAAATACCTCCCTTATTATTAGATAACAGGTATATAATGTCTCTGCTAATGCTACGTACGAAGGTAGCTATTTAGTTCTAGTATTGTAGGAGTGTTGATTCCTAACGATTGCTAATTGTCTATATAAAGTAAAGCCTAGTATTTAGGTCGTAGGTATAGAAGATATACTAGTCGCTATTGTAGGCCGTATCTAGTTGCATTAAATTAGCTGCAATGTATCTATATAGAGTTAGTATTAATATATTATAGTACCTTAGTCTCCTTAAAATGAGCCTCTTGCCCTTTGCTTATATATATATAGGGCATAGTAGTATTCTTAGTACCTTATTGTTATGTATATAATCCCTTTTTATTCTATTAACCCTATTAACTAGCTCTTCTACTCTTTTAGCGCCTAGGTGCCTAAACACCTTATATATTTGCTTAAGTGTAAGCTTTCTTAGTAGCAGTAGGCGTACGGAGCGGCGAGCTGTTATATAGGCTAATAGTATAGTTGTTGTTAATAACTAAGATAGTTAGAATAGGTACTTAAGCGGCTTATTGTCTATATCGACTAGCTACTTAGTTAGTAGTAGTACTTTATCTACTTTGCTAACAATGTCGAAGTAGGGCATTCCTTAGGTTAGCCTAATAAATTTGACTAGTAGCTTATATTGTAGGCTATAGAGGGTGTTATCGATTTCTTAGTATTTGTATCCTCGCTAGAAGAAGAGGGCACCTCCTACAATATTAGTATAGAAGTTAGGGATGTAAAGGCATTCCCTTAGTTCAATCTGTAGGGGCTTGCTACTAATAGCTATAATAGTAAAGGAGGCTATTCCGATAGCTACTACCTTGTTATAGCTAGTACTAGTTGCTATAGTTAAGGATGCTAGCAATAGGAGTAGTATAAAATTAAAGCGGCTAGGGTAATTAATAATGTTGTAGTTTGATCTACTATTATATATTAGGCTATTAAAAGGATTCTACTCTATTAATACGGCTATACTAAGGTAGGTAGTAGGCCCGACAGCTCTAGCAAACGCAAGTAATAGTGTATTAGAGTAGAAGAAGCAGGCAAATAAGAGCTTATCTAGTATAGAATCCTCGTTGCTTTCTAATCTATAGTACTCTTAAGCGATTTTAATAGCTAGTAGGTCCTTAAAGAACTTAGCCTGCCTTTAAGTTAGACAGAAGCTCTTATTCTTACGTAGGTAGCTTTCGAAATACTTTAGCTTGCCCTTCTACTTATTGTCCTTATCTTTCTCTTTAACCTAGTTACGTAGGCGGTAGTTAACTACGTTGTATTTGCCTCGGTTCTTATATGCCTTCTTCTTACTAACCCTAGTAACTTTAGCGCAAGACTTTAGTATACGGTTTCCGCTATTACTGCGACCCGCCGACCCTTATTCTTATTAGGCTTTTTACTATTATTTTCTTCGGCTACTTATAGAGCGGCATTAGCACTAGCTTTACCTGTTTCTTCGTAGACAACGCTAAATAATAACCCTTTCTTAGTAGAAACTCCTAGTATATTGCGGGCATATTCTCGTACTATACTAATTAGCTATTAGAAACTATTAACTATTAGCCCTGCCTAATATATTATATAGAGCCCCTTACTATAGGTCTTATCTATATTCGTAACTATAGTACATAGGTAGGTTACTAAGTTGTTAAATTCCGGATATTGTATGCGTTTTATCGTCTTATAAAGATTAAGCTATTCCTCGTACTAGTACTCGGGGTCCTTTACCTATTTAGAGTTTATAAGGCGTTATAGCTCCCTACTAAGGGTAGTCCTTTGCTATTACGTATTAGGTGCGAGCTTGTCCTTTAATCGAGTTAGGATAAGACGCATTGTTAGTGCTACATTTTCCTTATTAGGATTAGTAATCTCTAAGTAATAGCGAATATCTATAGTTATAGCTAGATATTTAATCGTCTTATTACGTACTGTCCTAAAGCGTTTAAACTTATTCTTCCTTATCTTATAGTGTTCCTTAGTAAGCTTTGCATCCGCCTAATATAGAGAGTTAGTTATAAGTAGGTATATATCGAACTCCGAAAGAAGGGGTTATACTAGTTTACTAGGCTTAGTCGAGTACGGATTAGCGAAGACCTAGGTCTTATATCTAGTTAGGTACGTCTTAGTTTGCTTAAACTATCGGTCCTATTCGTTTAGTCTACGAAGGATAATAAGCTTGCTACTACTAAGGCGGCTAGTTAATAAGAGGGCTATTATTAACGATATACTAATCTTATAGACGCTTATAGAATAGTGTTTATTTTAGTACTATTAAGACTACTAATCGTTATCTTATGCTATAGAAGTCTCTAATACTACGGATTCCTAGGCTTATAACTATTACGTATAGCGTAGTAGATTACTTACATAATACTACCTTGCTAGCGGTTTAGAATATAGCTTTTTTTTTGATTGCCTCTGTTCTATATCCCTATAGTCTAAAATACAGGTGCGAAAATCCTTTCCCTACTAAGAGGATACGTATTATTATGTAACTGAGCTTATATTACATAATTAAGCTTATGCGTTACAGTAACGCGCGTTTGAAGGAATGCCTGCAGCTCACGGCGGGATTGCTTGGAGACGATATGGGCTTCCAAACAAAGAGCAGGCTCGAATGTGAGATGAATGCATGTTCAAGAATCGAGCAGCCTGAGATGCTGCGATGTATGGAGGTGAGGTTGTGAAGTGGACCCGGGCAGTCTGTGCTCGAAATGGGACCCGCTCTCACGTGACACGAGCAGGGTCCTTGCTCGTTCCTTTCCTTTCCGCAAGCATCATCATCACATTGTCTATCTCTCGAGGTAATATCCTAACTTGCCTTTATTCACTTCAAGCTCTGTCAGGCCATTTCCCATGAAGCCAAAGCGATTGTGCTTGTCCAGGTAAGCAATATCAAAGTCCTCGCTTCGAAACGCGTCCAGCATCTCACGATAATGCAGAATACTTCCGCCGTACATGGCCGAGATCTTTCCATCTGCCGTGCCTTGCTTGTACCATGATCTGCATCCAGCCGACCACACCATCCTTTCCATGAATGTCTGGGTGTAGTCATTGTACTCTCGAAGCACGTCGGGCTTGACGAGTATGGACTTGATTCCCTGCCCTGCCATCTTGGAGCACCATTTCAAGATGTATTCAGCCACGGCATCGAGCATCGCAAAGATACTGCCGTGTCCAACTGGAGCATTTGGGCCCGTGAACTGCAGACTGTGGTTAGCACGAGATGCCAGCTCCGCAGAAATGGACCTACCGAGAAGTAATTAGGCATGTCGGGAGCATGTATGCCCAGATATGCTTCTGAGTCGTCCTTCCAGAGCTCTTGCAGAGTCACATCGTTTCGCCCTGTAAGCGTAAATGGAGGCTTGTAACTAACGTCGAACCCAGTCGCGCAGACAATCACATCGAATGGTGTGGTCTCAGGTGCAACGTCTGCCGGAGGCTGCGAAACAATACCCTTCTCGTTGATGCCCACGACGGGCTCGAAGCGGACCTTGACATTCTCAGCCTGCAGTGCATCGAGATAATTCTCACCGGGAGTAATTCTCCTGCACCCGACAGGCCACTCTGGAACCAATCTCCTGGCCAGCTCCGTATCGCCTCCAAGCTTTTCCCTCATGATATTACCAAAGGTCTCCTTCACCCATTTTGCCTGATCGGAGTCTTTGTAGAACATCATGAATGCCGCATTTAGCGCGTGCTCCAGACTCTGTCTCATCTCTTTCAGCTCCTCGGGCTTTGCACGCCATCGCTGCTTCTGCTCTTCTGAGTATGTGAAGTTCTTGCCTTCCGGTGTGAACTCGGCGAGGATGTTGGGTATTATCCACGTGGGCGTACGAATATATGTGTCAATGCGTTTCGCAGTCGGCTGCATCTGCGGTAGGACCTGGACTGCTGAGGAACCATTTCCGATCAGCCCGACTGTTTTCCCTGCCCAATCTGTTTCCTGCCAGTGTGCGGTGTGGACGATTTCGCCTTCGAATTTCTCCAAACCGGGGATATCTGGCCATTTCCAGCGATTCAAGAACCCAGTCCCATTTACAAGCACGTCCGCTTCGTCGTGGATCACCTCACCGTTCTGCTCGATGTCGACTTCCCACTTGCCCTTTTCATCCGACCACCGCGCTGATACAACCCTGGAGTTCAGCTGCACATAATTTCGCAGCCCGAAATCGCTCGCCGTTTTCTCAATGTACGATTGGATCTCTGCACCTGAGACGTAAAATGACGACCAATCTGGATTTGGAGCAAAAGGGAAGCAATATATATGCGCCGGTATATCACAGGCGACGCCTGGGTAGACGTTCTCATACTGCGCTACGAGTCAGCAAAAATTTGGTGCCCGAACGCCCCATTCTACTCGCCCAAGTTCCACCTATTTCTGGATTCTTCTCGTAAATGGCGAAATCCAAGAATCCGTAGCCGGCGCCGTACTTGTGCTTGTACGCAAGAGTCAAATTCGAGAATCCGGCACCAATGCCGATCATGCGAATCTTTCGACGTGTAAAAAGTGGCTGGTCAATGATTTGGATCTCAGAGGTTGCCATGGTTCTGGGTGGTGCGGGAGTCGTGATCGTAGAACCGGATAGCCAGCTTTTTTAATGCATTGCAATTGCTTACATGGCCCCATCAGAAGCACAGCAACAACGTCAGCTTATGCAATTCGATCTGTGATCTTCAATACCAAGATGGTAGTTCCGGTGGGATTCTATACTATCATCGAAATGCGCCGAGGATCAAGTGCGGCCGGCACTATATATATTAAAACAACGCGTACACGTGCGCATAGCCTCACGCGCATAATCAATCCGGAACGTGACAACGACTCACGAGACAAGTCAAGCACCTTGATCTCCAGCAGTACGAGCAACTGTAATGGACTCCCTGATCATTACAATGTGTCTGCGGGACTGGTTTCCTTCTGAATTCCACTTCCATCAAGCTTTCATATTGATTCAACCTGGGATGTGAGTGCCGTGGAATCCAAGTCCTACCGCAGCACCCACATCTGCTCTGCCCACCTCCTTCAATGTCTCCGCGTCTAAGCAAAGGAGGTAGCTGGTCCCTCGCTCTCCGTCCAGAACGCAAATCAATAACCAGCCACCGTCCTCTAGATGGCTGCGAGCAGGATCCGCGACGAAAATTGGTTCCCCAGGCGTGTGCTTGTCACTACACCAGCTTGTGCTCTGTTCGGTTGCAACGTCAAGCTTCTGTATTGAATCGTAAAAGCTTGATTTGCCATTGTCACGGATGCCGTACACAAAACGATGCGACTTGCATTTATACGTCGGGTTGATTGTCGGCAAGTCGCCATTGTATGGTAGAAACAACTCTCTCTCCGCCTCGACTGGCTTGTCTTTGGCAAGATCCCAAGGTTCGGGGCTGTTAACATCTCGAAGCCTGTAACGAGCCATATGTGACTTCTTAAGTCCTGCCTTGCCGGCAGCCGGGGCATTCGAGACCAGATTCTCATAATAGACGCCGTGTAGCACCTCTAGCGATGCATACTCTGCCAAGTCACAGAGTAAGTCGACTTTTCCATCCTTGGTCTCCTCGAAAGCGTTGACAGTGTGGAATGCGAACATTGCAGGACTTGTGAATCTCTTGACAAGCCCTCTGCCGCCTTTCCGGTCTATCACCAGCCATTGCACTGGCACGTTCTCATCGAACGGCACGATGGCGTCCAAGAAATTCCTCTCCCAGAGCACCTTCAAACCGCCTCCGCCGAAGTGTGAGTTCCAGACGCACAGTACCACAAAGTTCTCCGTCAAGAAAAAAGCATGAATGTAAGCGGCTTGAATCTCAGGCGCACTGAATGTGGCCAAAACATCTGTTTCTCCGGTCTTCGCGCTTGTTCTGAATACTCGGTACGTAGCGAACCGACCAAATTGCAGGTTGAAGTTGAAGCAGTCTCCGGTAACAGGATCGAATTGAGCATGAGCGCACGACACGGGACCTTTTAATTCGGGATTCAATTTGGTTTGATCTGTCACTCCGACTGGCTCCAAGGTGTCCCTGTCAATACGTTTGAGCTGGTAATTGTCTGTTCTGGTTTCGAGAAGTCCATTCTGTCCATGTACGGGAAGATGTACAGTGACCCCAGCATTGACATCTGCTGCTGTCGGTTCGGATGAATTGGCTGGGAAGAAGATGGCTTTGAGCTTTCCGAAGAAGCCCTCGCAAGGGTCCCGTCTCTGCGCGAAAGTGATCTTGTCGAGTCGACCGCTTTTGCGAACTTTCTCCAGGAAACGATCGCATTGGCGTCTGGAGTTGTATACGACTTTACAGCTGCCATCGGCTTGTGGTATCAATTGGAAGCGATAGATCTGTGTGAAGCCATCGAACCAATGCGAGAAGCTGAAGTTGCCATGTTTGTATGACGATGGACCAGTGCGGTAGAGTGTGCCGGCTAGTGCTGCTGGTATGTGGCCAGTCACTGGGAGCTCGATCGGCTCACGCTGCTCAGTCTCGACTTGGAACTGCCATCAGCAGGTTGCAGTCAGTACAAGCACGCACGCCCTATCTTGGAAAGCCGACATACTCCTGACGCGTTTGGCCAGCCGTGCAAATGCTCTTGGCCTTCGATCATCTTCGATCCGTGTATTTCGCTTCTCGGTTCCACGCCCGTTCTATCCGCCGAAATCGATTGATGACAACTATCACAGCACAACGAAACGAATTACAAATTTGCCGTGATCTCATCCAAATTTTGGACTTCGGCGTCGCCTTAGAAGTACCCAGCACTCTTCGGCCGTAACGCTTCCAAGACGGACAGTAGTATCAAAGCCCTCAGCTAACACATCACACAATCTCCCACTTGGCGTATGTGGAAAGTCGCCGCCAGCCCCCGAGGTACTCGCATCGGTACATGCAATCTTTTATCAGGAAGATCCCTATCATCGGCAATGGCGTAGCACCTCAACTGAAAGTGAATCTAGAACCGAAGAATCCCAACTAGCCTGACAAGCATTGTTTCGGCGCAGATTTACAGTATTAATCCTTGCCGTCACCACCCCGGTCCTAGTCCGCCACCATCTCTCCGGACCAACCTCCGTCTCCCACGACGCCATGCCCTCTAAAATAATCCAAATTCTTATCGCTGCTTGGAACTAGGGATGTGACTCCACCGTGGATTAGCAATCACCCTTGTATACACCATGTAATATACGGGTGTATACTAGGTGTACACAGGAGAGGGCCCACATTAATACCTCGATATCTTAGCAAATCCGACCGCTGACGGCGCTGAGCCTGTATCTCGGCTGTTATCCGCGAATTGCATGACTCCTCTATGAGTGTATACTAGGCATCCGACCTCGAGGGCTGTGTACGTGGTGTATTACACGCTGTATACACGATACACTGGATGGTGGGCTCCATCACTACTTGGAACTCTTTTGTGGTGACACCATTATAGTGTTGCTCGTGACGAATCCGTTGAAACCTTGATGGACCCATGCCGCTGGGCCCTGATTTCGGCGTGTTTGAAGGCCGAGACGAGAAAAGTACCGTTGGTGCCACCCACCGGTGCGAGGTGGGCTATGTATGATTTTGACTTGACTTGACTCAATAGGGTGTTGGTGAATCATGCGAGACAGTGGGAATGTCGTTGTTGACTAGTCAAGTGTCTTGGTTGATGTCTGGAAGTCTAGTAGCAGCACGTCCAACATGTTTATTACCTAAGCTTGCGAAGGTGAGGCGTTGAGATTCAAGCTCTTCAGGACATACCTATTATGTAAAATTCATGACTTCAAACGCTTAATGCTCACTGTCTCGGTTTTGAAGGAAGCGCTGATGATCGAGTTGATGATGCTAAGTCTGAGCTGTACCTGCAACGAGTTCTATTGTAGGTTAAATATTGTTCCATTCATTATGAGTAATCTTCAAGTACATGCCCATCCCACCCGACATATGGTCTTTATGTATCTTTATGCAAGCCCCCTTCCATACTGGATAACTGCTGTGGTTGCTTTGTTCATCAGGACTTCGTTGGTATGCCTCTCCTTAGCCACGAGAGCGGACGATGGAAAACGCTGAAACACGGCTGCTGTCTCAAAGGGGATGTCGGACAGGAGGCCGAGAGTGCGAGGTCTTGGCTCTTGTACGACTGACTGAAGGCAATAGTGCTGCCACGCTGTCGACGTTCCCATCGCTGCTGCGTAATTCGTATAAATGCTGTCCACAATCTCAGAACTGCGACAACGCCTTCTTGGCACATTTCTCAATTCCCGAAGCGATCTTCTTCGAGTTGATATCATCTCGTGGCACATCATGTCCACCAGAGTGGAACACAACTTGTGAGAGGGACGGTTCGCAAGTCTTGCTGAGCTGAATGCTCTGGCTGTAACAAATATCCTGCTGGCCGATGACGTGCAAAGTTGGAACATCGATATGACCGAAGGATCCGATGGTTCGAGCAAGCTCGTCGGACGTCGCGGAGCTGGGTGGGATCAGTGCAGCGCATATGAATACGGCAAATTTGAGGTTTCCTGCGGACTCTGCAAGGAGCGAAGCTGTCACCGAGGCACCCTTCAGCACATCAGTCTGGGACGCTCAAGCACAACGTTTTGGGGACAACGGTACCTGACTGAAACCCATGATGGCATCGTATGGTCCATCTTCCTCAATGACTTCGCGCACGTACTCGACAGCTTCCCGCATCCGCTCAGGCGTATACCAATCGAAAAAGCAGTAATGAGGTGGCGGATACACGCCTTCGATTCCTGGACCGGGTGCACTGTCGTTCGGAGCTTCGAGATAATCGTACGTCCAAGTAGGAGGGAGGAGTGCTCTGAAAGAGCCTGTAGGTCATCAGCATCAGCATACATAGCGACTGAGCGATGATTTCGTACTGGTTTGACTTTCCATGATCTCAGGACTTGCGCCTTGTCCGTGGAGGCATAGGACACGCATGTTGGCAACGCTATGGCAGAGTATTGCTCGGAGTCTTGGCGAGAGTTCCAGATTCCTTTCCTTGTGCAAAGTCGTGGTTTCCTCTCGCGTTGCTGATGATCAATTCGATCGCTATTGAAACCGCGTATCTGGTCGTGGGGAGAAAGTGTTTCCATCCCTCCCTCCTCCGCATGAACATCGGCTGACGCGCGAGTGTTGCGCCTCAAATACGCCACCTAGACTCAAATGCGCCGCGGCGAGATTGCTTAGAATGCATGTCCATGTGTCTATACGCGAGTAACGGACGGAAGAGCGGGCTCTCCTACGATGCTTCGTCCAAAAATTCACTTACTATATTACCAGGGACTTCCATTTTCACCATAGATTGGCTTCGATCAATATATCGAGAGTCGACACATCGAATCAAGCGCAACTCGAATTCAACGCATCTCCCTAGGCCTCCAAGATGAAGCTCCTCGTTTGCCATGGCTACGGAATGAGTTCCGAGATCTTGGAGCAGATGATGACTTCCGTGATATCGGCTGTTGGGCGACATCACGAATGGGTCTTCCTGGATGGAGAAGTCAAAGTCAACAGATCAGGTATGACGGCAATCGTGAAGCGATCGATGGGAAGATCCGAATGGTAACTAAGTGTGCCGCAGCGATGGCCGACTTCATCCCCGGTCGCCATTTGTCGTACTGGGATGCTTGGGGCGCTGAGGGCTTGAAGGCGGCGTACGAGCTCATGGAGGAGACACTCGCAGAGAAGGGTCCCTTTGACGGAGTGTACGGATACAGTCAGGGTGGCGCGTTCGTTCTCGGCTACCTGCTTCAGTCGCTCATCGACCACCCCGAGAAGCCATTGCCATTCAAGTTCGCGGCATTCCAAGGCACAGCAGCAGCATTATCCTCGGATCCAGAGTACAACAGCGCGGCGATCATGAGCGCGTTGGAAAAGCTCAGCGAGAAGGAGAGGAAAGAGCTTCATGATGGCTTCATCTCGCGGCAGGGACACAAGGACCCTCGCACATTCGACGTCGTCAAAGAGGGCCGTATCCAGGGCCGGGACAAGGAGATCTTCATCGCGCTGCTCGACATGGTGCAATCATCGCTCGGCGCTCGCAACTTCTTCGGCATCGACGAGAGCGACGGTACAAACTCCATCGACCCTGACAGCTATGGCCTTGCCGACTTCCCACGATTCTTCCACCCGGTATACACCAAGCAGCGCATCAACATCCCGACCGTCCACATTCGAGGCTATTTCGACGATCCTGCTCCCACACGACTGGCCGAGATTGCTCAGGAGCTGTGTGATCCCAGCAAAGTTCAGCTGGTTAAGTATGATGGCGTGCACGAGCTGCCCACAAAAGAGCAGGACGTGAAGAATATTGCGAGGGCCATTGAGAAGGCATATGGAATGGGCCAGTTGCTCTCAGTTACAGTGTAGATAATTCATGTACAATGTGAGGTTCACGATCGAGCAGGATGTTCTGGAGTAAAATTAGTTTCAACTTTGGCCAAGTTCAGGTTCAGGCCTGTAGGCACAAAAGTAACTTACCATTACCATTTACCACTAACCATAGTAACTTCATATCACTATAGTAACTTACTGTTACTATCACTCTACAGGCATTTGGTTTTATTATTACTATTAAATTTCTAAATATTAATTTACTAAAGAAGTAGTATATAAAAAGTCTTTATATAGGACAGACTTAGAAGTAATACTAAGTGACTACCTACTACTACTCTGACTAGCATAAAGTTTTTAACCTAGTAATTACTGAAGCTATTTACATTTATTCTTAGAATTAAAAGGGTCGGGATTACTAAAGAGGCTGCTACTGCTATAGTATAGATGCTGTAGCATAGTATTAAATACTAACAATACCCTTAACTATAGTCTCTAGTAATAATTATAGTATACTATCGTCGCCTCTATATACTAGTACGCTACTAGTATATCCGAATACTTATTCTAATCTCGCTAGCCTTACTACCTTTACTTAAGCTATAATTTTAGTATATTCGTAGCAACTATCGGCTGTTAAACTGCTACTAGCTTAGACACTAATATAGTAGTACGCTATATCTTCTATCGAGGATTATATTAAAGATTATATTAAAGATATATAGGCTTATTATTTATAATTTAGTAGTAGTATACTACTACTACTACTACTACTACTACTACTACCACTACTACCACCACTACTACTACTACTACTACTACTACTACTACTACTACGAAGGGACGACTCGGAGGAAGGTTAGTTAAATAGGGAGCTATTTACTAGGGATTGACCTAGTAACGACTGTTTCGGTATACCGAGTATAGTTAATAGGTAAGAAGCCGTAAACTAAAGAATAGGATACTGTTAAAATATAAGACCTAATACTAGGCTACTCTACTATCGAGTACGTAGGTTAGTACTAGTAGGACTACCCTTTCTTAGAAAGCTTAGAAACTACGTAAAACTAACGCTAAGACAAAGACTAGGCCTACTACTACGGTAGTACTACCCCTTAGCTACTCTACTAAAGCCTAACTTTAGGGTAGCCGAAAAAGGGAAAGTCGAATAGGATGGGGGTATTAGAATCCTTAACTTTATAGAAGCGTAAACGATAGGCGCCTACTAAACAACTACGTAATACTACTAATATACAAACCGATATATAGGACAATATTCTAGGACGAAGGGCGGAGGCCTATACTAGGAACTAGGGTTTTTGCTACTATCTTATTAAGAGAGATACTACTATCGAGTCCGAGTCTACTAGGTACGGCGCCTCTAGGGAGATAGATAGCGCTACGTTAAGCGTACTTAATAGCTAGCAAACTAAGGTAGACGAGATTATTACTTATAGTATAGAAGTTAAGCGATAGGTTAATATATTTGTTAGTAAATACTAGGGCAATAAGTAGGAGATATTGTCTAATAAAGACGACGCAGACCTTATTAAATCTAACTAGGACAAGCTACCTACTATATAGACAGAGAAGGGCATTAAGTCTACGCGTAATATTAACAAGCGTACTAAGATAATCTATCAAGAAGGCGTAGAAGTCTATAAGTTATTATCTTGTCGATTTAAGTATAAAGATAGGCAATATACTAGTATAAAGAAGGGCAATAACGTTAGTTATTACGTATAGTACGATAGCACTTATTACTAGCTTCTAGGCTTATACCTAGAACAATAGCGTAACGCTATTAATGCTAGTACTATAACAATAGACGATATACTAGGTTAGCTTATTTAGAAGGTCTAATAATATACACGGATATTAATAGAGGTAAGAAGAAGCCTAAGCCTGCTTCTATAGGTAAAGAAATGCCTACTCTAGCGCCTACGGCACCTCTAGTAATACTATATAGCCCTATGCCTCTATTTAACCTATTCGCTATACCTCCGGCATATACGATACCCTAGTTAATACTACTATAGGCTTAGTTAAATCCGCCTGTCTAGCTAAATCTACGCTCTTTACCGACTATTAATAGTAGGGCGGCGATTTAGAATTCCTAGTAGGGCGAGATATATTACTAGGTACTACGACTAGCTCTTAGAGAGATATATATATAAGAGGCACTCGTTATAGTAAAGGCTAAGCTAAAGGCTATAAGGCAGGATTCTAGACACTTTATATACCTAGGAAGGAGCCTAATAAAGCCCTAGCAAATAACCTACTATAGATTAGTATCCGGCGAAAGCTTAAGGACGAGATAAAGGTATATATAAGTGCTATAGAAGGTAGTCTAGCGGCTAGCCTATAAGAGCGAGAAGGAGAGTAATACGGCAATACTATAAGTAAGGATAAGGTAACTTATAACGAGTTATAATAGCTACGCTAGCTTTAACACTTTAGCCTAGTCTATATTTGGCTATAACTGTTAGAAAGATTCTAGTAAAAGACGGAAACTAATACTACTACTACTGCTACTAGTAATAGTGTAGGTAACCGAGGGTAATATAACCGATAACAATATAGGCAGCTGTATTTAGCAAGATAGGATAACAAACATATCGCTTAGGCTAGTAACTAGAGCCCTATAATATAGGCACTGTAGAAGTGTGACATGAATAGTATGCTGTACGAGGTTAATTAATCTGTCTATTATATAGAAGGAGGCCTCTTTTGTGGGCTTAATCCCTAGCCTTTAGGTGTAGGGCCGGTTACTAGCTAATAGTAGATGTATGTGAGAAGTATAGTTAAGTGGTGTAGATCTGTATAGGATGTGTAGCTTGACTAGTATGTATTAGAAGTGGTGTATTCTAGGCCTCTATCGATACTAGTAATACTGTAGACTAATACTAGAAGTCGCTCGGACTCCCTTCGCGGGGTCGGCGAAACTCTAGGCTATAACCGCGGTAAAACTTCTTTAGCTTTATATACTAACAATACTATAAAGAGCTGTTCTCTTAATATGATTGTGTATATAATATTTCGAATTAGTCTCGTCGGTAAATTATAGAAAAAAAGGAGCGAGTTAATAGCTATTATAGTTGTTTAGTAATTCGATTTAGTACTTAAAGCCGGCTTATAGACTATATACTAGACCTCTAGCTATAGCTCGAAGCTCGAGCGACTTTACGAATTCGAGTAAATTCTATAGTTAGATTTATAATATAATAACTATATATCTAATTAACGTTATTCTTTTTTTAAAAAGCACTAAACGAGCTAGTTTCTATAATAGAAAAGAAATATAATAGCGTTAGTATAGGCGTATATAACAACCAATATTACTAAATCCGAAGGAACGCTAAACTAAGCTCGGAGCTTGCCGAGCTTCTATACGGGTTTAAAGATATAGCTTAGTAGTAGTAGTAATATACTAGTAGCGATAACGGCGAGCAGGTATAGGCTATATAATAGTCGTATTAACGAGATTTTTATATCGCTATATAGCGCTAACTCTAGGTATTACGTAAGGAACGAATTAGTAGATATATAATAGTATAGTATTAAGTTAAGTATCTACGGTACTAGGAAGTATATACTAGGCCGACGTATCCGGCGTACCTACCGTAATACTAAGCTTTTATTCTATATAACAATAATATATATAAGTAGTATATATAGCTTATAGTAGCTAGTATAGACTTTCTAGTATATAATAGCTCTTAAAGATAGCTATATATTTAACCCTATTACTAACTTAAAACTAGCGATAACTAAGGTATAGGAACTTCTTAAACTTTAGTATCTAGTCTTCCTCGCTATATATTAGTACTAACTAATAATAGCGCCTTGTCTAGTTCTTTAAAAGCCTAAAGGTCTTTTCGATCGTTATATAATAAGGTAAATATAGCGGTAGAAATACTACCTTTATACTAGCCTATTCGCGGTATAGGTCGACGATAATATTGCGACTATAGGTTACGTAATAGTCTATAATAATTATACTTCGTAGACCTAGAAAGCGACTATACTTCGGCAATATACTAAACTAGAGCTAGTATATAAGATCTCTAAATTTATACTACCCTACTTAATTAGCTTATTCTTAAGATAGCTATCTATTATATAGGCTAGTAGAAGACTAAACCGCTTAGAATAGTAAGGGTATTCCTTATTAGTCGTAGGTATACCCTTCGGTACCTATCCTTGCTATCGGTAAGCTACTTAATTACTTATATACGTCTCGTCGATATAGACTGCTTAGTACTACGCTACTAGTATCTATATATATGCCTTATATATCGCCTTCGCGACTAGATCTCTTTAGAGCGCTATTCGCGATACTAATTTATATAAGAACTGCCTATTATTTAATAGATATATAATTATCCTTTCCGATATCTGTAACCTTATCTCCTCGAGTAGATAATACTATATTTCCTTATACTATAGAGTCGGTATCTTAACTAATAACTCGAGTATACGATCGCGCGCCTATAGGTTAATTATTTAAGGCCGCCTACCCTTCTTTAGCTATATATTACCTATATCCTTCTACCGCTTAATTCGTATATAAATAGCTATCTGCGAGCCTTGTCTATCTACTAGTAATAACTTTATAACCTCTTCTAGCGGCTAGAAGTCGTCTAGACGGTACTAGATTAGGTTATTGTCTTATCTAGTAAGCCTAGATATAGTAAGAGCGAGGAACTCGTAGAAATTAGTAGGTAAACTATAATTAGTAGGGAATTAGTAGATAGTAGTAATAATACCTCGAGGTAGTCTATACTATTAAAATAGCGACAAAATACCGAGAAAGAACGTTAAGAGAGACAGAGAACACGATTATCGAATACTATAGAGATTGCTAACAAATGGTCGTAGGGATTCCCCGCAGTCCCGACCCTTTTGACTCTGTGAATAGGCCACTACCTACACCTCTCCATTCACACTCCCGAGCAATCTGTACTCTCAAGTCTCTAATTACGCGACATCGGTATTTGCTCCAACGACTGTACGGGACAGTCGCATATCAATTACTGTCTCTTGCTATCTGTAAGAGCTCGTCCGCGCCCATGGACACCGACGCATCATGCATAGACAGCCGATACACATTGGAGGGCCAGCTCGAGAGAGATGGCATTGCACGGGCTAGTCTCACTGCTCAATTGACGACAGCAGCCTCAGCTCACCTCTTGCCTGGTGCTCCCGATGCGTCGCTCGTGTGCAAAGACTTGCGAGTGCCATGCCATTGACAAAGCGCAGATACCGGCCATCTTTTCTGATCCGCAGATTCCCCGTAAGCACATCGCCTGCCCACCGACCTCACTGCAAGCGTGGCAGACCACTGCTCAACACGCGTTTCGGAAACGACTCCAGGCACAATCTACGCGGAAAGAGCTGAGCTGCTTCGACAGACGGAATTGCGGATTCTGGCAGAAGCGTGCGGGTTTCATAGCGGTAGATCTACCTTGCAAGAACACGCCGCGGGCCTTTTAATACACGTGCGTGCCGTCCACGCGAGATGAGGACCGCCCGGCCTGCATAGCCGTAGGCCTTAGTCGTAATGATAGTCCCGGACTCTCGGAGTCGGATGCATGAACTGCGGTTCTGCAGGCGCGTCACAGCCTCACCGGCCGTTCGCGTGTCTCTCATACAAGGGTATGGCACCACGGCGAGTTGCTGTATTCTTGGCATCTTCCACTTGCTACTCTAGTGTATTCTGATCGGTCTGGATCGTCAAGAATGGCACATGGCTTTCGTCCAATCGGTCATCTCCAAGCGTGCGGCTATGTCACAGTAGACATGGGCTTCTCGCGATGCTGTGTATCGACACAACATGCGCACTTCGAAGCGGCTAATGGTCATCTATCTGGCCGGGACTAGTCTCACATACACGTGCGCGGCTGGCGGAAGGCTTCTCCGTGATAGAGTCGCCATACCTCGAAACAATCCCGCCGTGGGCGAGGTCCGGACTTGGAAACCGCGGCACTTTAATACAGCATTCATGCGCAATGCTCAACCAGCAGCGAGCCCTTCACCTCTCTCCAGCGTGTACCCCTTCACCTCTCTCCAGCGCATATCCCGACACGAGCGCAGCCGGCGACCTCTTTGCGTCGCCCCCATCAAATACACTTCTCGCCACAATCCAGGCCTGCCTCTTTCACTATCTTCTTCTCTTTTCCTCGTGCTTCGCGAGCGCTCGTCCCCTGCCTTATCTTTAATCTACTCTTAGCCGGCCCTGGGGGTCTGCATCAGAGGCATGGCAGTCAATACCGATGACAAGCTCATCGAGCCTATCGCCATTGTGGGCATGGGTATGCGATTCCCAGGCGAATCACACTCGAGCGAGTCCTTCTGGGATCTCCTCTCGAAAGGTCGTGATGGCTGGCGGACGATGCCGAAGCATCGATGTAAGTGCATTTGGACGCGACCCTCTCTTTTGACTAACCAAACCACTTCTCAGTCAACCTAGATGGCTACTACCATCCCGATGGAGCGCGTGCGGGCTCTGTAAGCTTTTCACACGGGACATTGGGCGCGTGCATTTACTGATCATTTTGTAGGTCTTCGTCAAAGGGTCGCACTTCCTCTCAGGCGAATATGAGAAATGTGCAAAGCAATTCGATGCACCCTTTTTCAACATGACGGCCGCAGAAGTAGAGGGAAGCGACCCACAACACCTACACATGCTGGAAGTCTCATACGAAGCACTCGAGAATGCCGGCATACCAATGCAGTCAGTCATCGGCTCAGACACGAGTGTCTACGTCGGCTGCTTCACCCGTGATTGGGAAGCAAAGGGTGGCCGAGACCCGTACACTGGACCTTTCTATGCAGCGACAGGGAACGGCATGTCGATGCTTGCCAACCGTGTTTCTTGGTTCTACGACATGCGTGGTCCGAGTATGACTATCGACACTGCTTGCTCTTCATCTTTGTACGCCGTCCACCTTGCGTGCCAGTCGCTACGCACAGGCGAGGCAAAGATGGCCATTGCTGGAGGTACAAACATGATCTGTGATCCCTGCTACATGCGCGATCTTACCACTATGGGTTTCCTTAGTCCCGACGGACGATGCCATTCATTTGACCATCGTGCAAACGGCTATGGAAGAGGCGATGGTATCGGAGCTGTTGTTCTGAAGACCATCAGCCAGGCCCTCAAGGACGGCGATACTATCCGCGCCGTCATTCGTAACTCTGGCCTGGGACAAGACGGCAGGACTCCCGGTATTACCATGCCAGCCCCAGAGGCACAAGCCGATCTGATCAGACGTGTTTACAAGAATGCGGGCCTGACAATGGATCAGACTGCTTACTTCGAGGCTCACGGCACTGGAACACCCATTGGTGATCCATACGAACTCTCGGCACTAGGTGCGACTTTCGGACAGACTCGAGACTCGACCAATCCACTCTATGTCGGGAGTGTGAAAGCCAACATCGGCCATCTCGAAGGCGGCGCTGGTATTGCTGGTCTGATCAAGGCGGCGCTTGTGGTTGAACGAGGCGAAATACCACCCCTAGCTGACTTTGAAAAGGTCAACCCCCGACTCAAGTTGGATGAGTGGAAAGTAGCTTTGCCCTTGAAGCTCACTCCCTGGCCAGTGTCAGGCGTGCGAAGAGCATCAGTGAACTGCTTTGGCTATGGAGGTGCCAATTCTCACGTCATCATTGATGACGCCTATCATTACCTTCAAGAACACGGCTTGAAGGGACACCACCAAACGATACTGGGGCCCAACGATGTGCAAGAACCTTCTGACGCCTCCGACTCTGGTTTCAGCTCATCTGGACCATCCACTCCCGGCGAGAATACGTACAGAGAGCTGTCCCGGCCAATGCTGATGGTACTTTCCTCTGTAGACCAAGCCGGTCTCGGAAGAAGTGCTGCAGCATTGACGGACTTCTTGTCTGAGCAAAAGGATTTGGAAGCCCAGAAGAAGCAATCGGATTCAGCTCCTTCCGGTGTGGACATGGAATCTTTCTTGCCCAATCTTGCATACACACTGTCTCACCGACGATCTACATTCGACCACCGCACCTTTGTCGTAGCTCGTTCGGCTGGTGAGTTGCAAGAGCAACTTTCCGCTCCGCTATCCAAGTTGCGCCGGAGCGCCAAGAACAGCAATCTCTTCTTCATCTTCACGGGACAAGGAGCGCAGTGGGCAACTATGGGCAAGTCACTTCTCGCCTTCGACACATACCGACGCAGCTTGGAGCGTGCCCAAGCGCAGCTCAGCCGACTTGGCTGTGCTTGGAACTTGATCCACGAGCTGTCAGCCCCTAAGGAAGAAAGCCGGATCGACCAACCGGACTTCAGCCAGCCTCTCTGCACAGCGCTCCAAGTTGCTCTCGTAGATCTGCTCGAGGAATGGAATCTGAAGCCAAAGTCTGTGGTTGGGCACAGTTCAGGCGAAATCGCCGCATCCTACGCGGCAGGGTTCCTCACACATGAGCAAGCTGTCAAGGTTGCATACTGCCGCGGTCTCTTCTCAGCAGACGTCAATCGCCGCCTCGGAGACAAGCGTGGTGCTATGATGGCTGTCGGCCTTTCGGAGGCTGATGTCAAACCATACCTGGATCAAGTTCCAAAGGAGTCCGTAGTTGTCGCCTGTGTCAACTCTCCCAACAGCGTTACTCTGTCCGGAGACGAGACATCGATCGACGTACTCGAGAAGACACTGCAAGATGCTTCGGTCTTTGCCAGGAAATTAAGAGTCAAGACTGCCTACCACTCTCCGCACATGCGGGTCATCGCGGCTGATTACCTCGCGGCAATGGATGACATTCAGCAGTCAACAGAGCCACCAAAGGCGACCATGTTCTCCTCGGTCACAGGTGGCACTATCTTGAAGGCGGCCGATGTGGATGCATCCTACTGGGTCAAGAACATGCTGGGATGTGTCAGATTCTCTGATGCAGTCCAGGCATTACTCACTCAGCCTGCTAATCCCAACGCCAAGGGCCGTCGACGAGCCCCCGTCGTGTATTCCGGAATGGTCGAGATTGGGCCCGCGGAAGCCCTCAAAGGACCACTGCTTCAGATATTGAACGCAACAGACGGGAGACTGGCCTCTTCATTGCCATACACGGCCCTTCTGTCGCGCAATGTTGATGCCGGTCAGTCGGCACTCGCAGCGGCTGGAAAGCTTTGGGCTGCAGGACTGCCCATCGATCTGCATCGCATCAACTTCCCAACTGAGGAGCAACCTCTCCAATCACTGGCCTGTCTACCGCCATATAAGTGGAATCACAAAGTCTACGAGTACGAAAGTACATATGGCAAGACCGTGCTGCGACGTGCCAAGCCCCGAACAGACTTGCTGGGCTTCGTGGATGAGACCGCAAATGAAAGCGAGCCTCGATGGCACAACTACATTCGCCTGACCGAGCAGCCCTGGCTCGGCGACCATCGAGTACAGAACATGGTCCTGTACCCCGGCGCAGCGATGGTCGTTCAAGCAATTGAGGCTGCACGAACTCTTCAGGACACATCGCGGCCACTCAAAGCTGTTGAAGTTCGTGACATTGCTTTCAAGAAGGGTCTTGTCATCCCAGCAGGTGACGCTGCAGCAGAGACCGCGATCCACCTGAAGCCTGAACAGGTGCCATCCAGCGACGAGACTGCTTGGTCTTTCAGCGTATTCTCGAAGACTGGTGAAGATCCATGGAACGAGATGTGTACTGGATCGGTGTCCTTACTCTACACTGGCGAGGACTACGGCGAAAGCGTGCGCCAATGGACGTCCGAGTCCAGCTTGTACAATGACATTCGGAAGCGAGCCTGCAGGGTGGTCAAGGCCGCTACCTTCTACAAGCTCTTCGACGACAAGATGAACCTGCAGTACGGCCCACTGCATCGCAACGTTACTGAAGCTACGGCCGGGTTCGGCGAAGGCTACGGAGTGGTGACGATTCCCGACACCAAGTCTGTCATGCCTTCTCAATTCGAGTACCCGCATCTCATCCATCCGGCGACGTTGGACTCCATCTTCCACATGCAAGCACTGGGCTATCTCCACAGCCTGTCCGGCGACGAGTCACTTGTGCCGATCACCATCGACAAAATCTACATCGCTGCCAACGCTCCCACAGAGGCTGGCACTCAGCTCAAGGGATACTCGAAGGGCACGCAAAGCTCCTCTGGCGATACGGTCGGTGATATTGTGCTTTCAGATGATGCTTGGCAAGAGCCTAAGGTGATCGTCCGCGGCTTCCTCTCCAGAGATATCTCGGCTGCAGCCCCTTCGTCTGCGAGCACCGTTGACAACGCTCCCCGGAAGTGCACTCGTTTGGACTACGTGCCCTTGCACCCCGAAGAGTCGTCGGGCTCGTCGGCGCAGAGCGACTATGGCGTTGAGATTTCGTCTCCATCGCCGAGACTTGACCAAGTGATTGTCTTACACGCTTCCTCCGAGTCTCTTGATCTGCCACTCGTGGTGGCCGAAATCAGCGCGAGGCTTGCTAACTCCTGCGAGCAAATCGTGCAGATGCACCCCGAGCAGGTCACGTTTGGCGAAAAGTCCAATGTCAAGGACAAGACCGTCTTGTCATTGCTTGAAGCCGAGGAGAGCTTCGTTGATGGATGGTCGGAAAAGCAGTTCTCATGGCTGCGCGACCTATGCTCAACGGCCGAGACAATCTTGTGGGTCACTCGCGGTGCCGACGTTGGCAGCCCGGAGACCATCAAGTTCAGTGCCACTACTGGTCTGCTTCGCACAATCCGCGTCGAGAAGCCTCAGCTGCGACTCTTCCAGCTGGACCTGGACACGACTTCAGCACTGTACTCCGACAACAGCATCGACCTGATTGTCGATGCTTTCGAGACTTCTGTGCTCTCGACGGCAAAGGCAGTGGAGCAGGAATTCGTGCAGATTGGCGACGAGCTCCATGTACCGCGCCTGGTCACTGATGAGAGCTTCCATGCGGAGCTCAAGTCGGGCGCTGCGAACACTGCACCTGTCCTCCAAGCTCTTGCCACCATGCCATATCCCGTTCGTGCTATGGTCTCACAGGGTGGCAGGTCGCTGTGCTTCGTCCAGGACGACCAGTACGAAGCGGAACTCGCCGAGGATGAGATCGAGGTCGCTCCATCCGTCACAATGCTCGACGCTGCCGCCTTCGAGGCCGGTGCATCTCTCGGTCGCGATGCGGTCGGCACGATCACTGCCACTGGAGCTGCCGTCAAGGATTACAATGTCGGCGAAAAAGTGCTCGTGTGTGCCGCTGATTGCCTCCGCACCCGCCTGAGAGTCAAGTCCAGCTTCGTTCGCAAGCAGCCTGATTTCATCGGCGACGCGGTTGCTGTCACTTTGCCCACGGCGTTGAGTTTGGCTTGGCTGTCTCTGCTCGAGCTTGGTTTCCTCAAGACCGGTGAATCAATCCTCATCGCTGCTGAGCCAAATGCTACCACGGGCGCCATGATCTTCTTAGCCCAGCATCTCGGCGCGAAGGTCTACGCTTCGTTCACTACGGCTTACCACCACCGCTGGCTTGTCGAGCAAATCGGCTTGGAGGAGGATCAGGTCATCAAGGCGGACCGTGGCGACAACTTCAAAGAAACTCTGCTCCGTCGTAACAAGGGCAAGGGTGTTGATGTCGTTGTCACCTGCAGCCCCCACCAATCATTCAATGTTCTGGCTCCCTTTGGAAGATGCGTGTGTCTTGGGCCCAACCAGACGCTTCCGAGCACGGCACAACTGGCACTTGGTGTTTCGATCCACAATCTGGACATTGAACACCTCCGTGTCGCTGCACCAGAGAGAGTTGCCAGAGCCTACCAGAGTGCATGGAGTCTTGCTTCAAAGGGCGTGTTCCACACTTTGCCGCCAAAGAAAGCCCTCGACCTGGCAGACTTCGCCGCCCAGACGAATTTACCTGATGCCGTCAAGGCACCTGGCGCCGTTGCGGTCACGATTGATCCAGCTAGCAACGTGTGGACGCTTCCACCGCCGCCTGCGGTTCTCAACCTCGACCCAGAAGCCACGTATGTCCTGGCTGGTGGACTGGGAGGCATCGGTCGATCGATCGCCGAGACAATGTTCGCTGCTGGCGCCCGCAAGATCAGCTTCATCTCGCGCTCTGGCGCAAAGACCGAGGAAGCGAAGAAATTGCTCTCCTCTTTGCAGCAGCGTGGATGTCTGGCAAAAGCATATCCAGTCGATGTTTCATCATCCAGTGCTGTTGAGGCCTTCGTTCAGGCCAGCATCGAACGTGGCGAGACCATCAAAGGTGTGGTTCAAGCTGCCATGGTGCTGCAAGATTCCGTGTTCGACAACATGACGTTCGAACAGTGGACCAAGTCCACCCAGCCCAAGATTCAGGGAAGCTGGAACCTCCACCAACATTTCCCCAAGGATATGGACTTCTTCATCATGCTGAGCTCCATGGCTGGCATCATCGGCAACCCCGGACAGGCAAACTATTCGGCTGCTGGCACGTATCAAGATGCTCTGTCGGTGCATCGTCGCAAGCAAGGTCTCAACTCTACGACGATCGATCTTGGCATCGTCTCCGATGTTGGCTACATCGCCGAGAACCCAGAACAATTCGAAAGACTTCGCTACCTGAAGCCTCTGTTCATCTCCGAGCGAGACCTTCGTCTCCTCCTTTCGGCCGCTATGCTTGGCAAGACCATGGATGGCAACGACGTTCCCCCTCAAGTCGTCACAGGTGTCGGCAAGGAGCTGATGCAGGACGGAAGCATTGGAAGTGCCATGGCCGCCGATCTCAAATACTCCAGCCTGCACGGATCCAGTGAAAACGACACTGGAGATGCTGGAGAGGACGAGGCCGCACAGGAGGCTATGAAGACGGCTACCAGCCTCCAGACCGCGACCGAGTTCGTGGAGGCCGTGTTCGCCTCCAACATTGCCAAGGCTACTGGCATGGAGCCAGAAGACGTCGATCTTGACCGACCGATGCACGCATATGGAGGTGAGTTTCTCATTCTTTCACAGCTGTTTTTTCCACTCTTGCTAACTTGTTGTTTTTATAACTAGTTGACTCGCTCGCGGCCGTCGAAGTTCGCAACATGATCTTCCGAAAATTCAAGTCCGACGTCAGCGTTTTTGATCTTTTGAGCACACTCCCATTGCACAAGCTTGCCATTAGAGTGGTGGCGAAGAGCAAGCTCGTCAAGCACGAGGTGCAGGTTGTTGCTCAGGAAGAGAATGCCGAGTGAGTGAAGGCCGGTTGAATTTCTTTTGAGGGAGTTTTTTGTTTTCTTTCTTTCTTTGGCATTTGTGGCGTTGGAGGTTGTTGTTGGTAGAGGTGACTTACTTCCCTGTATGATATACGCTTACGTACAAGTAATGGTAGATTTCATGCCGTTTTACTATATTGTGCCTTGTTATCTATCTCTCTCGCATGATATACTCTTATGTACAAGTAATGGTAGATTTTATGCCGTTTCACTATATTGTGCCTTGTAATCTATCTCTCTTGCATGATATACTCTTACGTACAAGTAATGGTAGATTTCATGCCGTTCCACATTGCGCCGTTGGCCATCTGGGAGGAGTACGTGAAGACGGAGCTCTAGATGCCTTGCAATCTCTCTCGCTGCAATGACTCCGCAGCAATCTAGGAGTCGTGACCTCAATGCATAGCGGCCACTCGGACATACCCTCGGGCTCCGGTCGTCTCCATCTCGTTTCAGATGCTTAGTGCGTGCCTTCGTTGTAGAAACAAGCCCCCATCGCAGCAGAGTCATCTGCAGCTGCGTCTTCACATACTCCTCCCAGATGGCCAACGGCGCATCATGCTCTTCTCTTGACTTGACTTCAACGAACGTACGGGTCTCGTTGATACCAGATCGCAGGGTCGATGTGATTGAGGACCGGGTGTCTTCCGGTCTATGGAGTCCGCAGACCAGACCTTCGGAGGCCGTCAGTGTTCGATCTTGACCGAAGCGGCTATCTCCTCAACCTGACCCTCCAACAATTGCATCTCTTTCCGCCGTTGGGGAAGCGACTCATTGATATTGTCCAGAGCCAAATGTCGTGCCAAACCGAACCCTAGCCGTTGACACACCTCTCCCAGTATGTGTAGATATGTAGAAACGAGAAATATAAGCGATTCCTTCGGTAAGATGCTCCAGAAATGTAGGAGTAGTAAGCTGCTTAGTACTCATAACTAGGCGAGATAGAATAGGGAAAAGCTAAGGTACACAGGTACATGTACGACTCGTGTCGTGCCGGAAAAGCTTCCGAAAAGGTGCAAGCGCCCTCAGTTCTATCCTACGCGTCGTCCTCCAGCTCCACCACGCTCTCGCACTACTTGGATATGCACCGCGATGGAGCATTCCATGAAAAAAAAATCCGGCTCATTCTTCGTGCCACATCCAACGTCATCATTATTCGACCCATACATATGCACATCTATATCTAGTCTGAAGATGCTACTGTTCAGCACCGACAGCGAGGGCATGCAGATGAGCCCTTTTACCAGCCGCGTGAAACTCCTTCGCCAAAACCGAGCATGCAACGACTATGCAAACAGAAATGCGAATCCACCATGACCACGGCCACGAGGCACCCCGACCGCGATCCTCCACCACCACCACCTACCACGCCATCGCAGGATAATCGGTCTGCACCGTCGTCTCGATATGCCGGTGCAGCTCGACTGCCTTCTGCACGCCAGCATGGTGCTCGATCTGCGCGAGGAACACCTTGGTCTGAAGCAGGAGCAGGTCGATCTTCTTCAGCAGGAACATGCTCTCCATGCTGCCGCCGCCCAGAGGAGAGGCAGGAGGTTGCCGAGACAGCTTAGCCACAATCAGTCCGCAGAGCTCAAGCACTTTGAGGATGGCTGCGAGGATGAGAGCTGCCGCCGGACAATGGCTGGCAGCAGGTGCTTTGCTTGCAGCCACCGTGCATATCCGCGCCATCACGCTGAACACTTCATGTTCCACGGAGGGCATGAAGACGGGGTGGGCAATGTATTGGCAGTATTCGTCCAGCTTTTTGCAGACCTGCAGCGCCGATTCGAAGCCTAGGTCGTCCAGATCGATTGATTCGTTCGAGGGAGATGGGCCGAGCGAGGCCGGCGGGGAGAGTGGATATGCGGGCACGCCAGCCATATTGGCACGGGGCCATGCCGAGGTCTTGGGTAATGAGTGCGAGAGCATTGAATATGCAAATGCGTTCGGGTCGGGGAGTGATATGGCTTCGTCGGGTGTCCAACATATGTTCCACGCAGCCTCAACGTCCAATGCATCGAGGTCTGCCACTTGCATGAGATCGTGTTCGATGCCATGTGGGTCGTATTCTGGTGATGAGCGCTGAGGATTGCTACTACTGCTTCCTTGGATGTCATGTGGCTCCGGTCCTTGGGTTGATGGTTTGTCGCTCGTCACTCTCCTGGGCCGGCCGGGTTTGCTTCTCGGCGCAAATAGACATGCTGAGCCGCTGTGTACGCAATTGACGCAGGCGCTATCCCCAGGAGCAATGATGCAGCGGATCTTCCTCCTATGGCAGTTTTCACAAGCTCCCCTGATCTTTGGCTGGGTGGATGCTGAAGATGAAGAAGAAGACATGTTGTGAGGGTGGTTGTCGTTCCGAGAGCGAGCTCGCAAGTGCGTAAAGCTGGGGCAATTATTGTCCGAGAGCGCGTTGGTGGTTGGCAATATGAGCGTACTTGAGGTTCCAAGGCGTCAGTGCAACGAAAGCCGTCTGGCCACACCTGGATTCGCGGTACATCCATGTCCCGAAATAAGTCCCCAGACCACCCTGACATTGGTACCACTACTGTCGAGATAGCCATACGGGCTAACGATCGTTCAACACAACCGCAAAGACATATCAAGCGTCTGCCTCGGCAGTCGACATCAGGACCTCAGAACAACACATCACGGCGTCCATCGTGTGAGCACCACAGGTTCTGTGATCGGACTTCGAAGCCTGTACAACCAGAGATCGAGGAGGCCTTAATTGCAAACTCTCTCTCTCCCGCATACGAGCAGACAAGGAACACAGGTGGGCGCCATTGCCGCAGCACTGCATGTCTTGGGTGAGCTGGCCAATCATCGTGGGGCATCTCAGCATCAAGGTGCGTCATACGTGCCCTGCTGCGTGTATAAACTGTAACGACGCTAACTTGCCTCCACGTGCTGTTCTATTGAGTCTGCCAGACGCCGCCAATGCTTCTGCTTCTGCTTCGAATTCGCCGTGGCTGTGTTTCAGCCACCCATGATACCACCAGACGCTCGGCAAGCTGCACAAATGGAAACCCGATGCGAGACCCGGGCCTGCAGGCTGCCGCACGAACGATAGTAGAGCATTGCCCTTTCACCGCACGCTACACGTTGGGCCATATCGTCGGGTTCATCAATCTCGCTCCAAAGCGCGTCAGCTGTCTTGCGCTACTCCATCGGCACCTTCAACGGAACACCCACCGTCTGGCTGCTACTGAGATATGCTGGATTACCACCGCGGACTAGGCCCTGCTCGGCATGCGGGCCGCACACGTGCCCTTCAGACGCAGATGGACGGGGACGGCGGGGGTCCGGCAGCGAAGGCCCGGTGTGGCCGCAGACGGCATGCGCACGCTTCCGTGGTTTGACAATGGAGGCGGAAGGACCAGGACAGCGTTGCTGACTTCATCACCACATTGACTACACCAAGCATTCCAGGGTCTTGGTGCGTTGGCTTGGCAGTCGCGAAGTCGTCTACCCCGAAAGAGCGCTAGCCACGACAGCACGACCGCACGACCACTGGCGGGAAAATCATCGGCCCGTCCACAACCTGAAATTTGGTTTCCTCATTCGGATGGGTGCGGCCTCAGCGATGTTGACCATCTCGGGGGATTTTCATGATAATGCGCCGCAACATGGTGCCACAAGCTTTGTTTGTCCATGACTTGCGAAGATTCTGGCATGGCGCTTTGGTAGCGGGACTGGGCTCGCAAGCTCAACGCGCACTACGCGATGTGCTCGAGTCTGGCCGCCAGCCATATGAAGCCGCTATCAATCATGACGAGACATGGTTCTTCCCAACTCGACCGCAAAGCAGCGGACAGATTATCAGATGGAAGGAAACGCTGCAAATCGTTTTGGCAGCACGGACCACCATGAATTGGAAGTCATCTCACCGCACGGAGATGCAGTCGAATGCCTTTCGGAGAACGCCAGCTCGACGACCACGAAGCCTGGCAGTGCATCGCATTCTACCTTGGCAGCAAAAGCAAGTGATTTCTCAATGACAAGCGGCGAGATTTCACTGTATCCCAGATGCAATGCAGCCGAGAGCAAGGAAGCAACTGCAGCAGACACGGAAACACCTATTGCAGCCAACTCAAAGGTCGTTCCCACATGGCGCTTCGCTGTCTTGAGTCTCAGGTACGTATCCAAACTTGTCAAGCAGAGCCTCACCGCTCACTTTGTCCTACCTAGTCTCGGAAGTGGACTCTTCATGTCCTTCATGGATGGCTCCATCACATCAACCGCACTCTACACCATTGGCGTCGAATTTGAATCATCAACCAAAGTAACCTGGATTGCATTGGCTTACTCTCTGGCAGACGTAGGACTGGCGATTGTCTTTACCACCGTGGCAAACATCGTTGGTCGATTCAAAGCCTACTTGGCCGCACAAACCATCTTTGTAGCATTCTCATTTGCAGCAGGCTTTGCAAAGTCCCTCGACCAACTCATTGCCTTTCGAACGCTTCAGGGAATTGGGGGATCTGGACTCTACACCTTGGCCCTAGTCATCTGGCAGGAAGTGAGCACGCCGGCGAGGCGAAAATGGATTGGTGCATCCATTGGGCTGTGCGTTGCTGCTGGCGGTGTCATGGGCCCCATTCTTGGAGGTCTGATCACAGGCTCGACCACGTGGCGCTGGATATTCTGTAAGTCTGAGTGTGCCTATTATGCCCCTGCCAGTCGTTGAGCTAACGACTCAATGCTCGGGCGTCAGGGATCAATCCGCCCATATCACTCATCTCAACCACTCTTTTTATTGTCTCATTCCCACATGGTCGCGGCCGGCTGCCTAAGGGAAATGTCCGAGCCATTCGAAGATTCGATGTGGTCGGGTGCGTACTCCTCATCGCAGGCTGCGTACTGCCCGTCTTCTCCTTGATGCACGGCGCCGAAAAGCCGGGAAGCTGGGACGACGCAATTTTCATCGGCGCCATCGTTGCCGGCATAGTCAGCTGGATTGCTTTGATTCCGTGGGAAATGTATATCGCCAGGAAGCACGGAGACAAGCTTGATGCCGTCTTCCCCATTCACATGTTCAAAAATCGCAGATACGCTGCGAACGCTGCAAGCTCCCTTCTGATGGGTGTAGGCTTGTGCCTGGCCATCTACGATGTTCCATTACGTCTTCAGACTGTGAATGGGAAGAGTCCTATGCAAGCCGGGATAAGTCTGCTGCCTCTGCTCTGTTTTTCCGCTATTGGGAGCACCCTGGGCACGTTGCTGTCGCCACAACGCGACAATCTCTGCCCCACCATCGCAGTGGGTTCGGCCTTCATGGCCCTTGGCACAGGCCTCTTAGCAACCTTGTCCGATGCTCAAGCTGTGGAGGCGAAGCTGTACGGCTTCCAGGTCTTTGTTGGTCTGGGATTTGGCATGACGGCCTCCTCATCCAGCCTGATCAGCAACATCGAGTCAAAGCCGAAGGATCACGCGGTCGCCCAGGGTGTCGTCGCTGCTGCTCGTGTTTTCGGTGGCAGCGTTGGGTTGGCAGGTGGTACTGCCATCTTAGGGCAGAAGGTCCTTACACAACTGCGTGGTGTTGTCACGACAGATCAGATGTCCCATCTCACTTCCGTCATGAAGGACAAGACCCCGACCCAGCTTGCCGCGATCCGACATACATATTCCGATGCCTTCAACGAGACTTTCATCATGGCCGCCGCGATCTCTGTTGCTGCTTTTATCGCTGGAGTTTGTACGTGGAACGACAGCAAGGAAGATTTCCTCGATCGTCTCGCGCATAAGGGACAGATGCAGCCCGATGTTAAACCGCAGATCGACAGTTGAGAGGGCAAGCAAGCTCGGCTTCACCGGGCTGGGCTGGGAAAAAGCTAGCTTGGGCATTTCAGCTTATCTAATAATTTTCTACTATGTACATAGATACTAGTAATGCAAGCTCGGCTTACCTACCTTAAAAAAAACTTTAGAGAAACTCTATACCAGGCTTAGTAGTATATTTTTAGAAAATATTTATTTATATATTATTTTGTTTAATAGTAATACTAAATATGTAAATAATAGTATAACTGTAGTCTATACTAAAATACTTCTAGTACTATATACTTAGTATTATTTTATATCTATAGTATTACTATATTTAAGATAAATATAATATATAGTTTATTTTAAAAAAGAAATTACTTTTTTAAAAAAGAATAGATTTAATAGTATATTAGAACTAAACATTTTTTTTAAAAAAAAATAGTCTATAGCGAAGCTATTAGTAGAATTATAACTAAAACTAGATAAATATTATATTTATATAATTTATATAATTTTCTTTTTTTTTTAAAAAAAAACTACTAGTTATAATTAAAAATAGCTTTTATACTATGAGTAGTGTTTATTATAATAACTTATAGTAAACTCTTAATTTAGGTATTATAAAAAATTAAAAAAAAAATCTACTACTACTACTAGTACTTGTATATAGATAGATAGATATTTCATTTGCCTGTTATAGTGCCTTTCGGCCTATGTAGGTCTGTTTCTATATATTGTTTTAGGTAGGAAACCAACTCGGTTAGTAAAAACCTCCCTCCTATCCTATTTATAAGTATTGATCTTCCTCGTTTCCTTGTTTTCCTTCCTCTAGGGTATACTAGTGTTATAGTTGTTACCCTCTAACTACCTTGCCTACTACCCTGCCCTTCTTTCCCCCTCTTCTTCCCTCCTTCTTATCTACTCTTTAGTTTCCCTTACTAGTGCGAATTGTTGTACAAATCCCTGTTTAATAATCTACTTTACTATCCTCTTTAGGTCTTCTTTGCTCTAAATTAGCTTATCGTATTCCCTTTCTATTACTCTTTATCTCTAATTACTTCTGCCTTCTAACTATTAAGGGCAGACTAGCAGCATATGCTTAGGGTTCTAAGATTAGTAGCTATATTAGCAAGCTCTGCTTTCAATTCCTAGGACGTTTCTTCTAAATAGGTAAGATCTAAGTCTAATATGTTTAGATCTAATTTAGATAGCTAGGCTTGCCTCGGCCCTATTTAGGTCCTTATAGAGCTAGTAGTTGTATTGACTAAATTTAATTAGTGCCTTTAGGGTTCCTAGTCTAATTTGTGTTTTATTCTATTCCTGCTCCTATAGGTATCTAGCAATTAATTCTGCTAGGCTTTGTTTCTCTCTCTTTAGCTTATCTTCCTTTAGCCTTATATTTAGTCCCTAAAGCTCTTTCTCTAGCATTTCTCTTATTAAGACTCTATATTGCTCTAGGTCTTTAACTTTCTAGGGAGTTATTTGTAGTCTATCTCGCCTCCTAGTCCTAATATACTAGGCTTTTATCTTGTCTAGTACCTTTTAGATAGTCTATTAGGCTAGGTATTCTATTGTCTTTGCTATATATTAGTATCTTAGTCCCTTAAAGTATTGCTTGACTAGTAGGATCCCTAATTCCATTTCTACTACCCTTGTTAGTATAGTTTTGTATACTCCTAGGATTTTCTTTAGGCTTTAGGTTTAGGACCTGCTAACTAGTTGCTTAATCCTCTTTAGTGTTTTCTCCTAGGCTATCTATATCTATGCTCTATATAGTATTGCTAGCTTAACAATTGCTTTATATATAACTTTGGCTTTCTCGAATATAGCCCCCTATATAGAGGCTATAAGCCTATTAATAGATTGTATATTAGTATCTACCCTCTGCTTTGCCTTCTTTACTTATAGTCCCTAATTCAGTTTTGGATCTAGCTAGATCCCTAGTACCCTAAGCTCTACTAATAGTTGGGTTTTAAAGCCTTAGATAGTGATTGATTGCTTTATATTATAGGTTGATTTAGCCTTACTAAAGTGGATAAGCTAGTACTTTTCTAGGGCGAATTTTGCTCTATGCTTCCTTGCCTATTTTTTATACTCCTAGTGCTTCTCTTCGAGGATCTTACAGTTAGTTTCTATTGTCTTAGACTAGGCTAGGATATTTGTGTTATCTACAAACCCTAATACTAATATGTTTTTTAATTCTAGGAGTAGGAGTAGGTCTGCTATAAAGATAAGGAAGAGGATTAGGGAGAGTGTTAATCCTTAGGGGATTCCCTTTTTAGTTAGTATTAGGTCTAACTTGAATTTGCCTAGAATAAGCTATATTGATCTTTCCTATAGGAAGGACTAGATAAATTAGACTATCCAGTTTAGTATAGCTTTCTATTTAAGTATATATAGGAGCCTTTTATAGGAGACATTATTAAAGGCTCCTAAGATATTAAGGGAGAGGAGGGTTGCTACCTAGTTTTAACTATAGTACTAGATATACTTGATCTATTCTGTAATTAGTTCTATAGCTGTTGGTATTAACCTCTTCTTTCTTCCTCCTATCTAGCCTTTAGGAAGGATGTTCCTTTCCTCGGCAAAGGTTATTAGCCTTTTAGCGACAATTTTTTCTAGTACCTTGCCTATTATATTAAGTAGGGCTATTAGTCTATAGGCCTTGAGCTACACACAGTCTTCCTTCTAGGGCTTCCTTAGCACTACTATTAGGGACTTCCTAAATAGTCTTAGGTAGTGTCTTAGTGCTAGGCTTTATAAAAAGATATTAGCTAGTGCTAGGGCTAGCCCCTTCCTATATGCTTTTAGAAGTTTATTATAGATCTTATCTTCTCCTAGTGCTTTGTTGCCTGAAATTTTCTTTAGGATCCTTTCGACAGTTTCGGGTTTAACCTAGGTGTCTCTTAGTATGCCTAGTAGTAGAGTCTCTTATTCTTTCTCCTTTATATCCGATAGGTCTGCTTATACTTTTCTAAAGAAGAAGTATTAGCCTAGGGCTCTTGCTTTCCCTTCTATTATAGTCTGCATTTGTCCTTGTTAGTCTATAATGTCCGGGAATTGTAGTAGCGTATCCTTATCCTATTTAGGTCTCCTAGCCTATTTAGCTATCCTCTATATCTCCTCTAGTTTCTTTATAATTATTCCTATTATAGATCTCTATTCTTGTATCTTATCTTTCTTAATCTAGATCTTCTTTTCCTAGTAGGCTTTGTTATAGTTATCCTATGCTTCCTAGGTATAGGTTTGTATCTACTGCCTCCTAGCCTTCCTTGCTACTTTAACCTTCCTTATATACTTACTAGTCTAGTATAGTTGTTAGTATAGTAAATGTTTCTTTACTAGGGTATGCTTTCTAGCTACCTATTTTAGGATTCCTATTAGTTCTTCTACTACCTTATCGATATCCTCTAGCCTTAGTAGATGCTTTATTAAGAGTTCCTCTAGTTTTAGGTCCCTTTCTAGTTCCTCCCTAATCCTGCCCTATTAGGCACCTTTCTAGTTAAGCTTCTCCTCTAGTTCCCTTTCCTAATTAGCTTAGACATTTAGCTTAATCTGTACCGGGAAGTAGTCTAATAATTCTTCTAGTTCCTAGTTAACCCTGCATCTTGTAATCCTATTCCTAATCTAGTGTAATGCAAAGTATAAGTCTAGTATACTACTGCTTCCTCTTGCCTCCTAAGTAATTAGTCCCTTTAGGGTAACAATTTCTATTCCTTCCCTCTCTAATATATTAATTAGTCTTCCTACTAGGAAGTAGTAAGCTAGGGTAAAGTCTAAGCCCTAGAGGGGATAGTAGAGGTTGAAATCCCTAAGTAGGATTTAGTAGGTGTTCCCCTAGATAACTCTAGGTAATCTTTCTAGGGTTTTTAGTTAGGTACTGCTTCTTAAGTCTAGTAGTAGGTTGTATATATAGTGGACTTAGAGTGTACCTTAGGATGTCTCTACTTGAACTAATATTAGGTCCCTATCCTCCTATAGTATAGCCTACTAGGTTTCTGTATCTATCTCCTTACTAATATAGATACATGTCCTTAAGGCTCCCTAGTTATAGATAATTAGGTAGTATCTTAGGTCTTTAACTGTTGCTAGTCTCTTTATATATAGGTTGAGCTAGGGCTCTTAGATTGCGATAATATAATGTTCTTTTAGGTTTAGTACTTAAAGGAAGCTCCTCTATACCTTGTCTTTGCTCTTGTTAACATTGTACTATATAATATTTAGTAATATTGCAATGTTTATTAGGTTTTATCTATATTATTTCCCTATAAGTTTTCCTTTAGTCTTCCCTTACTTTGGACTAATATTTAACTAAGCTTTGTCTGCCCTACTTCCTTTCCTACAATGTTAAGGTATCTTAGTCTCCCTAGTTACTAGTAACTCTCTTATACTAGTAAGGCCCTAAATGTGAACCTATTATCTTGTCTAGACCTCTTTTATAGTACTTAGCTAGGTTGCTTCTATACCTAGCTACCCTAGCTTATTATATATCTTTTTAGTATATTAATTCTAGCTTCCTTTACCTTCCTAGCTGCCTATATTCTTACTAGGCATTCCTTCGCCTAAGAGGGGTGTCTTTTAGTGTAGTATGTATATCTTGCTTCTCCCTTATATGCTTTGTATTCTTTAACCTAGTAATCCTTTATATAATAGGAGTAGGTGTTAGTTGTCTTTGTATACTTAGCTACTAAGTGTCTATAGTATTAATATTTGAAGTACTGTATTATCCTATAGTTGCTTCTATATATCTCTGTTTCTAATCTTTTAAAGTCCTAGAACAACCCCTAGTCTAGTACTATATTAGCTTGCTCTATACTCCCTACCTAGATAATTAGGGAAGACTACTTCTTAGTCTCTTCGATTTTCCTTTTAATCTATGCTACTTTTGTAATCTTTAGGCCTAGGTATATAGCTTGGTTTTGTCTCTATAGGCTCTTAATATCCTGTTCTTCCTTAAAGCTTCTTATTATACTATAGGCTATAATTATAAATTGCTATTAGGAGACCTTTGCTGTTTTCCCTATCTTAGTTGTCTATTCTTTTTGTATTTCTAGCTTCTTTTTGTCCTACTCTTATACTATAAACAGCTTGATTACCCCTTTATCTTCGTTCCTAGCCCTAATTACCTCTTTAACTATAATTCTTTCTATAATCTCTTTCCCTATAAGTCCTTAGATTTCCTTTTGCTCCTATAGGTCCGTAATATAGACTCTAACTACTGTCCTCGGGGGTTTTAGCGCCTCCTAACTAGCTACTACTACCTAAGTGCGGTAGTTTAGGCTTGTCTCCTATTGTTTCTTCGTAATCTTTACTGCGACTATATTAGCTACCTTTATAATTACGTAGCTTACCTAGTTATAGATTGCTTTTAGTCCTCTAAGGAGTTCTAAGATTATTATCCTATATGCCCTCTTAGGGGTTCTTCTATCTTCCGCCTTTAGCACTTCCTCTACCCTAGTATATAGTGCTTTCTATTCGTCCTCCCTTCCTTCTTAACTATCTTCCCTTCGTCTCTAATTATTCGCTACTATTAGCGCTTTTTTAGGTAAGCTATATAGGATTCTATAAAGTAAGCTTATAACCTTCTCCCTTAGTTTACGAGCTTCGTATTCTCGGACATTCATAGCTAGGATTAGGTAAAGAAATGCTAAGAGAATTCAGGAACTTGCGGGTCGGATGCAGGATCTAGCTTGTCTAAGAGCTTAAGTTTTTATTAATACTACGACACCACATTACTTGCAGCTTTGATAAGTGCTATACTATAGCGTCCGTTTTGTCGTTTTAACCCCTAAAAGCTTTTCAGTTGCCTTCGCTGCCTTACCGACATTTTCTAGGTATATGTACAAGAATATACACCGCCGTGTCCTGCCCGCTCTACAGCCTATACTACTGTTGCCGCGGCACCTTGTCCTACGTACGCACGTACGCTCTTGACTTAAACCCGAAAATCTTCGGCTACAAATTTTTTTTCAAAGGAGATGTTTTACCACTGTACTCCCAGGATGCGATGCAAGCTTATTATTAAGTAAGCCAGGATCTCGAATTGCCTTGCCTTGCCTTGTCAAGCACCAGCACTGTTAAAAAGTCAAATTTTGGGCTAGTTTGGAGCGACTATCCGCGACGAATGGATTATTCTCGGTTCTAGAAACCCCCCCCCCCTACCCCTGGGTCTTTAGAAGCGATGGAGAACCCTGGAAGGAAGTTCAGGAACAGTTGCAGCGAGAGGAGGAGCGTGGGGTTTCAACTTCAACGACTGAAGAAAGAGTAGGAAATGACTAAGATGCTAATAACAACATTTTTCTATACCGCTCATCAAGGTCATGAGCTTACCTTCAATTACGACGCTGCCAAAATGCGATTTAGGACCATCTGCGGTTAACGCCCTGGGGGGCACGCTTTTATGCCGGCATTGTTGTTGATGCTTGCATCCTCGTCAGTCCCTTTATTATTCTAATCTAAGTCAACGTGGCACGACACTGCTCATCACAGAAATTTTCGACTTCTGCTCGGCCGATACGAAGTTTCCACGCAGCTGCTCGAACGGAATCGAACGAGTTGGCATATTGTGATTCTTTTCTCACCAAATCTTGGTCGCGAATCACTTCTTGAGAAGGAGATCTGTCATCTCCGGGGTCCTTTTGTTGGATGCTGATGAACGATCGGCACAGGGTTGTTGTTTTGAGTCCGGTTTCGCAATAGCTTGGAATACTTTCGAGAGACGAATTCTTTCCGGTTAAAAAATAATTGCAGAACGTGATTTGTGTTCTTGTATCGCTCTTTGCATTCCATTTTCCTCGCTAGCAAGCAAGCAAGCAAGCAAGAATGCCACAGGCGGTCGACCAGCCTGAAACATAGTCACTTCCATATTTTCTGTGTCGACGATCGTGAAGACCTCAAGTCGCCAGGCTGCGGCATTACGAGCGATCCGCGCAGTCTCAGGACCTGTCGTCGGATCTACGCCCACGCATTCGCCATATGTGTTAGGGTGATGGCGCGAGAGGGGAGAGCTATACGGTGCGCATTGAAGCGACCTAAGTGGTGTGCCAAAGATCCGCTTCTCCATATTGAGATGGCCTTCGAATCCAAAGAGCCAGGGCTGCGCGTTCCAGAACTTGCCTCCGTCAAGAAAGCGGACCAGATCAGGTGCTCCGAGAATGGCGATCAGTGAATAGATCAGCAAGAATTTTCCTGCTCCATCTCTGGAATTGATCTGACCAGGAAGTGAAGGTGTTGCGAGCAAAGCGATGGCGATGGAGGAGATTCTTGGAGCACCGTGTTCGAAGAATTGCAGTGCTAGGCGTTTCCCACCATACTCGGATGAGATTCGCGATCCGCTCAAAGGAAGTACTTCCATGGTGCACTTGCTCTACGGAGACCATCCTGGACATGCTATTAGCTATGATCGATCATTCAGTCGATCGAAGAAACACTCACGATTATGACCGTGTCTTCGTGACCGACTCCAGCCACTCGACGAGTCGGATAGATTCTCCACAGTTTGCACTCCCACGCGTCTTCCATTTTGCTCCAGTGCTAGTCTTTGTGTTTCGGAAGAGTCGAGGTGAGACGCCCCGGAAGCATATCGCTGTCCATCACCATAGAAGAATGAGCAAAAGATTGCAATTCAGAATCTGTCCTGTCCACTCTGGGTCTCAGTCGAAGGAGAGCATAGCTGTGGTGTCCAGGGAGATACCGAGAGGTCGAATGACTGTGCAAGCACTGCAAAGCAAAGTCGGTATGAGGCTTCACGATCGTCTTCAGCGGGATTGATTGCAGGCAATCTTTGGATAAGGATAGTGCTTGTACGAGAAGACACCATACTTTCCACCGTTTCGCTCACGTCCGTTGCATCATCACCGAGAGAGGCGCATTCTAGGAAGCCATGTCAGTAGTTGCTTCGTTCGTTCGTTCGTGATGGATGTATGTGGTTGGAGTCAGTCTCCAAGAGTCCTAATATCGCTTCTTCTCCTGCGAAGCGTACTCGAAGAAGGTTGGTTTACATGAGCCTTGCGGGTTTCCGTACGTCAGCGATTGTATCTTACCTGTATGCCAGACGCCACCTGCCTGCTATTATTTGCTTATTGATAGTCTACAATCAAGCTTTAACAAAAGCGCGTTCAATTCGGTATACGACACGCCTGCAGTCCAGACCTTTTTCCAGCGGCGGTGAGGACTGTCGCTCTAGACGAGGGTGAGCAGGCGGTGTATTGTATTTGGTACACGCTATGATTGGGGATTGATTGTAGCAGAGGGCGGCTGAAGTCTGGCGAAAGTGGGAGTAGTAGCTGGCGTCTGGCGGACTTGAAGCGGTGTCTTGTTGAGTCTCGCTTTTATAATAGAACAGTTCTACCTGTCATGTGAGTGCCAAGTAGGTCCTGCCGTACTACAGTACCACACTGTAACTTTTATGACCATCGCCCCTAACATGATCACGCCCGAATATTTTCCCTTGCCGCATCACTACTGCAGCAGTATCGTAAACTCGAAAGGACCCGTCTTCAGCGCATATTCTTCAAGTGTACTAGGACCACAGCTTCCAGTACCGATACCGTGATGATCAGCATCAAGTCTCAGGATCACATAATCCTTCTTGGCGACCTCAAGCTCGTACGGATGCTGCGCCGCATCGATATCCTTGACATCGAAGTGACTGGCCATGAAATCGAACGTCTTTCTCTCGCCGGTGGAGCTAGTAGGTTCATGGAATTGCGCCGTGATCTTCGTCTTGCCATCAGATAACACAAGCCATCGGGTATCAGTGCGATTCGAGCATTCTTGGGGAAATTCTGGACTTGTCCACAGATCGACAATACGGGGAACGGTGTGCAAAGCGATTCGCTGCGAAAGCTTCATGTCCTTGTACGCCTCGCCAGGTCCGCGGCCGAACCAGGTCACGTTTTGAAACTCGTTCTTCACGCCCAGGGTGACACCAATTCGCGGAAGTGTTTTGGGCAAGTTCTGACCCTGAGGATTTCCTTTCACGTTGACACGAATTGTACCGGAAGGTGAGAACTCAAGCTCTGTGCTGAGTTGCAAAGACCAGGATAGAATGGGTGGGCCGAAGTTTTGCTCGAAGCTGACTACGATCGAACCATCTTCGGTTTTTTGCCAGTGTGAGGTTCGAGTCTGGATCTTGGCAAGATGCAGGTAACGCTCTTTCCAATCTTTGCCGTCTTTGGGACCATCATTGTCAGTCAGTGCTCGATAGAAAGACGGCTGTAACGGCTCCGCGATGAGTGGCTTTCCCGCCTTGTCCCATGAGATCAAGCAGCCATTGACAAGGTCGACTTGCCATCGAGATTCGACCCCCACGATCAACAGCGTGGTAGGAGTTGCTTCTACCTTCAGTTCTTCTTCACTGAGATTGGGTGTCTTCACTGCTGGAGTGGAGCTTAACTGAACCTGCAGAAGCGCCACCTCATGTCCTTTCTCGGCCCAGAGCGTGTCTTCCTTGGTGCAGAAGCGAAGATTCAAGAATGCTTCGCCAACAAAGGTCCGTGACCGCGCGTCTTCCGGCACAGATAAAGTCGCTGTCGCGCCTGGTCGAAGTCCGACCGGTAGTGCAACGTCGCCTCCGGGGTAGTCTCCAGCCTCGTCGCTGATAGACCATTGGCAGACCAATAAGTCGTCCAGCGAAGCAAAGTCCAGTCGATTGATGATGGTAAATTCAACCGCAGACGAGGAAACCAGCTGCACGGGCTCGACAGCCTTTTTATACTCGATCAAGCCGCTGCGAGGGCTGTGATCAGAGTTCAGAACGCCATCCATCACAAAGTTGTAGTCGTTCGGCACGTCACCAAAATCTCCACCGTATCCGTAGAACTCTTGGCCATCGTTGGTTTTCGTCAACAGGCCGTGGTTGGCCCACTCCCACACCCAGCCTCCTTGGAGCTTGGGATACTGATAGAAAGCTTCGACATATTCCTTGATATTGCCGGGCCCAGTTCCCATAGCATGGATGTATTCGCACAGCACTAGCGGCTTCACTTTCGATTTGTCTTTGCCAAAAGCGACGATCTCATCGATGTATGGATACATTCGAGAGTGCATATCGACATGCTTTGCCTCGAGATCGGGCTCGTAATGCACGAGTCTAGTGCTGTCGAATTTCTTGATCCATTCTGTCATCGCTGTATGATTTCTTCCATAGAAAGCCTCATTTCCAAGACTCCAGATGATCACAGAAGGGTGCAACTTGTCGCGATGCACTAATTGCTTGGCACGGTCTAAGTATGCTTCTCGCCACTCTGGATTGTCTGACGTCCACTTCGCAGCCGCATGTCTTGTGTGCTTCTGCCTTTCAAAGAACGGCAAAGCCTGCTGCTCAGGCGGCAATGCTGCATCAGCAATCGTCTCGAAGCCGTGGCACTCCAGGTCGGCTTCGTCCATGACCCACAGACCCAGCTCGTCCGCCAAGTCGCATAGTCGGGGATCACTGGGTTGGTGACAAGTTCTGATCGCGTTCAAGTTATGTGTTTTCATGAGGATCAAATCTTGTTTCATGAAGTCATACGGGACGGCGCGACCGTGCAGTGGATGGTGCTCGTGGCGATTTGCGCCCTTGAAAACTACCCTCTGTCCGTTGACATTGATGAGACCGTCCTTGAGCTCGACCTGTCGAAAGCCCACTCGGTGGGCAGTATGCTGACCTTCGAGCGAGACGACAAGTGTATACAAGTACGGTGTCTCTGCAGTCCATTTATTTGGATTTTGAACATGGATGGTTGCTGGGACTGTAGCGGTGGCCGGCTCAGTCTTCGACTCTGAAGCAGTACCGACTTCGCTGCCATGCGCATCCAGAAGCTTGAGGGAGATATCCCCTGATCCAGTCACAATCGCATCGACCTCGAGAACAGCATCACGGTAATCCTTGTCAAGCACCGTCCGGATATCCAAATCTTCGAGGCGCGTCTGCTTCGGAAAGGCCAGGAGGAAAACATCGCGAAAGATGCCACTTAGCCACCATCTTTACAAAGCGAAGGGTCCGAGGTCAGCAAAGGTCTCCATATGCCTTGAGCCCGTCAGACTTACTGGTCTTGATCCTCGATGTAGCTCCCATCGGTGAACTGGTACACACGTACTGCAAGGCTGTTCTCCTGGTCCGGCTGTACGAAAGCGGTCACGTCGAATTCGGACGGGTTTCTTGCACCTTGACTGTAGCCCACTTCCTTCCCATTGATCCAGACATGAAAGCCTGAGTCGACGCCTTCAAATCGAAGCCGCAGCTGATGGTCTCTGAGATGTGGCGGGACTTTGAAGCGGGTGAGATAAGAACCACACTCGTTATCGGTGACAGGTGGCAAGGGAGGAGATGCGTTGAAGGGAAAGTTCACGTTTGTATAATGGGGTCCACGACCGAAGCCTTGCAATTGCCACATGCCCGGAACGTGGACGTTGTTCCAGCTCGTGCTGTCAAATGCCGTGGTCTCGAATCCCACTGGCGCTTCCAGAGGCGAGTTCGACCAGTGAAATTTCCATGAACCCGATAAGCATAGCGCCTTGGCCTTCGAGACATGGCGGGAGACAGCATCGTGCTCGGTGTCGTAGAGATAGAAGTGAGAACGAGGGTCCAAAGTGTTTCGGTGCAATACCTCGAGATTTGCCCAATCCGGCCTCGTGTCGTGGCTGTGAGTGGTTGCCATACCGCTTGACTTTGTTGTCGACGGGATCGAGTCTGTTGGTGCGACCTGCTTTTGCCGTCCTGCGCTCAACTAGAACTACGAATACGAATCCAGCACGCCTCCCTCCACATGCCGACGAGGTGAGAATGGGCCGGGCCTGCTTGCTGCTGCACTGCACTGCATCGGCCCACGCCGCCACCACGCTCTGCATATCCGGGGTTTCTTCAGTCACTTCACCCCGCTGATCGCGGGGATTTGGTCTATACGTAAAATCGGCTTTTCTTAGTAGGCCATACGTAAATATCGATATGGTGGTAGGTTCCAGTCCCATATGGATATCCAGGTGTATGCAGTATTGAACCGCGAGTCTAAATATTATATTGGCGAGGTTATCCGAGTGTGTGGTGGCTGTAGACCTCACTGCCGCCGATTATTATGTAATCCCTTGGCAGGCGCGTCCACCTCCATTCCAGCGCGTATTCCATTTTCTATGAAGTACCAAAGAAGTCGGCTAGATACAAAGGTAAGGTGACAGCGACTGGCAGTGCGGCCTGTCTAGTAAAGATTGAAGATACACAGGACAGTGGCTATTGTAGCTAGCTATTCACTCTAGCGTAGGAAGTAGTCTTCACATGCTCGAGATATAGGCCTACTTGTAAAGTCGTAGATCACATGATTGACGCCAAGTATGCGCTGAGACGGCTACCACCTGATATCTACGTTGTTTAGTCGACAATTCTACCTCTACATATTCACCTGTCTATTTACAAGCCACTTATTAGTCTATATCCCGACAATGGCACCCCCATCGAACGTTTCCATCGAGATTTACGTATGGATTACTATAGAAAGCGCGATTTTACGTTTGGCTTAAATCCCCGAGCTGGGCGAGGGGCGGAGTGTGTGACAGAGCCTCGGATAGTTCTGTCATCCATCGTTCAGTGTTCACGTGCAGGCAACGTGTCTGTGGAGGAACATGGGAGCGGGCCATGTCCGGTCGGGGCGTGGGCCGAGAATCTTCCGGACTTCTTCCTTCCGCCGCCTTCCCGATTCGGGGCGGAGGCCTCTCGTGATGCGGCGTGGACCGAGCCGTGCGTCACGGCAATTGACGGGTGAAGTTGTGACCTCCAACCTGATACGTGCGGGATATAGGCCTTGTAGAGTGCGTTTACCTCGCCGCCGGTGGATATCGTTTGTATAGGCTAATCCACCGATTATTCTACCTCTTGTCTTCTACCGCTTTTCTACCGAGCTGTTTATATACTATTTAGGTAGATATAGTCGGTAGATTGTAATTAATTACTATAGCGTCGTCCGAGCGCGGTATACTATATCTAGTAGGTATAAGCGTCTACCGAAAACCCGGTTTAAAAGCGCGTATTCGGTAGATAGCACGCGTCCTCGAATATAGTACTATATTATAATATTTTATCGCTTGCTATTACTATAGACTCTAATACGCGCTACCGTATCGGTCTCTTACTTTATATAATAGCCGGCTATTAGAATGCGACACTTACCGCCCTCCTACGCCGGAAACAACGTAAAAAGTGGTATAAACTAGCGGGCGTAGTATAGACGCTTATATAGGCGAAGAAGAGTCGATATAAGGTATTTTAAGTACTATTCGGACCGCCGAAGGAGAGCTACGATATAACAGGCCTGCGGCAGGTAGTATTAAGGAGTTTGATTAATAAATTAGACGAGAAGCTATTAGTACGTTGTCGCGGGAGGAAGGACGATTTAATAGTCGCTAAGAAGGTAATAATCTATTATAACTTCGTATACTATAACTATACGATAATAGACCTAAGAAGGCACTATTAGCACTCGTTACGGACCTTTCATCTAGTAATAAAGGAAGTTAGCAAGGCGCTCTGTTAACTAGCGGACGAATATATATAAGAGCCGGAGTTAGCGACTTACCCTAGGCTTATAACTAGAAAAGATGCTAGAAAGTTTAGATACTTCGCGGATTGTCTAGGAGCGATTAATAGCACGCTTATTCTAGTAAGTGTGCCGTATTTAGAACAAGGTCTATATCGTTATAGGAAGAACTTTATTGCGTAGAATGTAATAGCGGCCTATAGATTTAATATAGTTGTTTACTACGTTCTTGTCGGTTACGAGGGAGCTAGAAACGACGGTTAGGTATTAAAGAAGGCGTATTCGAAGGGATTTGAGGTAACTGCTAGTAAGAAGTATTTAGTAGACAGCGGTTATACCTTTAAGGATAAGCGGCTTCTCGTACTATACGAAAGGACTCGATACTACCTTCGAGAACAGGCCGCTACTAGCAGGCGCCCTATTAATAAGGAAGAGTTATATAACCTCCGTTACGCTTAGCTTCGCAACGTTATCGAGAGGTTATTTAGGGTAATATAGAAGCGCTTCGCACTTATTAAATAAGGTCCCTATAAATACTATTCGATACGCTCGCAGTCGAGGTTTATTATATCCTATTTTGTGCTCTATAACTTTATTCTTCGCTATAGAGCGTAGCCTCTCTCGCAAGAGCCTAAAATTACTAAAGTCTACCTTTCTAAGATCGAGGACGACGACGATAGACTACTAGATACTATTGCCGATAGTAACGACCCTTACTAGCGCTATCGTAAGCGGTTTTCGCAGTTTATATAGGATGATTATAAGCAATATCTAGAAGACAATAGTATAGATAAGAGGGAGGTCTAAGAAGCTAAGTTTTAGGCGTAGAGGTTAGAAGCGATAGCTACTATACTAGCAATATATAGTAGCGAGGAGACCGCATTAATTTGTATAAGGAATTTAGTAAGGAATAGGCTTGTCTGCTCTGTCTGCTATATTCTAGCACTTCTAGTATCTAGCTTAACTTCTTTAATATTGCTATACGTCTAAATATCCGGCTTCTTAGCACTCTATTGCCTTAAACTAGAGTTCGAGCTATTAGGATATCTTTTCGCTATATATGTTCTACCCTATACGTAACATTGATTTTGCTAGTAAAAGCTAATAACACCTTTACGTAAATTAATAGTATAGACCCTAAGCTATATTTTAGGCGAAAAATAGCCCTAACTATCGGAACCCTCTACTAAAAGTTAGACTTCGAGAACTCGAAACCTATCTCTTCTACTATTACAAACCCTCTCCTTAATAACAATATAACAACCTACTGCCGACTATATCTATACGGTATTTAGAAGCTCCCCGACGGCGTATACTTAGTATAATAATAGTTATTTATACCTGTAATAGGCGCCGGTCTAGGTTTGATATCCTATAGCACCTAGCGGAAGTATTAATCTAGATGCTCCTTCTTCTTCTTATCGCGTACCTATTTCCTTACGACGGCGATATAGCCTTTATTAGGCTTGCCTACTTCAATTGCAAGCAGCGCGCGGTCTGCTATACTAATGCCCTATAGGATATTATCGTCTATAAGGCGATTAGCGACATTACTAGCGTTAATATCGTACCTATAATTAAAGCGCTTCTTCTCGGCTTTAATCTTCTTAGTAGCCCGCTCCGTACGCTCTCGCTCTCGCTTAGTAATAGCATCTTCTCGTACCGCTTTAGCATTATCTCGAGAAGCCTTTAAGAAGGCCGAGAATGTCTACTATAGTAGAATTTAGCTCTTTTTAATTATATCGAGAAGGGCATTATTATCCTTTCTACCCTTCGAGGCAGCGTCTAAGGCGGCTTGCTTCTAAGCGGCTTCTTTCTTCGCAATATTAGCATTCGCGTAGCGCGCGGCAATAAGGACCTAACGCTCTATTTCTAACATAATTAATAGGTCTATCTTACTATTAACATCCGCCTTTACGAGCGAGTCTCGTTCTTCTATTGTTATACTATTAGGTAGCGGCAACTCGTCCGACTCTGCCTCTTCTTCGCCTTCGCCGTCGTCTTTATCGTCCTTATTGTCTATATCTACGTCGCTATCCTACGCTAAATTATTGCTAGTGCTAGCCTCGTAGCCGCTCGCAATATTTAACTCGATAATCTTAAAGAGCTCGCTTATAAACTCCGGACACTCGTCGCGCTATTACTTATACTCTAGATACTTCCGGAAGTACTTATTAGTAACCTCCTTATCCCCTAGCTTTGCTAGATAGCTATTCTAACCGCTTATATGCTTCAAGTAAGCAGTATAAGGATAATATTTCTCCTTAAACGCGCGCTACTAAGCCTTTAGTCCTTCTAGCTTGAAATATAGCTTAAAGGTTATACTTATTTGCGTAGCTATTCTACGGTAGAGTCGGACGTAGAAGCTATTGCTATAGTTTAATAACTGCTTGTCCTTTAGCTTCTTTACCTCCTTTAAGAAGTATATCTTATATTCTTCTTACTAGCGGACAACCTCTAGAAACTTATAGCCTATATCCTTATTAGTACCCTCTTTAGCTAGCTTCGACTTCTTCGCCTTCTTAGTAGGCGTCTTCTTTATAGCGGCCTTCCGTTTAGCAGGTGTCGTAGTAGACTTCTTCGGCGCTATTTAAACGAGTAGAATAAGTAATAATATCGACCTATAGAGCGGCCTTTAATTAATAATAATAATAACCTATCTACGAGGCTAGACATACGAAGTGCGCGCGTATTACTAAGGCGGATACCACCGATGCACAGTCTTTCTAATCTACCGAGTTATCCACCGATTTGCTTACCTTAAAAAGCGGTTAAGAAGAAGAATGAAAACCGGTGGCATCTTTCAAAGTATCGTTATTCCACCGATCCACCGGCGGCGAGGTAAACGCACTCGTAGTACAGTACATACAATCTGTGACCGACGTGGTCCATGTCAAGAGCCTGAGGGCCTCGGCAATGTCGGCGACAGTCAAGACGGGACGGAGCCAAGCACCGAAAAGGCGACAGGATCTGATATCCCTGTCGCTATCCACGAACACGCGAGTGTGGAGGAGCATGGAGGCCCGTGGCGACACTCGCGGGGCGAGGCGATGTTATGTGCTGCGCTGCGCTGCGCTGCGTGGATATACTTAGTGTGCATGCCCCCGAGCCGAGAGTAAAGAGGGGAACAATTGGTGCAAATTCGCTCGGCGGTGAAGCTCTCATCAGGTCGAGTCTCCTTCAGCGGCCATCATGGATCCAATGGGCGAGAAAGAGGCTTCATCGACCCATCATGTCACAAATCTGGAGTACGATCTCAACAAAGGACCTGTGGTGAAGGAGGCAAATGTAGCTTCCGTCGCTCTGACTGCAGCGGTGAATGCGCAGAAACCTTCACTATGGAGCAGGAACATGATCAAGCTGTACGCCATCATGGGCATCGGCTATCTCGTCTCGACGATGAACGGCTTTGACAGGTATGAAGGGTGGTGGTATGCTTCGAGAATTCTGCTGACCCAGTGCGACCAGTTCTCTGATGGGATCGATCAATGCCATGACCAGGTAAGGATGCACCTCCAACCACTAATCGACGGACCCTCCACTAAAGCCCATGCAGCTATCAGAAATCCTTTGGTTTGAACGGAGCTGGCAGCACCACTGGCATCATCTTTATCATTTACAATCTCGGCCAGATTGCTGCCTTTCCGTTTTGCGGTTTCTTGGCAGACGGCTACGGACGTCGATGGTGCATCTTCATTGGTTGCCTGTTGGTGTTGATCGGCACAGCCGTTCAGGGAAGCGCCCATAGTATGGGACAATTCATCGGCGGACGCTTCATACTAGGTTTTGGAGCCAGTATCGCCAGTGCCGCAGGACCTGCCTACACGGTAGAATTGGCACATCCAGCGTACCGCGGCACCATGGCCGGCATGTAAGTTCTATGGCGCTGGTCATGTTGCAATCATGTCGTGTGGGCTAATCGTTTGCTCGCAGGTACAACAATTTCTGGTGGCTGGGCAACATATTAGCGGGCTGGACAACATACGGCACCGACTTGCACATGGCTGAAAGCAGTTGGGCCTGGAGAATCCCGACTATAGTCCAATGCGGCCTTCCAAGCCTCGTTCTATGCTTGATTTTGTTCTTTCCCGAAACACCGAGGTGGCTGGTCATGAAAGACCGTCGCGAGGAAGCCATCGCAGTCTTGGCAAAGTATCATGGCGACGGCGATGCACATGCGCCCATCGTGACTCTCCAGATCAATGAGATCTGTGAAGATATGTCGCAAACAAGCAATGACAACCCGTGGTGGGACTTCCGAGAGCTCGCAAATACTCGAGCTGCTCGATACCGTCTGTCCATGGTGATTGCCATGGCTTTCTTCGGACAGTGGAGCGGGAATAATGTCGTCAGTTACTTCATGCCAGAGATGATCAAGCAAGCGGGTGAGTGGTGGCGCAAGGACGTTGCAACCCGAGAATTTCCTGCTGACGCACACATACATATAGGCATCACAGATACCAGCAAGCAGCTCTTGATCAACGCCATCAACCCGATTTTCAGCATGCTGGCAGCAATCTACGGCGCCACTTTGCTAGACAAGCTCGGAAGACGAAAAATGCTCCTGGGCGGTCTGGCTGGCGGTCTCGTGGCATACTGCTTGCTTACAGCCTTCACGGCGGCATCGGAGAAGCATTCGAATCTCTCATACGGGACGATCGTGTCCATCTACTTGTTCGGAATCTGCTTCGCTTGGGGCTGGACGCCTTTGCAGACGCTTTATGCTGTGGAATGTCTTGAGAACAGGACACGCGCCAAGGGTTCTGGTCTCAACTTCCTCTTCCTCAATGTGGCCATGGTCGTCAACACCTATGGAATCAGCGTCGGCATTGCCGAAATCGGATGGAAGTTGTACCTAGTCTACATCGGCTGGATTTGTGTCGAGCTCGCGGTCATCTACTTCTTCTTCGTCGAGACAGCGGGCAAGACTTTGGAAGAGCTGAGATCAATCTTCGAAGCACCTAACCCTCGGAAGTTTTCTACGAGGAAGATCAAGGTCGAAATGGATGATGCTGGACATGTAGTGCACGTGGCATAGCGAATGAGAGGCGGTATGCCAATGGCAATCACCATAACATTTCTAATGATTTGTCGTCTTTGCAGCTTCGAGCTACCCTGAACGCAGCTTGCTGTACAATCTATCATCTAGATGACCCAATCCAAGGACTAAACCAATGATCAGAACCTGCCCGAACTCTACTCGCTACGCGAATCCCACTCAATGGGTATTGTTACACCAGAACGCCATCCCTATGCATACTCCTCTTCAACCCCAACAAAAAAAAAGCACACCCTAATTCCTTCTCGAATTCTTCGGCGCATCATACACCCCATTGCTGTAATTGACAGCATACTTCATAGCAAAAGGCCAGCCGAGGAAGAGGACCACCAAGGGGTAGAATTTGGCGGCACGTGCAAACCTGGTCGTGTAGAATTCCCAAGCTACTGGGTGAGGTCTCAGAAATGCGGTATCCCGGGCGAAGGGATGTGCTTCCTTGAACATGTTTCGGAATCTTCTGGCGGCTTGGATGACAGCAGGCTAGGCATATGTCAGTGTTGGGAATGACATGTTGGTGGATGAAGTGGGACTCACTGTTGTGTCTACTGAAGCTACGTGGACTGCCGGGGTGAATGCGTTGATGGTGCTCATGGTTATGGTGATTTCGTGGTGCTTCGGACGTGGCTGTCGAAGTTGTTGACTACTTTGGGCTTGAGCGTTGTCGTGATTTATGTGATGAGTTGAGGTGATGGGATGCTTGCGGATCTCAGTGAAGAAGAGTACGTGAAGCAACCACATCTACTTATCTTATACGAAGCCTACGACACCGGACATGTTCAAACCACGCCATCGAGCCCGGATGCTTAGGACAATGTCGGCATGCTGGGAGAACAGAAAGTGCATAAACATTCTCTCGGAACGTCTCGCTGACATGGGTGTGGTTGGTTCGTTGTAGGGCAGGGAAGGGGTTTGGTCGGCTTGTGGTTGATCGGTCTCGCCATGTGTCAGGAGGTGACGGCTGCAATAATCGTCGGAGCACGCCGTGAATAGGACTCCGAGCAGCCGGATGTGTGATTCGGGAGGTGTTGCGGAGGAAAAAGCCAAGGACTTCTCACCGATCACGTGCTTTGGACTTTCGGCGTCACAACAGCCGAGCCTTCTTCAGACTTCTCACGCCATATCATGTCTCACCTCTCACACAATCAGGAACTGTCGACGCCGACGAACGCGAACAGACTACTCTCCACGGCAAGACATCATCGCCTCCTCCACCCTTTCACGAATACCCCTACGCCTTGAGTTCGCCGCTCTTCGACAGCTCCAGACTTACGATATGCAAGAATCGGCAACATGAAAGCAGCCATCCAACTTCCGCTTTGGCTGAAAGATCAGCATGACGATATATCTGCCACTGTGCGTGGACAAGCTATTGGCCTACGCCACCACTCTATTGCTTACTATATATCAGAACGTAAGGATCGCCATGATTAACCGGATATCTAGTCTCCAGCGCGTTGAAGTTTGTCGCCTCTACGACACTGTCGTCGACTAAGAAGAAGCCGGACCCAGACACGTCTCTTACGCCAGCAACATAGTGCCCAGAAGTTGTCTTCTCTCCCCTGTGGAATACAATACCGTCCAAGCGATACAGCGCAACTTGTTCATCTTCGCAATACGGTTCCAGGTCCAGGTACTCCGGGACTTTCACATCATCCTTGATCTTGACCTCTTTCAGAACACCGCCCACAAGCTGATGTTTTCCGTCCTTAGTCTGTGGCACGGCGAATCTATTCAATTGAACGACGAGAACCTCCGGGGTTTTGATGAAGCGGTGGGTCTGGATATGCTCCATATCGAGCCTCAGGTGTCTCCTCCTTTTGCAAGCTGCACTGTCGCACTTGAGCTCTAACCGTTCCACGTATGTTTCTTTCAGATATCGCTCCATTCCAAACAGATTCCGCTCTGGCTGCTGGATATTGAGCACTAATCCCATATCCATTTGCTCGGCTTCGTGTAGAGTAAAGCAGTGCTTGCACTTCCAGCTTCGCCTGATCCGACCCTCGAAGACTTCGGACGTTTTGCTTTTTGCCACTTCTTCCAGATGTCGCAGCAGGAATCGCAACAGCAGCATCGGGTCATCTTGCCTGCTCAAGTGCCATCCCGATAAGTCATGCCCTTGCTTTGGTATGTTGGCTAGAAGCGTCCTTCGGAACTCCAGTCGCATGAGCATGGACGACCTTGTGGCACTGGTCGGGTTCCAGTAGTCCTGAAAAAGCTTCTGGAGTGCGCAGACCAGACAGCCGTCTGACGACTTGGCGCAATCATGATGAATCTGGCCGAGCAAGCTGTATACCGCTGGGGTATGAAGCAGACACTGCAGGATCGAATTCTGGAAACAGTCGTTACCACCATTGCGGAACCCCAGTGGTCGCTTGGCTTTTAAGGACTCCGGCCATTCTCTGGAGATTCTGCCACTTGCCACTCCTTGTGGGATGATGGGTCTTCCGGCGCCCTTCTTATCTCGACCATTCTTCTTCTCCCACAATAAAGACTTGCCCGATGCCTCGCCAGAATTCTTCCCTGGCGACTCTTTCGGCGGCTTCAAAGTAGGACCCTCTGGCTTTTTGGTGCCTTCTCCAGATGCGCCCGACTTGCGCTCGGGCTTGGTCTTGCGCACAGGCTTGATCGGACTGTCTCCTCTGCTTTTGAAGACTTTTTTGGGCGCGTGAATACCGGTCCTCGGAATGATCGCCAACGGCTTTCTTCCTTGCCGCTTTTGAGCTCTCTGTTTCAGGAACGCCAGCAAATTTTCTTCTCGATGGGTTAGGAAGCTGGAGACCGGCTCTAGAGTGCCATCGCGAAGACCTCGAAGGAATGCTGCGAACTTAGCAAACATCTCGAATATTCAAATTGTGCTTATGGTACCAAGAATCTTCAGTAACGCCAGGGGAAATGGAAATTCTTACTCCTCACGACTGACGGATCGGGTCTTTTGTTGGCATTGTGCACAGATTGCAGAGCCCAGACTACGACAATGAATCAGTCTTCAGTGTGCAACCTGTCGTATCCGGACATTCATCAAAGACATTCTCTGGCTTTGTCTGAAGATTGATCAATTTTGGGGCGGGAGTGCACTCTTTGTCCCGGAATTAGCACCGGCCTTGAACGACAAGCCGCACCTGGGAAACATGCTCTAGCTAGAGTCAAGCAATTTTCGCAGTGATCATGAGGAGTCCTCGGTAGATGTATCGGATCAATGCACTACCCACATGGAAAGAAAAGCGAGCCGGAAGGATCTGTTTGGGCGAAGGTGAGTTTTGAAACATGCTATGCTGAAGCGCCCGTGCTGCATATCGAACACTAAAAGCCGCAATCTACATCTTGCTATACACCAAAATATACGATTCTATCCTCTTTTCACCAAGTCTCGGGCGCCGCATGTTGGCCCAAGCCAGGTCTGTGGTGACAAGGGTGTCGTTAACGAGGCAGAAGTCTCGCAAGTTGTTATACTCACGGACCATAGCAACATAATGTCCTCTATCGGTCCTCTTGCCAGAATGCGCAACGACTCCGTCCAGACGATACACGCAGTCTTCTGTCACCTGATAATGATCGACAAACTGGTTGAGATTGAGGATCTCTGGGTAGTAGACCTCAGTTTCCTCGGCCAGGATCTTCGTGTTATTCCCTGTCACACCATCAAATGTCGAAATGGCCAGTCTAAGCACAAGGATTTCCGATGCGTGGGTGAGGAGAGTCGTCACGTTCCTATCTGGACCATCGCATTCTTCGCACGTATAAGTCTGCACCCCGTTGCCGAGAAAGTCTTGCAGACAGCCGTTCAACGATCTCCAACCGTCGGGCGATGTGTTGACTGGAATTTCGAGCATGAACGATGCCTGCGCGAGTGGTGCCGTCGATACGCTTCCACACGTCCGGCACACCCGCGTCGATTCGAATCCCATCTCGAACATCTTCCTGAAGCTTTCCGAGCTGCTCTTGGAGCCTATCTGTTCCGTCACAAGGTAATGCAGAAAGTCATAGGCATCGGCTTGCTGATTCCTCAAGAAATCCCCACCGAGATCTGCGGTCAGAACCGGTAAATTCGCTCTACAAGCCGCGTAGAAAGTTCTGAGTTTCGCTTTTCGCTCTTTGTCGTCGTCTTTTTCCCAGTATTGGTACAGCAAGTCTTGAAGGGCGCACAGCACGCATTTGTTCGGTTTCGAGGCGCAGGTTTTGTGGATTTTGCCTAGGTAACGGTAGAAGGCTGGGACGTGGAAGATTGCTTGGAGGGATGCGAGTTTGTAGCAATCGTTTGAGGTGTTGAGGAGACCTTTGGATGTCGGGGAGCCGACGGGAGGGAATCTTCTTTTGGGGAGATTTGTGTGTGGATGAGTTGGGATTGCTTGTCGGTTCGTTCGCACGATTTTGCCATTTCGCTTGTGGAGTTGGGGGCTTCTTTCGGCTTTGGGCTTGGGGGTTCTTCTCTGGGGACTGGGGGGGGTTGGGAAGAGCGCAGCTGATCCGTCTTGTGGCAGCCATGGTGGTGGATTTGTATTGCAGTTCGAAGGATTTGATTTTTTTCTTTTTTTTGGCGCGATGATGAGACCTGCTCAGTAAGGGAAAAGGAACGAATACAGCGAAACGATGGGATGCAATGAAGATCGATGAAGAATCTGAGGGACTGCTGGGATCAGAAAATGGCTTGTCTTGAATGAATCCCGTGCTGAGAAAAGGGCCATATGAGAACTCAAAGGAATGAGCAATATGGTGAAATGGGATGCGAAATTGCTTGGTCTTCAACAAAGATATCATCTTCAAGTTGAATTTCCATTCTTGAGGGAACAATTTGTTCAGGTTTATCTCTTTGTTGATATGCATGTAGTGCTCTGGCAAACAAAGCGAGCTCGTCCTCCTAGAGGGACTGTCTCACATGAACTGGATTGGGTGAGCGAGGTGTGAACAAGAATCGGAGTGAGAAACAATAGTGAAGGAAAATGCGACTGCGGCCGCTTCTCATTGAATATTGAACAAATTGAACCTTAAGCCTGTATATGCGGATCCTGCCGCTGGCATTAGACTCTGCTATAGACTATCACATAGGGTAGAAAAGTCACGCCATCATCGCCGTCATCGCTGTCATCGCTGTCATCGCCGTCATCGACGCCAAGTGTCACCCCGTTCAGAAATCCATCGATATCCTGAGGCACATAGATGTTATTGTCGTCGCATAGGGCGAACTTCCCCTCATCAGTCCTGCTTCTGGCCACAGCAATGTAATGGCCGCTCTCTCCTGTACCAGTGTGGTAAACAACGCCCATAAGCTTGTACGTGAGGCGGCTGAATTCCAGGTCATCCGAGAAATCGCTGAGATCCAAGTATTCTTCGTACGGAATTTCGTCCTCAAACTTCTCCGTTTCTCCATCGCGATACACTGGCAAGTTGGTGACCTCATCGATTGGGTATCCCAGACGTTGGGTACGTATTACTAGGACTTCTGGGGCTTTAGTGATACGAAAGCGCTTCGTGTGTTCCAGTGGCTCCTGCTGAGGCGAAGCCTCTCGAGCAGTTGTGCAAGTCTCGCTCTCGCACCGGAATGCAGCTTTAGTTGAGAGAGTGGCCTGGTCGATGTAATCGATCAAGTTTAAACCTCTTTCTGGCAGGAGACTGAAAGGGTTGACATCCAAGCCGGGCTCTGTTTGCTCTTGGTCGTCTTGATGCTCCTTATCGCAGACTGTGCATGTCCACGTTCCGTGATACTTGAAATCGAAGGCTCTTGATAGCAGTGCGCTTGCGGCACTATCATTGGCCACCTGATCTTTGAGAATCTCCAGCAACCCTTTCCAGAAGTCATAAGACGAACACTGCTGGTCATTTAGTACCTCTTCTTCGATGAGGTCGCCGGGTGCAGGGTCTGAGGTGCTCTGGGAGATGTCTGTCTGAAGAGCTTTCCTGAACTCCCGCATGAGTTTGAGGAGCTCTTGAGATTCAGAATGCTCAGCATCGTCATGTGGATTCCAGTACTCCTGTACGACTTTCTGCAGAACGCACATGGTACATTGACGAGCTGGTCGATTGCAGTCCTTATGGATATTTCCAAGCAGGTGATAGACATCAGGAGTGTGTATCAGACACTGTAACAGCGCATTTCGGTAGCAAGAAACGCCTTTGATGTTAGACAGGCCTTTGGTAGTGTTTGAACTAGTCCTTGGAAATCTTTTCCCAATGCGTCCGGCAAGGACGCCGCGTGGAATCACATCTCGGTGGATGCGATGGTCTCTTCCATCTCGCTTCCGCCAAGATGACTTGGATGCTGCTGATTGCGATTTCGGTGGTTGAGAAGTCGGTGAATTGGCTGAAGCATCGCCGTCCGGTGAGTCACTGCGTCCACACACCGGGCATTTCTGGCCGGCGGTAACTGGTTTAGATGTGGATTGTGTAGCGGTCTCTGACTTGGCAGCTTCTGCAATTCTTGCTGCTTGCGCGGCCTTGGTTGCCTTTTTCGTCCTGCTTTTCTGGATTGCTGCTGCTTTCAGCTCAGCCTCTCGCTGTGCATAGAAGTCAGACTCGGTCTGCGTTCTGGCGGACCTCAAGAGTCTCTTAGACATTGCTCTCCAGAGGATTTTCAATTAATTCTGCGAATATTGTAACAGTGGCTGAGACCAGCTCAACTCGCAAGCTAGAGAAATGTGCTGACGGAAATGGTATATGTATGGAAACGCTGAACGAAAGTGCTGGCTGTACCGAACAGATCGGAAGGTCCGTTCGCTTCATACTCATCTTGCTCTTTTGTTGCTCATGCAGGAACAATTTCGCTGATGGGACAATGACAACAATGAGGTGAAATTGGGTAAGGCTGGAAATAGAACAGCTCTTCTTTCACCCATTGTCGTCAAGGACGTGAACAATGCCATCAAGGCCCAGGAGAGAGGTCATAGTATCAATGAATGTGCTTCGGTGGCGATAGCATGTGGAAGTGATGAAGTGATGCTGAGATGATAGGAAGCAGATGAGGAAGCAGAAGGAAGTTGGTGATGGTGATCGATCATCGGTCAGCGGGTGCGGTCCGCTGAAAACACTAACTCAAATCGGTATGGCGGAGTTACTTTCGTGACTGCCGGAGAAACTCAGTTCCGCTCTCGCTCGTATTCTCTTCTTCTCGTATTTTGCTCTACGCCTACGCCTACGCCTACGCCTACGCCTACGCCTACGCCTACGCCTACGCCTCCGCCTCCGCCTCCGCCTTCGCCTACCTTACGTGCAGACATACCGATCAACTAGCGTGAGCGAACGCTCTATTGCCCTCCGTCGTGCCTAAGATCTGATCTCAACGCAATTCTTTATCCTCAGCCCTGATCACGGCGCCTCGATGGCATGACCATCTCTCCCAGCCACGCCAAGCGGGAACCGTGAATGATGAAGTTAATGAACCTCGTTGACAGGGGAATTGGGATGCGTGGACATGGTGACATCCTCGTCGCCAACTGCAGTCATGCGGTGTGGCGGCAGCGCGAAGGCGGAGACTAGGTAAAGCGCGTCGAGATAAAGACATCATAGATATGGCTGGGCTGCTTCACCTTGTCGTCCGTCTAGGAGAGTAGTATGCCAGTGGCTGTTGCAGCCTTGACACTAGACCGCAGCCTTACGTACCCATGCCGACTTCGACCTCGCTGCCGCTCTATCACCCTCATGGCCACGGAAAACCACAGAGCCTGCGTCGGGTGGCCCTGCGCCTACTGCTCTGTCTCGCAGCCGTAGTCTACCTGCTCAGGATCACAGTAGACGGCAATGTATTCACTCGTCGAAGTGGGCATGCGCTCTTCTCACACGATAGCTATGGCGAGGAGAAACTCAGCTCTGGAATTCGCAAACCGCCGCAGGCTCCTATCGCATTCACAGGTACTCCCGAAAGCATACGTCGAGCTGGAGAAGAAGCGGCCTCTGAAGAGCAAAAGGTTGTGGAACGGATAGTCAAGACTGTGAAGATTGCCGATGCAACTTTCGCCAATACGCTACTTCCATATCTATACCATGAGGCAAACGTGGCTGTTACGCTTGCCTCTGCTGTGGTATACACATCTCTGAGATCTGACAAGCAGGACCTCGTCAACGCATCTCAGACAAGTTCTGCCAGCCTCGGGAAAGTCCGTCAGGCAACTTTATCCAATACAGCTTTCTTCAATTTGACGCTTGCCGTCTGCGAAAAACAAGCCAATGACACCATACTTCCATTAGAGACGCGAAGGATTGTTAAATCATTTCCCGAAAGCTTTAGAGAATATGGAATTGAGTTGGTGGGCGATAAATTGAAGCGATTTCAGGCTATCAATTCTCGCATTGGAGATCTCTCGCAGAAGTTCCTTCAAGAGACTGTCGCGGATAATCCGAGCCTATTCTTCACTCCAGAGGAGCTCAACGGCACGCCAGCAGATCAGGTGAGCTCGCTGCCAAAGGGCAAAGACAAGAATGAGGGCAAATTGGAGGTCAAAATGCAAGTTCATACTGCTTCAGTCTTGCGGCATGGTCATTGACACATTCACCATTAGGAAAAGTCCAGAGCTTGGCATAATCAAATCCCACTGTACAAATGCAACCACCCGTGAGAAAATTGAGGCCACTCTGGTCCATCTAGCTCCTGAAAACATCAAGAGACTCGAAGAAGTCATCGAGCTGCGTGCGGAGATGGCTAACCTGCTTGGATTTCCGGACTATGCAACGTACAAAGTCCAGAGCAACATGGCTGGGACACCTGAGGCTGTGGATGACTTCATCTCCGATGTTCACGCAAAGATCTCACAGACCGCCGAAACGAGCACTGCCCATTTCAAAGAGCTCAAGAGAAAAGACGTTGGCAAAGCCGATCATTTATGGCCATGGGACATCACGTAAGCTTCGTTTTCTTCTCGCACAAGAGGCCCCGGCCTGCTGATGACCTTAATCTAGATACTACTATCGCAAGTCGAACCAAGAAGAGTATGACCTTGACAACGACAAGATCAAAGAGTGGTTCCCTGCCATTCACACTCTGCAAGTTGTATTGGACCTGTACTCCACGCTATTCGGTCTTGATTTTGTCAAGATTGAAGGCAAAGACCGCGACCAGCTCGCGAAGAGTGGCAACGGAAGTGATCTCGTCTGGCATCCAGATGTGGAGCTTTATGGTGTCTGGGACAAGACAGATGGGCAAGGCTTCATCGGTTATCTTTATCTTGACGTCTATGTGAGTCCCGATTTTCCCGCGCTCTCATGTGCCTGCCTCTGACCGTTTGCAGTACCGAGAGGGCAAGCAGGGTGGTGCTTTCATGCGGTCAATCACTCCTGGCTTCACCAAAGAAGATGGAACAAGGTACTATCCATCGTGCGTGCTGGCCACCAATTTTGAGAAGACCAAATCAGACGCACCATCACTGCTCTTCCGTAGCGATGTCCAGATGCTTCTCCATGAAGCAGGCCACGGAATGCACCACTTGACATCGATGACAAACTTCTCTAGATTACATGGCCCTGCCGGCTGCCCGCTCGATTTCGTGGAAGTACCTAGTGAAATGATGGAGAATTTCGCCTCCTCGCCTCCAGTGCTGAAAAGATTGAGCAAGCACTGGTCGTATCTGTCGCCTGAATTGGATCAAGCCTGGAAGAAATCTCATAAAGACAAGCCACCTGAGCAGCTTCCTGATGAGACCATTGACAATCTTCTGAGAAACAAGGATGCGTACAGCGCCTATAACGCCATGTACCAGGTGTCTTACGCTTCGTGGGACATGAAGCTACATGAGGCAAAGTCGCCGAAGGAAGCCAAAGATATTGACACGACCGCGGAGTGGAATCGCATTTACACGGACTACGTGAAGGGCATCGACACTCCTAGCCCGAAATGGGGCCATCTACAGAGCACATTCACCTATCCAATGGTAAGCACAGAACTCAAGCTCTTTTGTGATTGCCCAAAGACTGACATGCTATGTTCAGTCCGGATACGACGCCGGATACTATGCGTACATGTGGTCCAAGTCCTACGCAGCAGACGTCTTCTACACTGCTTTCAAGAATAATCCCATCAGCAGCGAGACGGGAATTCGATGGAGGCGTACAGCGCTTCAGCCCGGGGGAGCAAAGGATTATGACTCAATGCTAACAGAGTTCCTTGGTCGTGAAAGCAATCGGAATGCGTTCTTCGACGATCTGGGGGTCAAAGTGTGACTACGCTGATCGTGAGGGGAATATCGCTCGGTCTCGGTCGTACTAATCACCGTACCCTGCGTGTGAGGCACGTCAGCTCTGCGATTTCGGGCCGACTTCTGCAACCACGATCCTATGGATGTAAACTGTCCTCACAAAGTTCGATCGTGAAGTAATGCCAAACCAACTCTGCAATACATCGATTCCTTAGCAAGTTTGACTGTGTTACAAAATCTCGAGAAAGTATGGCATCAACACCAAAACGTCTGCGTGCTGGCATTCTGGGAGCGGGTCTTGTCGCTCAAACCATTCATTTACCCAACCTGTCACTTGTCAGCCATCTCTACGAAGTAACTGCAATTTGCGACATCTCACAAAAGGTTCTCGATTCCTTCCTGCCTGCAGAAGAAAGCTCGACACTAACCCAAAATCTCAGAACGTAGACCACTGTGCTTCGAAATTCCACATCCCCCTCGCAACCACCAACGCCGAAGAAGTCATCACAAGCCCAAACGTCGACGTCGTCTTCATTCTAACATCCGACGAATTCCACGAACCTTACACAATCGCCGCCATCGAGGCTGGCAAGCATGTGCTCGTGGAGAAACCCCTCTCCCTCTCCCTCCCATCCGCGCAAAGAATCCTCGACGCCCTCCAAAAAGCTTCATCGAATGGCAGAGCACCCGTAGTCCTCGTCGGCTACATGAGACGCTACGCAAAATCCTTCACGCAAACATTCAAACGTGAAATCGCCAGCATTCCTCGAATTCTGTACGCCCGAGTCCGAGACTTTCCCGGCCCGAATCCCAGATTCGTAGCCGAGAGTGGAACGTTTTTGGCAGTAGAGAATACAACCGACATCCCGGCATCGGCTGGAGAGGAAAGAAACCTTCGTCTTGACGTTCTATTTCAAGAAGCTTTCCCTCACCACGAAACCATTACGGAGGAACAAAAGAAAGCTTGTCGTTTTTTCGGAAGTTTGGGTTCTCACGATATCAGTCTGATGCGTGAAGCTATCGGGTTTCCGGAAAGTGTGGCTGGAGTCGCGTTCCGTGAACCTTTCTATAACGCCATCTTCAACTATCGAAATCCAACCCCAGGAAGAGAGCCATTTTCCGTCACGTATGAATCTGGAATCGATAATGTCTTCGATTTCGATGCGCATGTGGCTGTCTATGGAGAAAACAAAAGAGTCTTTATTCAGTATGATTCGCCGTTTGTGAAGGGTTTGCCGGTGAAAGTTACGGTGCAGGAGAATAATGAGTTTGGCGAGTTTGAGTCGAGAGAGGTTTTGGGGAGTTATGTGGATGCTTTTACGGAAGAGGTGCTGGAGTTTTATGAGGGTGTTGTGAATGGGAAAGTGGTGAAGACGACGGTTGAGGATGCGATGCAGGATCTGAGGATTTATGATATGATGTATCAGAAGTGGAGGGAACAGGAGGGTGTTGGGAGGTAGGAAGGAAAATTCATTCAAGTCGAGGGGTGATGTGGATGTTTCTCGGGAATTCCTGGTCAGGAGTGCATCTATCATTGTTTATTGAACCACACCTATAACTTGCGGTGATGGCTTTATCTACTACCAATCCATCCCTCTACTCCCTCTCTCACCACCAGCCAAAATCGCCTGCGCCTTCCCCTCCGCTCCAAGTCCATTGGTCAAATGACTAGCCTGTACTCCCTTCCTCCCCTTCTTCGAGCTCATCATCAACTTCTTATCCAGCGCGTCAAACTCACTCTTCATCTCCGTCTCCTCCTTCCTAATCTTCCACTTCTCCGTCCCCAGCACACCATCAAGTTCCTCAACAGGCGGCAGCTTAACATAAACCATTCCATCATCCCTCGCTTCCACAGGGAACGTCGCAATATTCACAGTCTCATCGTTCCCGCACTTTCCCGCATCATCGCCTTTCATCGAATAATTCCTCTTATGAAGAGGACAAGAAACCCAGAGTTTCTCGTTCTTCACATCTTCACCGATCAGCCCATCGGAGAGCACGAATGCACGTTTATGTGGACACATTTGTTGCGTGGCGTAGTACCGACCCTTGACTTTGAAGATTGCGAGTTGTGTATCGCCTCTCTTCACAGCCAAACTACTTCCCGTCGGGGAATCCGAGAATTGATCGGATCGAGCAAGGGGTTGCCAAGACAAAGAAGTCCATTGATGGCCTCTGAAATCCTCTTTCGCAGACTCTTTAGCCCAGTGCGCGGGACGGGATTGTCCTCTTTCCGGGACTTGTTCAATCGAGTCGACGCTTTCCTTCGTATTCCCGAATTGTGAGAATATTTCCATCTTCTTGGGAGATTTCAGGACTTCGGTCCATTCGCAGAAGAATGTGTCGACGAGCTCGTTCATTTGTTTCTCGAGTTCGGCGCAGATTCCGAGTTTGTCTTGGAGGATGACTTCTTGAAGGTATTTGATTCCTCCGGGGAGCTTCTCGATCCACCGGGCTGTGCGTTGGAGTTTGTCTGCTGTGCGGATGTAGAACATTAGGTAGCGGTCGAGGATGGGGACGACGTCGTCTGGTGGCACGTCTTTGGCGAGGAGTTCGCTATGTCGTGGTGTTGCTCCGCCGTTGCCGCCTACGAAAATGTTGAAACCTTTGTCTGTGGCGATGAGACCGAAATCTTTGTTTTGTGCTTCGGCACACTCGCGAACGCATCCTGATACGCCTCCTTTCATCTTGTGGGGTGATCGTATGCTCTTGTACCGCTCTTCGAGCCTGACAGCCATTCCAACGGAGTCGCCAATTCCGAATCGACACCATGTTGTGCCTACACATGACTTGACCGTTCTTAAGCTCTTGGCATAGGCGTGGCCAGATTCTAGGCCTCCATCGATGAGCTCCTGCCAGATGGAGGGGAGATCATGCTTTTTTGCACCAAACATATCGATGCGTTGACCACCGGTGATCTTGCAGTAAAGGCCGTACTTCTTAGCTACTGTGCCAATGACGACCAGCTTGTCTGCAGTGATTTCGCCACCTGACACACGAGGGACCACGGAGAAAGTGCCATTCCGCTGGATGTTGGCCAAGAATCTGTCATTGGTATCTTGGAGTCCTCTTTGGTTGTCGTCGAGGACGTGCTTGTTGTATAGAGATGCTGTGATGGACGCGATTGCTGGTTTGCAAGCTTCGCATCCTGCTGCTTCCGCATCCTTGCCGGCCTCCTTCATTATTTCCGCAAAGGTCGTCAGCTTCTTGACGTAGGCAATGTTGTAGAGATCAGCGCGAGAGTACTCAAAGTGTGGGCAGAGATGATTCATGACTTCTTGGCCCATAGACTGCATCGTCTTGTTAAAGATGGTCTGGACAAGAGGCATACAACCTCCACATCCGGTACCAGCTTTCGTACATGACTTGACGTCGCCGATAGATTTGCAGGTTCCATCTTTGACGCTCTTGGCCACATCGCCCTTGATCACGTTATGACATGAGCATATTTGGGTGTCGTCGTCAAGGTCGTCAGCGTCGTCATCTCCAGACTTCTTGCCTATGATAAGCTCTGAAGGAGGTATTTCGAGAGGCTTTTGATTCTTGACCATAGGCACCAGCTTGACATAATCGCTGGTATCACCGATCATCACGCCACCGAGCAGGTATTTGCCGTCAATCGTGAACAAGTACTTCTTGTATATCTGTTGGAATGGATCCTTATATGTCAAAGCCTTGACAGGCGGAGGTGGTGGTCCATCTGTAATAAGAGCTCTAGCAGAGTCAACGCGATCTTTCTGCTCTAGTGTCACGTCCTTCTTGGCTCCTCTCCTGACCGGAAGATGCCTGGGTCCATCGCGATCCGCAAAGAAGTCTCCGAAGCTGGCGACCTCAACGCCAAGAAGCTTCAGTTTGGTGCTTAGGTCGGGGCGCTTGAACTTCCGAGGAGTATGTGCTTTCGCTTGTGTCAGATTGAAGGCGAGAACGTCTGCCATCTCAATTCCTGGTGCGATAAGGCCAAATGTCTGGTTCTCCCAACTAGCACACTCTCCAATCGCGTAGACATCTTTGGCGGACGTAGCCAAGTCTTCGCTGACTATGATACCGCCGCCTCGATCGGCGCATTTGATGCCTGACTTGCGCGCGAGCTCATCTCTTGCTTTTATGCCAATCGCAAAACATATCGTGCTGCAGTCCATTTGTTCACCGTCTTCGAATGTCACGCCCACGACATTATTCTGATCGTCGGTATTGATCTTGCCAACTCTTTTGCTTAGGAGCACGTCAAGTCCCAACTGTCGCACTTGCTCGAGAACCATGCCTCCAGCATCGCCGTCCAACTGTCTGCTCAAGACCCATCTATTCCGCTCAATGAGCTTCACCGTCTGGAACTCTTCCAGATCCATCATGGCTTTAGCAGCCTCCAGCCCGAGCAGACCTCCACCGACTACAGCACCAACTGTGCCTTTCTTCATCGCAGCGAACTTGATGAGGTTCTGTAGATCATCGATGGTTCGATACACGAATACTCCATTGGCATCGTAGCCAGGGGTGTGCTTCGGCAGCAGAGCATTAGATCCTGTTGCGAGGACCAGAATGTCATACGGGACAGTGTCTCCTTTCGCAGTCTCTACCGTCTTGACTTCGGTATCGATCGATGTCACAACGGTGTTGAGGTGGTATGATAGAGATCCCTCCGGCATGGATGCATACCAAGACGCTGGGTTGAGGTAGAGATTCTCAACTTCTCTGTGCTGGAAGTAGCTCGTCAAGCCGACTCTGTTGTATGCCAGATGTGACTCCTCGCCAATCACTGTGATTGCATATTCCTGCCTCTTTACATCCAGCTTGAGAAGCTTCTCAATGAATGCTACTCCCACCATGCCCAATCCCACCACCACTATCCTCTTCCTCGCAGCAGGTCGCGGTAGCTCCCCAGTGACCTCCATCTTCTCAACCTTCTCAGGAAGTAAATTGGCCTCGACGTCGTTCCGCTCGCTGTTGGCCATGGTGCCAATTGCCCGGAGGAAAAGCAGAGCGAGCTGTGTAGAGGAGAGAAAGTGTCGACAACGAATGACAGTACTTACACAGGGAGCATCTCGATCAGCATAGTCTTTGAGAACTACTGGATATACTTCTGTTATCAGGCCAAGCCATGTGCCACAGCGGAGTGTGTGGCCTGATAACAGTAGAGACCAAGTATGCTTTTCACCCAATGCCACGCGCGCGGAGAAGCAAATACATCGCAATAGCAATAGCGGGCGAAGAAGTGCTTCTCCGGGCGGGTATGCCAGGCTTCTGTAGAGCCTGATAAGCTTGCATGCGGGAAGAGGTTCTGCCAAGGATTCACGTGATCGTTCTTTCATCTCCGCCAAGCCGAGTGAATGCTACCTCCATTCAGGCGCTTCGTTGAGAGGAGTATATGCTGTATGAGTGAGGAATTCGGATGCACGTGACAGCACTATACTACATTGGGTATAGCGTCGTTCCTCCTCTCAAGCGAAGCGCCTAATAGCAAACCGCTAGGAGCGGGTAGTACTATAGAGGTCTAGTACTACTACCTTTATAAAGATAGATTTATAGCTTAATAACTACGACTCTAACTATAGTAAATGTATAGGACAGTTCCTAGGTAATATAATAAATTTTCCTATCCCGTTATTTGTATAAAAATAAATCGAGCAATACGAATATTATAGCTAGTAAATATAGACACTCTCGATATACTAGCTATAGAGCCTACCTAACCTATATACCTATAGATAAAGAAACGCTATATAATACTTAGACAACTACGGGAATCTACCTTTCTAGTACGCTCTAAAACCTCTAAGTATCTACTTCGCTATATCTCGATTCCTTATTATTATATTATCGTCCTTTACTTCTATAAGCAAGCCGTACGGACTTCGCGTATATTACGCGTTTCTAGGGTATATACTCGCCTCTTCCCGTTTGTTCTTTATTACGTAGTCTCTCTAACCTATAGTACCTCTAGTCTATTTAATCTACAAACCCGAATATACCGTATATAATAATAAGCTAAAAGTAGCGCTATAAGAGGCGTAACGAAGAGAAGGCGCTAAATGCGGCTATTAAGTCCGCTCGACTAGTTTATTACTAGGTAGCGCTACTAGGCTATATAGCTATTAACCGTAAGTGCCCCGACTTTAGCATTAAGAAACTAATACTACTTCTAGGAAGACGTAATCGATTCCTCGACTATTTTAAGAGAAGATGCGCTAATATTAAGACCGAGAGCCTTGCTTTTATATAAGAGATAGTATAGGAAGCCGGCTAATACCTAGAAGTAGAGCCTATATAGCGCGATATTATTATCGCCGGTTTAGTAAAAATCCTCGATATATTATATCTAAGCGAAGAATATTAGCTAATAGAGGCGCAGATCGAATGCCTATATACGCTTATCTATAGCTAAGCAGACGTTCTAATAATCGCTCGTATAGGAGAGGGTAAGAGCCTTATATTCTAGGGATTTACTCTCCTAACTAGGATAGTTACTATATAGATCGTACTACTTAATCGACTCGGCGTAGAGTAGGCTACTACTATCGAGCGTATCGGAAGAGGCGAGAACCTAGTCCGCTTATGCTATATTATAGTAGAGACAAAGAAGCTAGACCTAGGTATATACGACAATATTAAGAATAGCAAGATCTAGTATATCCTTCTTAGTCTAGAGCAGGTAGCTATACTACAATTCCGCTAGCTACTCCGAAAGCCGTCTGTTCGTAATCGCATTAGTCTCTAGGTATACGATAAGTGCTATCTTATTTATAAATAGGGCGAGGAGTCCGGTTTCCGGCTAGAGTATTTATAGGTATATCGTTGTCGTCTTAAGCTACGCAAGTTCTATATACTAACTACCGTCGAATAGGTCTACTAGATTCGCGAGCATCTTCGTATCGACACCTTAATACTATATATATCCGCTACTATATCCGAGGCTACAACTAAGTATGTAATTAAGCACTCTAGAATACGCAATATCGGTAACAAGCCTTTCTAGACTAGAATTGTTCGTAGTAGTATCGACCGTCTAGAGGTTATATATATTACTAAGTTTAGTAGCAAAGAGAACCTAGGCAACTGTAATAGCCTATACTTCGTTATCGATTATGCTATTAGATATCCTACTACTAGAGAGACCGTTACTGCTAGAGAGACCGTTACTACTAGAGAGACTGCCGTTACTACTAGAGAGACTGCCGCTACTACTAGAGAGACTGCCGCTACTGCTAGAGAGACTGCCGCTACTGCTAGAGAGACTACCGCTACTGCTAGAGAGACTGCCGCTACTGCTAGAGAGTCTACTACTAGAGAGTCTACTACTAGAGAGTCTACTACTAGAGAGACTACTACTAAAGAGTCTGCTGCTAGAGAGACTACTACTAAAGAGACCGCCGCCGAGCAGACTATTACTATAGCGATTGTACGCATAGTAGGTATTACCGAAGGCGAGGCTACGCTATAGAAGATATACAAGTCGTTAGTATTTATCGATAGCCGAAAGTATATTACTAACTTCGTAGCTACTGTCCGTAGCTAGCTTGTTTTCCTAATAAAGCATTATCCGGATCTAAAGAAGCGTTATATATACGGACTAGGTAGTATTAATATTACCCGCATAATTATAGTATATACCGCTTCGATCCCGCCCTCTAATTAAGACATTCGATGTGTAGAGTATCTTAAGAAGGACTCCGATATTCGGTGTATTAGCGTAACTATAGCGTTTAGCGTTAGACTTAATGTCCCTAATATTGCCGATGTAATCTAGTACAAGTTCCCTATTACTAGGGACGTAGGTAATCTCTAGTAACGCCTCGGTCGCATTTCTCGAAATATAAAGCTACTTTTCGAAGAAGGCTAGTTATCTAAGCCGTACTTCTACCGCCCGCGAGCTATACTCTTTGCACTATATTAGGCTAATAATAGCTTAAAGTTAATGCCCGAGACCTCTAACCTACTAGCGGTTATACTAGCTTCTTGTAGTCGCGGTAGCAGTCGTAGTCGCGGTCGCGGACGTAGTCGTAGTTATAGTCGTAGCGGCGCTAGACTAAGTCGACTATCGCAAGTCGAGATACCTAGTAAAGATATAGGCGGAGCTAGCGACTAAGATATACGTAGTAAGGCTGCCTCTAACGAAGATATAGCTCTATCTTCTAAGACTAGCAAGTTCTAGACAAAGACTAAACTCGTAGCCCGAGCAAAGGTGCTAGATGTTCTACTTAGAGCCCTAAATGATTATTATCGCAATCTAGAGCGTTGCTATCGCATTATAATAAATAAAGAGTATAGCGAGGACAAGGCTCTCTTCCTATATCTAAAGGGCAAGGCTAATAAGAAGGATTGCTATAACTAATACAACCCCGAGCTAATAGAGACTCTTCCGAAGCTACTAAAGGAGCTCCGGTATATTAAGCTAGTTACGCCGCCTAGTGCTAGATCGAGACCTGTATACGCATTGCTATATCTTTAGAAGTAATGTTTAGAGAAGGCCGAGGCATTATTCGACGTAGACGCTAATACCCGACGCTTTCGAATCCCTAGCAGCTTCTTTATAAAAGATCGTATAACGTAGGCTGTCTCCGATATCTTTAAGCGCGTACGCAACTTTAATAGCTAGGTTAACGTTAATAAAGAGGAGCTTAAGAAGATTAAGGAGCTAGTAGATTAGCTATATTAAGAATGCATTCCGGAGCTATATACTATTATTAATAGCGTTACTAAACAGGTCTTCGTCGACTAGGAGACCGCTAAGTAGGCTAAGATCGAGAAGAACGAGAAGCGAAGGATCGAGAAGGAGAATACCTAGTAACTATAGTAGCCTCGGCGCGCGCTATCGGACGAGGAGCGATAGTAAGAGCTTACTAATATACGCGGTAGACTGCGCTAGTCTGCCTACGCTAATACTATCCGCTAGTATACGATAGGCATATAGGCAATTCCTCCGCGACCCGGTTAAGTAGTCCTCCCGCTAATTCCTAGTTCTTCTCGTCTAGTAGCAAGTGCCTTATCCTCCGCCTAGAAGCGTATAGATTAGTCTACCTAATCTACTATACTGCGTACTAAGAAGCCGCGGCTAGGCATAGGTAAAGGCAAGGCTCCGGTTATTAAGAACTCGTCCGAGGAGGAAACTAGTAACGAGGATAAGATAGAGACAGAGGATAAGCCGCATTCGTCTACGATTATAGAGGAAGAAGCGTAGGAGCAACTAGCTAAAGTGTTTGTCTCTCGTAGTAGCTATAATATTCGCCGTATAGAGAGAGCTAAAGACCTTTATAGAGAGGGCTCCCGTATACGAAGTCTAAGCGCTACTAGTAGCCGTAGAAGCCAGTTTAGTGCTAATGCTTTCGCCTATATACTAGGCAGAGGATAAGCGTTACGGATACACGTCGTATAGTTTGCTATTATCGCGTTAGTATTGTAAAAGAACGCATCGAAAAGCGATAGATCTAGTATAAAAGAACGTATCGAGGAGCGGTATACAGCCTTTATTGTATTTGTCCGTTATTAACTCCTAGCTCTTTTATATCTTCTATACGCCGTATTCGGTAGTATAGTCGTATTAGTGCTATTATAGGAAGGTATTATAAGAAGGCGCAAAATCTTTATTATTGTTCTTCGAGCAGTTACGATACTAAGTAGGCGTTATTCCCGCTAATCGGGTGCTCTGCTATACTAAAACCGGGGCTTAGCGGGACTCGGTCCTTCTTCGAATCCTAGCTCCTTAACTTTACGCTTCCTATAACAATATAACTAACCTATACGACTAAGTCTATCTCTACGGAAAACACTAGCAAAAGTGCCTTACTCGAGCGCGACGACTATCGAGTATATACTAGTATAACGAGATCTAGAATGCGACACGAATGCGACATTGCGATAGAGTCTCTTCCGACTATCTAAATATATATAAGACAAAGACAATAAGGATAAAGGAACGGCATAGTAGGGATAGCGATCGACATACTGCTAATAGTATTAATAATAGCGCATAGAAGGGCGAATCGACGTTGCTTTAGAAGCGTAATAAAGAAGATAAATGTTAAGCAAAGGAATAAGTAAAGTCGGCGCTAAGACAGCGGCTATTGTTATTGTTACGTTACAGTACGTAGCTATCTAACCTTACTCGCCCTACTATTGTTCGCTAAGGCTAAGCACCCTTTACCGCTATATCTACTATCTATACCCTCTATAGGCAAAAATCTATAGCTAGCGCATATAGCACTAAGTAGGGCAAAAAGATAGACCGGAGGCAAAAAACTATAGATAGGCAATACCCGGAGTCACTCTTACGGATACGATATAGACCTCGAGCTTTTAACCCTTTAAGACACGTTACGAATTAACTAAGTAAACATGCCTACTAAACTTCGACCTTATATACTTCCGAAGAAGTGCCGCTATAGAAAACCTATCCTAGAGAACTAATTTCTTTAGGTTTAGACAATAGGCAGTTACCTCTACTAGTTTATTAGGCTGCTAGCTGCCTTAGAAAAGACTATTAAATAGCCTAAATCCCTCGAGTTCCCTATATAACTTAATAACTAGGCGTAAAGGATTACTGCAACTCTAATACCCGGTTGCAGCTAGGTATACGCTTCGTTTTAGTCGATTATTATTAATTGAAGGTCGTAAATTGCAGTGCTATTATATACCCTTATTGCTAGTGCCTAGGATAGCTTAGATAGTAATAGCTTAGTTAGAAGGGGAAGGCAGAGGGGTAAGGTTTAGTTAAGTGTTTAATTCCCTATCTAGAAGCTATATTATTAATATTAAGTTAGTATCGACATTGACATTGCTACGCACTAAACTAGCACTAAACTAGCACTAAACTAGTACCTAAACTAGCACCTAAACTCGCTCTCTCCGAAGCCGACTAAGTTAGGTCGACTAAGCGCATTTCTAGTAAAACTACGCTAGCAAAAGTAATTAATACGATAACGACGGCGGCCTAGAGTAAAGACATAGTTTCATTTAATATCCTCTTAACGACAAGATTAACGCCGCGGCTATAGCATTATTTATAGACGATATAGACTTAGCATTTCCTCTTTAGTAGAGGCGGCGGACTTACTCCTAATTAATAAGAACAAGCGGCTTGCTCGAGAATACTAATTAAGGACCTAATACGATACAAAGCAGACGGTAGAATACACGTTCCCGCGTAGGTCTATAGCTATTATCCGTACGCTAGTATATATAACTAGCTAGGGTAGTAAACAAACGACTTCTCCGCTTTTGCCTCTCTACTTCTATCTAGATCCTACTTACTACCTATATATAAAGATATATATATACGCCTTTACTAAACACGCTCGCATATTTAGACTATAGTAACTATAGAAGACTCGAGTAACCTAAGTATAGCGCTACCTACGTTAGACTTGCTATACCGAAGCGATTAAACTTAGTAAGTCTACGTTAGCGGGTATAATAGCTAGTAAGACCTAAGTATAGAGGATGCGCCTACGAGCGATAATTATCCTCTCCTAAGATATAACGATAAAGACGAAGAAGACGAGGAAGATAAGGAAGATAAAGAAGAGCGTAGAGCAGAAGAGGCTCGATAAGCCCGTATCCGACAAGCTATCTTTACGTTAGATAACGATGCCGAGTAGCGTATAGTAGAGGATCGGATCCGTCGCAATCTACTAACTCGACCTCGCTAGCGCCTAGTGCTATCGACTAATCTACTACGCGAAATCGCTGTACCTCGTCGGTCGACTCGTATAAGTAAGACTAAAGCTATTAACTATATCGCGCCTAATAAGAGCGATAACGATAAAACCGACGATAAGGATACTAGTATTAATAAATAGCCGGTTAGCGAGGATAAGCTAGAGCGCGAGCGCTAGGCTAGTAAAGATAATAACCGCAATCCGGCCGACTATAGTAACTAGGTTAGCAACCTTAACGACATTAAGAACGAGGCTCCCTCTACGGGCAGAACCCCGAAGCAGAAGTACTAGCATATTATAGCAGAACTAAGATTACTTACTATGCCTTTCGAGAAGATACTAGTTATATAGGTAGGAAAGCTAGGCACTACTACATACCGCAAGAATATAGATACTATTATAAGTCTTTAGCCAAATAAAGGACTAGTTAGTACTATAGTTATGCGCTAGGAGCTAAAGTCTCTTATCGGTATCGACTTTTTCGACTTATATAAGACAGAGTAAAGCATGCAACTAAAGAGCCTGTCTACTATAGCTAAGGCAATCCAAAACCGCGCCCTAATATAGTTCAAACTCTTAGACTTTAAACTTCTTCCTAACACTTATAGGGATTATAAGTAGTATACTTTATCGTTCGAAGATAAGCGTACAATTTTCTATAAGCGCATCTGTACCCTTACGTACATTATTATCTACTCTATAGCTACGAAGAGGTCTTCCTTTATAGCTAAAGCCCTTAGACTATACCTAGTCTATAGTAGTAGCGCTCCGATTTATATTATCGATACACTTAATAATATAGGGCTAACATTATTATATAGGACTATCTAGGCGATTATTAAGAAGAACGCCGAGCAAACGCGACTAATAATCCAAGCCCTAGCCTTAAGCGCCCTAATCTAGATCGCTTACGACAACTTTAACCGTGCTTAAAAGAAGAAAGACTAAGGCGTTAGAGATGTTAACGAACAGGTATCTATAACTATATTATTTATTAGCGAATGTAGTAATATCCCTGCTAGTAGCCTAACTTAGGATATATTAGATCGTTCTACTCCTATTCTTATCGAGAACATTATTAACAACTGCAATAAGGACGAAGCTTCTAAGAATGTAGCTATCTTCTAGATCTATAAGGCAATCGAATCGATCGTCGGATCTCTTAACGAGAAGCTTATAAAGGCGGGTCTAGAAGTTCTATCGTTTCTAGAGATTAAGTCCTCGTTTAAGGGTATAGACAAGGTATACTCGCAGCCTATATTATTTAATAACGAGATCTCTACTAAGGGTTCGAAGCTAGTATACGACGACATCTTTCTCGATAATATAGGTATTCCTCGCGACTCTCTAATATAGGCTACTCGCCTTATAATCTATGTTAGCGATTAGCTTACTATCGAGCGTATATAGTCTATTATTTATAAGTCTATTAAGTATAGTAAGCCTTACGACTAGCGCAAGTTCTTGCTACTATCTCTAGTATAGTTCTATATCTTTATAAACATCGCAATAACAGTATTCCGCACTTACTAGACTACTAACAAGGCCGGTGAAAAGCTACTATATTCGGTATCTATATAGGCTAATATCGATTACTAGGGTCTAAAGGAGGTAGATCTAAAGAACTTTAAGTTCTTCCGTATATAGAGTACTCTTAAGAAGACCTTTAACGCAAGAGTATTCGCCCTCTTTATATAAGAGCTTGTTAACCGCGGTTTGCTTAACTTTAGTAGTACTGTAGATATAGAGAAGAGTGTTACCTGTATCGATATCGTAAAGGAAGCAGTTTATAAGAAGCTCTCTATATAAGTACTCCTCGACATTATCTATAAGATCTACTAGAAGGCATTTAGCTTCGCTGCTTAGGAGGGTAAGGTAGAGGCAGATCCCTAGGCTGCTACTATTGCCGATACTGCAGGTACTACAGATTCTAATACTACTACGATACCCGATAACGCCTTTACTAGTATATGCCGCATACTCTAAGAGATCTCTATCTTTATACGCGTTCGATATACTATCTATATATAGGATATTAGCTATCTTCGTTAGGTTATTAGTCCCTTAATCCTATACTTCCTCGGCTCTAGATAAGATAACTATAGCTAAATAATAATCTACTTCTACTAGTTGCTTAACGAAGGTACAACCGAAGACCTTTAGAAAGCTATCCTTTCGACCGCTACTATTAATCCCTCTAGAAAGAAGGGTAAGGCAGTTACTTCTAATAAACAACTTAAGCTCTATAACTACGAATACTCCGAGGATATTAAACAGTTTAGCAACTTAATATATAACCTTACGGCTACATTCGAAAAGGTAGTAGGCAATAGGGAAGCCGTACGTGTCCTAAAGAACATGTTTAAAGCTAATAATAGTGTCTAGCGTACAAGCTATCGTACCGAAAAGGATACGAGCGTAGATATGTTTAATCGTATAGACAAGATCCGTATTAATAGGTTTGTAAAGTAGCAGAATGCAAGTGCCTAGTTTGCCCTCTCTAATAATATCTAGTAGATTAGTATAGACATAATATAGTTAAAGATTAACAAGTTTAATAATATAAACGCCCGCTATATATAAGGCCTAATAACCGTTACTAAGCAGACTACATAGGCGACTAATAGAGACCGTAGACCTATCGAAGATATAGTACTCGATTAGGATGCTAATAAGGAATAGGTAGAAGTAGCGGATCGCAATATCTTCGATATAATCGATAAGGCTAGCGGATCGACTAGTAACGGCGGCGACGGCGGCGATAGTAGATCCGGTGCTCGTAGATATACTATAACTAATGCTATATTTAGTAGTAATACGAGTTTGAATTAAGGCATATATTAGTACCTCTTTCCGCGAATATACGCTAACTTTCTATAAAGGTTAGAGTTATTAGTAAATAGCTTCCGCTTATTAATAATAACTAAGCAACGCTATACTTTAAGATATAGAGCTAAGTAAGAGTCTTAAATGTAAGTAGCAAAGCTAGCGGCTTGTAGTGTTTAATAGAAAATTAGTATAGGTACGATATCGTTGCCTCTAGTAACTATTAGCTAGGCGACGAGAACTCGATAGAAAGTAGTCGTATATAGGGACTTCCGTACTAGGAATTAATTTAATATATCGTCCGAACCTTCGCTAAGTAATATATGTCTAATATTCGGTAGTTAATATTTAGGTAGTATTAGTAGTTAGATAGCTATACGTAGCCGACCTAGACCTACGCTATAAGAATTAGTATATCTTAACGCGTATTCGTCGCATATACTTGCTTTTTAGATTAAATAACTCGCAATTACTAGCGCTATAATCGCCTTATACAAAGTTGTGCTAAAAGCGTTGTATTGTCGATATTATTATTTAGACCTCTATAGCCGTACTAAAATAGAGCGGTTTACTGTCAGACCTCTAGCAGGAAGAATTCTTAGGTAGTGTTTTGATTGGCTGTTCGGATAAGTAACCCGTGAGTCTAAGCCTAAAACAGCTGTTACGTGCTAGCACCACCAATTCTTCTCGCTAGAGGTCTGAGTGGAGATAGAGTGAATGGACGTTTGAAGCCAGTGGCAATGGCAATATTAATGGCAACCTTATCCCGGCCAGCGCACTCTCACCACTTCACCGCTGCGGCATTTTCGAGAACGTACAAACCTTGACAACTGAGCCATTTCGCGAGTGGGAAGCACATCTCCGGCGACACAATACGCTGATGGCCTTGTCTGGCCCGGGTTTTCGACCCAATCTGGCAGCATGGGAGATAAGAAAACAACGTTGGGGTGGTCCGCACTGGCGGTTCTACGGCAGCGTGAATAGATTCGATTCCTGGCTTCTCTGGTGCATGCCCGCCGATGTCATTATTGTGTTTCCGCGGCGATGCCATCTCGACTTCTTTGCTGCCTTCCTTCCAACATGCATCTCCTCGCCACGCCACGCTACGCCGAGCGGTGAGCGCCATCATGACGAAGAGAAAACCGAGGCCTTGGGATGCTGGGCCGTTGGAGCGAAATGGAGGGATGCTGTGCTGTGCTGTGCTCCCCCAACTTCCTTCATGTCTATCCTGTCACCCTAATCAGTTGATCTCCTAACCCATAGAAGCCCTACACTTCTCGCAATGAGCGTCACTGCTGCTTCAGTAACGCCCGCCGATGCGGTGCGGCGGACATCAGCTGCCGTCCTTGCTCCACCTACGCCCCCAGACAGTGGCAGTGAGAAGGCCGAGTCGGAATCAGAAAGCGTGGACAATGACTTCCCTTTGCCTCCGACATCCTCTGAGCCGACGGAAGTTCTTGAACTCGACAAGAAGACACCAGATGGCTGGTTACCACGAGACCCCAGGCTCATTCGCTTGACCGGAGTACATCCTTTTAACGTCGAGGCACCTCTGTCAGACTTGTACAACGAAGGATTTCTCACCAGTCCCGAGCTATTCTACGTACGAAACCATGGCCATGTTCCTCGAGTCAGAGATGAGGATATACCTGACTGGACATTCAGCATAGAGGGCATGGTTGAGCATCCAATCACCCTGACCTTCCGTGAATTACTAGAGCAATACGAGCAACATACATATCCAATCACTTTGGTTTGTGCCGGTAACCGTCGCAAGGAGCAAAATGTGGTACGCAAAACGAAAGGCTTCTCTTGGGGAGCAGCCGGAGTTTCGACGGCCATATTTACTGGCACGCTCATGTCTGATGTAATCAGAAGAGCCAAACCCAAACGTGGAGCGAAGTACGTCTGCATGGAAGGAGCCGATAAGCTACCGAACGGCTACTATGGCACTTCAGTCAAGCTGAACTGGGTCATGGACGAGAATCGTGGCATGATGCTGGCCCACAAGATGAACGGCGAGATGCTACGTCCCGACCATGGAAAGCCTTTGAGAGCAGTAATACCTGGCCAGATCGGTGGTCGCAGCGTCAAATGGCTCAAAAAGCTCATCGTCACTGCCGAGCCCAGTGACAACTGGTATCACATCTACGACAACAGAGTATTGCCGACTATGGTGTCGCCTGAGGAGTCTGCAAACGACCCAAAATGGTGGATGGACGAGAGATACGCCATCTACGATTTGAGCACGAACTCGGCCATAGCTTATCCTGCACACGAAGAACAATTATGTCTCGTGGGTGCACCAAAGAACTACCGAGTCAAAGGCTATGGTTATGCAGGTGGAGGAAGAAGAGTCACAAGAGTCGAGATCTCTCTAGACAAAGCCAAGACATGGCGCCTTGCCAACATCGACTACGCAGAAGATCGATACAGAGATGCGCAACCGCAGAACTTGTATGGCGGGACGCTCGATTTTGGTTGGCGAGAGAACAGCTTCTGCTGGTGCTTCTGGAACCTTGATATCGCTGTGGAAGAGCTCGCCGACGCCAAAGACATCCTGGTGCGAGCTATGGACGAGAGTATGAATCTACAACCGCGTGATATGTACTGGAGCGTCCTTGGAATGATGAACAATCCTTGGTATAGATTGACGATCAGTAAAGAGAATGACTGCCTTCGCTTCGAGCATCCGACTCAACCTGCCCTGATGCCTGGTGGCTGGATGGAGCGGGTGAAGAAGGCCGGTGGTAACCTGACAAATGGCTACTGGGGCGAGCAAATTGGCGGCGAGAGCGCTGCTGAACCAGTCACCCAAGCTGCTGGTGAAGTGACGATGACGAACGAAAAGAGTGACACGAAAATCACGATTGATGAATTACGAAAACATGATACCGAGCAGTCACCATGGTTCGTTGTCAATGGAGAGGTCTACGACGGACTAAAATTCTTGGAAGGCCATCCTGGTGGTGCTCAAAGTATTATTTCTGCAGCTGGGTTGGATAGTACGGACGAATTCATGGCTATTCGTAAGTGACCGCTCTACCTATCTACAGCGAGGAAACGAAGTCATTAACAACTTTGCAACGCAGACAGCGAAACAGCAAAAGCAATGATGCCAACCTACCACATCGGCACCCTCGACGAAGAAGGCCGCAAAGCTCTCTCCGGCGAAGACATCCAACCAGATGAGGATACATCAGCACGGCCACTCTTCCTCGACTCCAGAACCTGGCGCACAGCAATCCTCCACTCCAAACAAACCATATCCCACGACACAAGAATCTTCAAATTCAAACTCGACCACGACGAACAAATCCTCGGTCTCCCCACCGGTCAACATCTCATGATCCGTCTCCGCGACCCGGTAACACGAGAACCCATAATCAGAAGCTACACCCCAATATCCCCACCCACACAAAAAGGCTACATGGACGTCCTCATAAAAATCTACTTCCCTTCCCCTTCCTCAACCCATCCCCAAGGCGGAAAAATGGGCATGTCCCTAGAAACCCTCCCACTCGGCCATCCCCTAGCCTTCAAAGGCCCCATCGGAAAATTCGAATACCTCGGAAACGGGCTCTGCAAAATCAACCAAAAAATCCAACCAACCCCCATCAAAACTTTCTACATGATCGGCGGAGGCAGTGGGATCACACCCATCTACCAAGTCTTACGCGCGGTAATGCAGAAAAAAGACGATCCGACGAAATGCGTCGTTCTGGATGGGAATCGATTTTTCGAAGATATTCTGTGTAAAGACGAGCTGGATGGGTTGGCGGCGGAGAATTCGGAGCGGTGTCAAGTGCTTTATACGTTGACAAAGGCGCCGGAGGGATGGGGTGGGTTGAGAGGAAGGATTGCTGCGCCTTTGTTGAAGGAATTTGTTGATCGGAAGGTTCATGGGGAGGGAGGAGAAGCGATGGTGCTGATTTGTGGACCGGAAGCGTTGGAGAAGAGTTGTCATCAGGCTCTGGTGGAGATTGGGTGGAAAGATGATGAGCTCTTGTTCTTCTAAGGTAGTTCATTTCCAAGCGTGGCGTTCTGGTCGTACATGAATTATATATGGTCTGCGGGGAGTGCAAGTGCGGCGGAATGGCGATGTTGTCTCGCTGGCAGCGCCGTGTCGCTCTTGATGATTGAGTCGCTACGGAGCAGCTTGATCATCCTTGATGCAGATGGACACTGAGTCTTCCATCAGATCAGACATAGATAGCTCACAGATCACGAAGCTTGTATCCACGAGCATCTCATGAGCAAATTCCAAAGAGCCTCTTCGTGAAACGTCTGAAATTCAACTAGAATTGACTATACAAAAACAGCAGCATGGTATCTGAAGGTTCGCCCTGCTTCGCCACAGAGTGCGAGCAGGCATAGCGCCCACGAAAGATAACGCAGCAGGACAGAATGCACCATCCGACGCCTAGTCCAGGTACTGTATGGGTATCATAAATCAAACGCCTTTTGTGCCTTTTCTCATGCCATCGCCCTTTGACCTCGTTGCACACAGCAGCGAACAACAATCTTATGCTATTTCAGCTCAGTCGCCTCCATTCGCCTCCATTCGCGCTCAAGTTGCCCTGCTTTGGTTAGAAAGATGGATCCGCACCTACCTTGGCCGCCACAGTTGCTCGATACACAAATCCTGGTGCAAAAGTGCTGCGGCGAAAGGCGACGTATATGCTGTTGTTAGTAATTCGATGTTAGTCAAAGTCTTTGTAAGCTGCAAATAAAACTGTCGGGAGATCTCGCAGACTAATAGGGTGTTGGAGACCAGGCCGAAACGGTCAGGGCCAGATCTCGCTCGTTCCGTAGGCCGCCGGTCCGAGGTGTAACGTATCACTCAATCCGCCCGCGGCTTCTTCGACTCGTGCTCGTCGAAGTTCAGTTCGTCTTCATCTGCATGCTCGTCGAAAGAGCGCTTGCCACGAAGGGAGCCATTGGGTGTTTCGTCCTCGGCCGGAAGGGAAGGCTTCTGGATGCCATCGTAGAAGTTGTTGTTCTCCTCATCTGGTAGTGGCTCGTTCGTTCCTTCAGCGTGTGGCTCCTGTTGAGCAGCCTCTTGGCCTTCTTCAAATTCAGTCTCATCAAGGAGGTCGAAAGCGGTGTGGAACTGATCCTCGTCCTCGCCAGGCTGCTGGTCATGTTCTATGTTGTCAGCCTGGACAAAATCTTGCTTCTCATGCTGGGCACCAGGCTCGACCACATCAGCAGACTCATGTTCACCTGATCCAGTGCCTTCTGCTTGGTCATCTCCTTCACCCTGTGCGTATTCGGCGAAGTCCTCGTTGACGAATTCTCCTGTATCATCAAGGGTATATGTGCCATCGTGGCCTGCTTCTTCGCCATCCTGGTGTGCTTCTGCAGCATGGTCGGCGGTATCATCAACGGCATGCTGTGCAGTCTCAGCAGCATCTGCTTGCCGGGCCTCTTCATCGTATGCATCGAGAAGTGCCGAGAACTCATCGTCACCACCATTCTCGTGTGACTCTGAGGTCAAAGCCGTTAGATCATAGTCGAAGTCGTAGTCGCTTTCGGTGGGGTACTTACCAGCATCGTTCGTCGCGTCAGCACGAACTGTAGCTGAGGTCGCAGTCGAATCGGGAGCCACGGTCTCATGACCTTCATTGAAAGTCTCTGCCGTGACAATTTCGCTGACATGAGCATCGCCAGTGCCCGTGGCATCCTGGTCGTGAACGGCGTTCTCGTCGTAGTCGTCATAGTTACCTTCTTCATATTGATCAAAGGAATATTCTTGGCCATTCTCGTCTCCTTCCTGGTACTCATGGTAGTCTTGTCCTTCCTCTTGACGCTCTTCTACATTCTGGGTCGAGCGTCGAGCGACATCGTCTTCAGTGTGTTCAGCCTGCTCATAATGAGCCTCTGTTGGGTATTCCTGGCCATCCTCTTCTTGTTCTCCTTCATCATCTTCCTCGTCGTACTCTTCAACATCGCCTTGATCGTGAGTACTGTTGTATGTAGACATACCCGTGCCTGAGACAGCAGCTTCCTTGAGGAGTTTCAGATGGCTCGTAAACTTCAATTGAGTAGTTAGTGTCATAGAAAGTCGCGGGATATCCTCTACTCCATCGTTCTGGTAGAGGTTCATGTACACCTCCAAGACATCGTTCAAGCTGATAGCTGATGCATGCGTGGAGCACTCCATAAGCATCAAGCCGATTCGATCAAATCCAAGCACGAGGTCTTGGTCTTCAGACACGGCATCTCCAAGACGTTGGTTCAGACGCTGCTTGCAAGAAGAAAGAAGCTCAGCCAAGCTCACATTGACCAAGTTGTCATCTTTCAAGAGCCCATCTGGCTGTGCACGCGACTTGAACAACGGCCATTCATGGTCACCAAACTGGATCACCATGGGATGTAAGCCAGTATCGGTCGGCGTGGGAGGTGCATCTACTGAGAAGGCCGCGGCGGAGGTATCTATAGTGCCTGACAGCTGAGGCGGAGCCTTCTGTGCAGGCTCTTCTGCTTGGTGGAAGTCGTCGTCTAAAGCGGCTTCGAGAGCCTCTTCATCCCACTCCACCGCAGCAGCAGCAGCTTGACTAGCATCGATTTCAGTCCGATTTTCTTCGCCTTCAGTCTCGTATTGAGTGGCGACGTTGTGATTAGAGGTCTCATGGACCGGCTCCAGCTCTGTGCTCACAGGCTGCTGTACTGTTGGCTCAACTACAGGCTCCGACACAGTTTCTTCGGAAGCGACCGGTTCCTCGGGCTGCGCAAAAGTGTCAGCTGGCTCGGCGTGTGGCTCTTCCAGCTGGCGCGGAATCTCTTCATCAACTACTTCTTCCGTGGCTGCCGCTTTAGCAGCGGTTTCCGCATCTACTGGAAAGCTCGTGTGGCCGCACTCCACTGATACAGTTTCGGTCGGTATGGCGTCTGGATCAGGAATGTGGTCCTGTAGCTCTGCCTCATCATAATCAATGAGTTCCTCATCTCCATCTTGGTGCTGGTATGGTTCGTCATCCTGCATCTCGGCCTCGACTACGGGGTTGCTGGTCAGGTTGAAGGCGTCGTCATCAGCCATCATGTCATCGGTGGCAGTGCCCGGTCGGGCTTGTTCGCCATCCTCGAGCATGCGCTCATCATCGGTGAAGTGAACAACGCCGCCGTAATCATCAAAATCGATGTCGATGTCGCCATCATGGTTGCGGGCAGGAGATGACATTTCCATGGAGTCGTCCATAGGAGGTAAGGAGACGGACGAGGCGAAGGCCGTCGAGGTCATGTCTGGTGTCGGCCAGGCAAGACGCGTTATTTTATACGCGTGGTTTTCAAAGGGAAGTGAAGCAGTGCTACGGGGCGATTGTGTGACGTTGTAGAGTCAGAAAGACGTCGAAAGCACGCGTTCGGTGGTGGGTGGCTTTGTCACGCTCAAGTCACAAACGTCGCGTCGTCGGGTGGCGGGGTCAGATGCGAGCGCGGCGGCAATGGATGAATCATATGGGCGTGATGGATGTCGTGGGTTTGTCGAGCGTACGGTAGGCCCGCGTGGTGTGTCGAGGGAGGCGCGGTGGTTGTGGTTGTCGGAGAAAGGAAGCAAGTGAGGAGTAGAAGATATATGTTGCCAGTCCGAAAGCAGGGCCGGGATCAGCCGAGCCGAACCGTGCCAAGACTTGCGGCGGTCAATGGGACTGCCAGTTGTCGACACCAGCGCCAGAGGCCCAGAGCAAGACGAACGGAGACGCAGACGCAGAAGGCAGACGCAGACGCAGAAGGCAGACGCCAGCAGCCAGCCGCACACACCCGCTACACAGCATTTTGGGCCTGGATTGATTCCACTGCTTCATTGGACTGTTTGACGACCAAGCCTGTGATATTGCTTAACTTCCATCAAAATGGTATACACTTCCAACTACAGTATTTCGAGTAGTTCATGGAGCTCACAGTACGGAAACAGGTGGTGCTCTCCGCGGCCATCACCACGCGCTCTGGCAAGCCCATTCTCGCCCGCCAGTTCCGACACATGCAGCGATCCAGAGTCGAAGCTCTCCTCGCCTCCTTCCCAAAGCGCGCCGATACCGCCAGCCAACACACGACGGTCGAGCAAGACAATGTGCGATTCGTATACCAGCCCCTCGATGAGCTATACATGGTCCTGATCACCAATCGCCAATCCAACATCCTCCAAGACATCAACACCCTTCACCTCTTTGCCCAGCTTGTGAGCTCCATCTGCAAGAGTCTCGACGAGCGGGAAATCACACGATGTGCTTTCGAGCTCCTTTCGGCCTTCGATGAGCTCGTTACCCTGGGCTACAGGGAGAACTTGACCCTCAGCCAGATCAAGACCTTCTTGGACATGGAGTCGCACGAAGAGCGCATCCAGGAGATCATTGCTAGGAACAAGGAGTTGGAAGCTTCCGAGGAGCGGAAACGCAAAGCCAAGCAATTGGAGATGCAGAGAAAGGAGATGTCGAGAGCAGCTCGGGTTGGCGGTGGAAGTGGAGGCATGGGCGGCATGCCACGCGCACCATCATATCCCACCTACACCCCTCCAGCATCCACTCCCAGCATGACGGACTCCTACGACTCGTACAATGCAGCCAAGAACCAATCCTTCAGCAAGCCTCTTGCGACCCGTGGAAAAGGCATGCAGCTTGGCAAGAAGAAGACTACAAACACAATGCTCGACCAGCTTGGCGCAGAAGCAGAAGCGAGTGCACCTTTGGCAGGCGTGCCCACTCCTGCTGCCCAGCCAGTCCAGCCATCTGTGCCCGCGAGCACTACAGCCGCCCATGGAGATGCAGTACATATCACAGTCGGGGAGGCCATCTCTGCCAAACTCTCACGCGAAGGTGCCATTGAGTCATTCGAAGTCAAGGGCGATCTGCAGCTGCGAATCACAGATCCAAGCCTTACGCAAATCAAACTTGACATGGCAGTCGGTGATATCAAAGGCGCAAATCTGAATGCTCATCCGAAGGTCGACAAGAAGCAATTCAAGGACAACAACATCATCCAATTGACCGACACAAGCAAAGGCTTCCCTGCCAACAACAGCATCCAAGTCATGCGATGGCGACTAGTCGCCAAGGCGGAAGATGTTAGCGAGCCTCCCATTAAATTCACCGTTTGGACCAGCGAGCTCTCACCCGGCACTTACAGCGTGACGGTCGAATATGAGCTTACGGGGAGCGATCCGCTGAAAGACGTCACAGTCGTCATACCATGCCAGACCTCAGAACCTTCCGTCTCCAGCTTCGACGCTGTCTACGAAGTCAGCGGCGATAGCATAGATTGGACCATCGGCGATGTCGACGATTCAAACCCCAGCGGCTCTTTCGAATTTGAGGCCCAAGCAGAATCAGAAGGCGAATTCTTCCCTATGCAGGTCAAGTTCGCCAAGAGTCGACCTTGGGTGGAAGTCGATATCAGCAGTGTCAGCTTGCTGAATTTGAACCAAGACATCAGCTTTGGCAAAGACGTGAGGTCTGTTGCTGAGTCTTATATGATTGTCTAGGAGCGTGACGCGACATCGTTTTGGACTTAGCAGCATGAAGACGAGCGCAGGAAATGGAATGAATAGATCACTACGAAAGCGTTGTCGAACAAGTTGATCTGTAAGCCGTGCGCCTGAGCGTGCGGAAAAGAAGCCAGTCGTCAAAAATCAACCGTAACTTCATTCTCATCCCGACTGACATGATTTCTAGCCACAGCGTGATATGAAACGAAGAGGAGAAAGTGATGTGGCACTGCAATCGTGCGCAGTGCCAGTGAGTGCTACGCCGTGCAGGAGGCTGGCAGGTTTCACATGGTCCGCGATATACATCACCGCAAGGCGGGGACGGTAGAGCTGTGATTGAGGTAAGAGAAAAGCGCGTGCACCGCATGCGAATGGTGAAGGGAGCGCTATGTTGACAAACGAAGTGGTGGGTCGTAATGAGGTCAAGCCATCATCACACGCAGAAACGTTTTGAGGTCCGTGCGTTGCTTCGCGCAGTACAAGTTGTGGGTGCGGGAGGTCCTCGGGTTCGACTTAGCCAGACGGCATTGAAGATGTTGGCGAAGAAAGGGAGGATTACCTCACGAGAGCTTGAGGTGTGGGAGGGTTGAGTGGGCGTGTGAGTGCTTAGGATGAAGCTCAGGGTTTATTAGATACGCACTGAAGATTGCAAGGAGCATAGAGACGATGCACTGAGGAGGAACGAAGGCGAGGTCTCTGTATACTCGCAACTCGCTTACAGTAGCGTGGGAAGGCAGGCGGGAGGGCTTCAAAAGTGATGAGGGTACCACCACGCAACACCTCGAAGGACGCGCCGTGGCCGGAATACAGACACTCCTAAGGCGTCCACATGAATTGACCAACGAGTACATTAACCTCCCCCAAAGCCATACATACCTCACATCTCCATCCCACCTCCCATCTCACCACTCCCCTGCACAAGCAAACTAAGATCCAACACCCTCCACTCCCGCCCCTTATTCCCAAACACCACACAAAGAGATTTCTCCCTCCTCCCACCAACCACAAATTTTTGCGCCTTGAAACTCGGATCCGCAGGAAACGTATACAAGACTTTCTGCATCGAGCCCCGAAATCTAACGACTCGTGTTTGCCTCTCTTCCTGCACCAGAAGAAGGAGACCGGAAACTTCAGCAGGCATACCAGTGATGAATTTCACGTCTAGAATTTCGCCAGAGAAGGCGTGTTGAGTTGCCGTCTGATTCCACATGGGTCCGGAAGAAATGCTCTGGCGAGACTTGGAATCGGCGGAGATGGAGAGGATTTCGATTGCGTTAGGTGTAGTTTTGTCCATGCCTACAACGATTGTCGTGTCTTTGGTCTGAATCATATCGAGGACTTCAGTAGCTTGCCATTGTAGTGCGACAGAAGGTGGATCGAAAGGCGGAAAGAGCATACGGTTCTGCCACTCGGTGATTCTCTTCAGCACGATACGGACCCGACCCATCAGAGCGCAGGTCAAAGCAGGGATATTCAGCAAAGCCATGGGATCTCCGACCTCTTTGATCTTGACGAGCAATGTATCGCCGCCCTTGGCGTCGAGCTGTTTCAGCGCCTCTTTCGCGAGTTCATAGCTCGCTGTTGGGACGAGTGGTTTCGCGAAAAATTGTGCTTCGCTGCAAGTCGCACCTTCCTCGACACCAGGTCTGTTCTCAATATGTGGTGCTAGTTTGCTCTGCTCCATGTTGTTCTTGATGTATGCGAGGACTAGAGGGCAGTCAATGCCCGGCGACTCCCTCTCTTCCACTTCCAGAGCATTTTGTGAGAAGGGCTCGGCGGCTGCGATTTCAACTTGCATCTTGAGCCACTTGATGAAGGCTCTGAATTCGCGATGTTCACTCATGATTATAAGCTGCATTTTTTGTGCAATTAGGCGTAAGCTGTCGATGTGTTCGAGGATATTCGTGAAGATCTGGGGAGAGCAATCGAAACGGCTTGAACCCTCGTGATAAGTGGCTTGACCACGGAGCGTGGTTACTGCAATGCTGAAGCGATCGAGTGCAGGCAATAGGTTCACAAATATGTGATTCTGAATATTGGTGTACATGGTGTTGATGGGTTGCTCCCAACGCCTGTGGAATGCATCTTTGTAGTCGTCAATCCAGATCAGGACCTGAGGATGAAAGGAGCCGGTCATAGCAAGATGATATAAGTTCGTTACGGCATCGCCATCGACCGGATGCTGTTTGGCCAAGTCGTCCTGGAGCATGCCAAGAATTTTCCTCGGCGGTACAACATTCGACGTGTAGTCGTGCTGTATGCATCTCGACGTCTGTAGCACATAGTCCATGAGCGTTTGTATTCGTTTCGTATTCGTTGCAATGATGTGGAGTAGCGATCCTCCCAGCTTCTCCAGTGGAAGATCGAGCGACGTAAGACTCAGAGTAGATTCAGACTGCTCGTGTCTCGAGAGTATTGCATGGCTTGAGTTTTGTGGATGTGCAGCATGCATGATCGGCTCACCAGCTATCCTGCAAGTGCCGATCTTGACAGTCTCGTCGAGCAGTACCTGTACTTTGCGGTCCTTTTGGCAGACGAGGAGCGCATCCACCGCCTTTGCGCTTCCATCGCCGTGAGTCTCAAATTGTGTGTCTGTAGCGACCTGACTCGAGAACTTATTCGCACCAGGTCCAGAGCTAGGCTGCGCGACTCCGTGTGCTGGAATCGCACTCAGTCTCGGCAGCACCTTGGTAACATCCAGCGAGGCAATCGCACGTGGCAAAGCGGCAACCACATCCTCTCTGTTCTGCTTCGCCGGACCATCAGCATAGACATCATCAGTCATATCATACCAATCATCAGTCGTCAAATGGGCCTCCACCTCCACGCCTTTCGAATTCCCATTCTCGTGCCCCATAAAGCCCAAACACGCAGCCGTGCTCAACATCTCAGCCTTGGCCTCCTCTTTCTGCCGATCATATTTCGGTAGCCTCAGATCCAGCGCATATTCATCTTCCAGTTCCTCAACATCAAGCTCGACAATACTCATCTGCCTTCCACTCTCACCATCGTAAATCGCGTACTTGCCATCGCTCCAGCCGATGCCAAGACATGTGCCGTCCGGCTTCCAGGCCAGACTTGTGATGTCGTAGTCGTCGTCGGTTCGTTTGATGGTGTATGCCAGCTGTCCAGATATGATTCGGAAGACTTGGACCTGCGGCTCATCTCCGGCTTTTGTGACGATGGCAAGCAGGTCGTGCTGATGTGAGAATGCCGTGAAGGGAAACTTGATGGGAGTTGGGAGGCGTTTGGAGCCAAGTGGTGACTTTGCGTTTTCTGTGTGCAGCGGTCCGTCGTCGTCAGAAAGGTCGCTGGGGAAAGCCATTGTGTCTCACGGTCATTGCCGTATGCCATGCATCGGGGAAAGGGCAGCATACATGTAGATCCATCGAGGAAGGCAGAAGTACTGCTTCTAGCGCGTTTCCGGCCAGCTGGTGGCTTGGCATCCGAGTCGGGCATCACCTCACCTCACCTCACTCAACTCCAGCGTGCTGCATACGCACATGCGCACACACGTACATGAAATGAGGCACATGCTGAGTATGGTAACGTTGGAACGAATACTCTATGTACTCGAAAACACGCCGTCTTTTGCCCTTCACCATTCTCTCTTGGCGCCATAAAAAGAAGATGCCTTCATCCAGATCTGTGCTTCCTGCTCTCTCTCTCTCGCGAAGCTGCTGCTCCCATCCCTCCCAAAATCCAAATCCGAAAGGAAAAGAATCGAAGCGCTAGACGTACGACATGCCCAATCCCAATGCAATAAGAGCGGCAAAGACAAAAACCACAACCGCACCACGAAAATGCCGAATCCTCAATCTCTCAACCTCCCAAGCAGTTTGTGCGGTCCGAGCAGAAGTCTACTCTTTCGCTTGGTCTCTTCTGTGTCTTCGACCTCCGCCTCTCTTCCGCCTTGGCTTGATGAGCCACTCTTGTCAGCTGTGCCCTGTCTCTGCCTCAATCTTTCGCCGAACCCAGATAGATGTCGTGTGATAGTATTGGCACGATTCCTCGACTCATCCGCCTGTGACCCCGATGCCGTGCTTGCAGAGCCACGTGCATATGGTAGTGGTCGTGGAATAGCAGAAGGTGGCGGCGGTGGCGGACTGTTGTGACTGTAGCCAGATGATCCATTGCTCGTCGTTCCCAATGCCTGAGGAAAGTCCGAATCTTCTGACCTGCGCATGTCCCCTCTTGAGCTCGATGGTGATGAGTGTGTCAGGCTTCGACTGAAATTACTACTAGCTGCTCTTGCACTCGAAGGTCTTCCAGATGTGCTTGTCTCTCGGTCGTAATAGCTACTCTCCATGACACTGCTTGTCTCAGAGCTGTTTGTCGTCCAGTCTGGCGGCCCGGGCAGCACACCCATCTGAGCCTGGCTTGCATTGGGACTCATAAATGTGCTTCTGTTTGCGAGCTCACGCAGTCGAGACTGCTGCTGCCTGTTCGGCTTGTGATGGCTAAACTTGTTTCCCACAATGGCACCGGCGTGGCTGATCAGCGCACGGACGAAATCCTTCTTCAGCTGCATCGCCAAATCTAGGTTGGACCACGTCTTGTTGCGGTACTCCAGTGTAGGCATGCGGAAGACGAGATCATGCACGTCTTCGATGTTGCGCTTTCCCTGCCCCTTGTACGACAGGCATAGAACCATGCTAGGTATCTTGACGTAGGCGAGAGTCATATAATTCGACGCTCTGCTCATCATTTGTGTAAGATCGTCGGAGGGCTGATCGTGGTCCTTTTCCTTGTCTTTCTTCCTTTTCTTGTGATCTTCGTGGAACTTCTGCGCCACAGCGAGTCTCTTGCTCTTGTCAACCTTGTCGTCTGCATCTTGACTGCCAGCTGTGCTACGCATCGTAGAGAGTGAGCGCAAACTAGGCGAACGTGACATCGGCGAGAGCTTCGTCCGCGAAAGAGCATGTCGCGAGGCATTAGATCGAGTGCCGTCACCCGTACGTGACTTGTCGGAGTGCTGGAATATGGCAAAGCCGTGCAGGCCGTGGCTGGCGACCGGACCGTTGGAAATACCCAGGCCCTTGCTGTCACTCTTGCTATGCATCTGTTTGTGTTTGTGCAGAGTCAGCGTCGGTTTGAGGCGAGCGTCCAGAGAGCCAGGACCACTAGCATCGTTTGGTATCAGGTCGACACGATCGGTGGAGTCTGCTCCCAACACACTCTGCGAGTCTTGTCCGTCTGGGCCGTTTTCGTCTTCTTCATCCTGGGCAGGTAGCATGTTCTTCACCATGAATGGCGAAAAGCCACCATCGAAAGCTTTGCCGCCAACGCCCGGGAAGATGTACTCGAAAATCTTGCGAGCTACATCGCGCTCAATCTGAAGTCGAAGAGGCACGAGGTCGACTTCAAAGTAATCCACGACTGGGATACCGGCAATGGCCTCGAGCATCAGCCACTGAACTCTCAGCATTTTTGCGTCTCGCAAACGCCGGCCACCCTTGGTCTCATCTGTGAAAGGAGATATAATCTCCGGATAGATGGCATCTTTCAGCAAGTTGAAACCATTGATGCGGTCAATCTCCATGATATTGTAGTTCGACCCATCATAGTTGTCGGTTCTGTCGAATGTGGCGTCCTTGAGCTGTAACTCGATCAGTGACTCACCCTTGTCCCGGATAAGATGCCAAGCGAGCTCTTTGGAAGCGACATGCAAATGCATGAAGCCACCGGAATTTCCAGTCTCTCGTCGCTCTTCGACATGCTGTTGCGATGTTGTAATAGCTTTCATCATGAAGAATAGCTCGTCCTCACAGCTGGCAAGATCCTGGTCGAGCTTGATGCGGTCTTTCCAGCCTTGGCGATCGAGGAACCTTTCATTGACCTGGAAATGCATTTTGATCTCCTCCAGCTGTCGGATACGCTCCTGCAGCATCTGAACCATTTCCGGAGCTCCTGTCAAGTCACTGAAATCTGATGCAAGCATGATCTTCTCAAGACGTTCACTTCTAGTCTTCTCAAGAGGTTCATTATACAGCAAGAGATCCATGGCAATGACGTACATAGCAAAGTACTGAGTCGAGTCGCATATGGCGCGGAAATGTGGGAATTCCAGCCATACATGATCCATCCGGCTCTCCGCCTCTTCTGCGCTCTCGGCAGACTTGGGTTCGCCTCCTGAGATGTCGTCGTTGTATTTGAGACGCAGCTGGTTGTACTTGTCGTATCGCAGGCTGGCAGAGGTCCGATGGACAACACGATGGAACCCATAAGGATTCGTTTGGAACTCGAACATAATCTCCATTGGCACCCAAGGCGGCCAGTAAGTGCCAGCCTTGACCCCATAGCGATTGGCAGAGTAGAAGTGCAGATATTCTGTGGAGAAAGTCTTCGTGCTTGTGACGAACATCTGAACGCTGTCCGCCGCCGCATTGAACCTGCGCTGTACGAGTCCGCTGACATCGTCATCGATCTTGTCTTTCTCCATTATCTGGACGACTTTGAGCTGCATTCCCTTTGCTGTGACGAGCACAGCTGATTGAGAGTTCTTCTCGCTTTGAAGCTGGACTTGCGGTGCGATCAGACGGAAGTGATAAGTGTTCAGGGGAGCAAATTCGGTCGCAATGTCATCGTGTCCAGAGTTACCAGGTCCACTATCCCAAGTCTCATTGACGGGCTCCTCTGCATCAACAAAATGGCGTCCATCACGAAGAAGCTGGTCGATTCTGTCCTGTACAGTCTCTTCGTCGTCGGCCTCTGGCGACTCGGCAGAGCTTGAGGTGTAGTTTGCTGCGCGCGACCTTTGTCTCTTTGGCGTGCCAACCTCTTCCGAGTTCTGCCGTTCCTCGAGCACATCAAGAATGAATTTGACTGCGCGACGCGACATATAATACACAAAACCCCTTCTTTGGCTATTCTGGTGAATGTAGCGCAGAATAATGTTTCGCAGGGAGTTGTTCCACTTGATTTGAGCATTGTGCACAATGAAGCGATTATTGAAGTCACTCGTATAGTCTGCTAGTGGCGCAGCGTCCATGTTCGACAGATCCGGGTCCTGGCGTGGATGGTTGGTGTCGTATGTCTTCTCGTGAGCTTCGAAAAATGCTTCACTGGTCTCAAGATCTGGAACGGCAGATGGATCATCGTGTTCCAGGCGCTGCAACAGTTCGTAAAGCACTGATTCCAAGAAGCGGTGCTTGCCTTCCAAGTGGGAGCTATGGCCGCGCAGAGTTTCAAGTTTGGCTTCAAGTGCCGCGGTCTGTTTCTTGTCGTCTTTGATGTCACGCACCAGTTTCAATTCTTGCTCACCGACCGCGCGCACGTTCTGTGCCTGCTTCTCCTTGATCAGTTCAAGGCGTCTCTGGATAAGCTCCGCCTGTACCCTTCGAGGATCATTCTTCTTAGACACGACACAAAAGTGCGTAGGCTCATCACCGAAAGGACTACTTCTTGAGGGATCGCCTGCAATAGTGCCATTGTGGTCAGTCTCGCGGAAGTACGTAAACCGCGGGGCGTACCCCAACGGCAAGATCTTTGTCTTCGGATCTGCTTCAGCCGGGAGGATCCAGTCCAGTTCAACAAAGTCGTCCATGTCGATCCATGCGAAGTCATTGTCTGGAATATCGAATTTGGACATGTCCACCAAAGGCACCTGCCCATGCAAAGACGCCAACGTCTCATCACTTGCCTTCTCGATGTCCTCCGCGCTGGTACCTTCTATGCTTGCCGAAAGCGCTCGAAGATCCGCAGATATGAAGTCTAACTGAGCCTGATTGATACGCATTCCACTGGTCTGCTTCGCCTTTGTGCCCTCTCTGCCTTTCAAGTCAAAGTGCTCTCGTCTCTGATGCAGATCAAGCATGAAACTGTCAAGTCGCATTTTCAAGCCGGTAGCTGAGACTGAATGCCCAGCGTACTCTTCTGCGTCTTTGTGCTTGTACACATGGCTGATGTAGAGTGGGGACAGGAGCAGGTTGTATTTGATCGTAGCCACATGTCTTCCGAATTTCTTGCTCTTCTTCTCCGTGATGCCCCAAAGAGGCCCTTGCTTGACAGGCAAAGACATGACCCCAGAAAACATGGACCACCAATTGAAGAAATGCGAGAAGAACCGAGGTGTCAAATGGACCGAGTTGTAGTTGTTGGACGGCTTGATGTTTGTTACTGACCAGTCGCGATCGTGCGGTGCGGCCACAGCGACAGACATGTGAATGTGATGGGACCGGAAACCACGAAATGCGTCATACTCCAAGCCATCAGAGCCTTTGGCAAAGTCTGGATGCTTGAGCACAATGTCGTAGTGAGGCTTGAACGCAAAGCTGCGGCCTCCTTCTGGAAGGTCCTGTTCGAACATGAGCCCAGCAAGCCAGGTTACCTTGCCAGAGAGTTTCATGACGACTTTCTTGAACACAACGTCCTTCTTCGAAATACTTGAGCCCGACGATGTACTTCCATCGTCGTCTGTGGCCATGTTCTCTGAGTGTCGAGCATAGTTGTTGAAGTCTGGAACAGCTAGAATATACTCTCCGCTGTCGACTGTCATAAACTTGCGTGGATCTTCATCTTGTGCTATGTTCCAGCTAACGTCGCTTCGCCACACCATGACAAGACCAGCACCATTTCCAGTCACAATGTAAGGATCGCGGGATCCTTTAACTGTCAGGTGCACATCTCCATCCCCTTTCCATGCCACATTGATGCGAGAGTGGAATGTAAGGCGAATTTTGTCCCAGAACCCAACTCGATCAGATGGGTCGACGGGCGGCTTTGTGAAGCTTTCCAGCACCTGCATCGCATCTTGAATTGCAGGCTGATAGGATGTTGACCACGATATTCTTGTGGCGTTGCTGGTGTTGATCTCCATCTTTATGTCTGAGTAGACCTTTACCGTAGATATCGTTCTCCTGACATTGATTGCAAAGCCTCCTTGCCCGGCACCCATCTTCTCAGGTGGCACTACCTGTACAGTGACACTTCTCTGTGACTCAATGTCCCGGAATTCTTCGGCAATAACAAAGTCAGTCCGGAGCGACATGGCTGGCATACGGGGAGACTGGCCATTCCCAAGCGTTGGAATATGAAGTAACGGGAGTGGGTAATCGCGGAGCTGTACTCGACCCTCGCCCATGGTAACGTGTAGGTTCATGGGTACAAGAAGGGCATACTTCATATCTTGAGGCATGCCCTTGCCAACGCTGTACAAGAATTGCGAATACTCATTGATCGGAAAGGTGGGCTTGTCCACCGTGATGCCGAAATCAGTGATTGCGATGACCATGAGTGCTGGTCGGCGACTCCAGGCAAGGATAGGCTCATTCTGCTCCACATCTTCGAGATCGTCCGAAACGCCGATAAGTCTTCTGATCTCCCTGATGGCATGGCTCTGGAACGTCTCTACTCGATCGATTCGGTTCTTCCAGGATTGAGAATTGTACTGGTCTAACTTCTTCCTCGCTTCATTGATGGAGACGTTGTGGGCGTCACTAATGCCGCACCTGCCATCGGCATCGTAACGCATATTGCGCCCATGGTTTCGATGCCTCTGACTGTTCTGCGGACTTAGGCCCTCCTCGCGAGTGCTCTGGCTTCTTTTGGCATTATTGGTCTGCCTGATGCGAGACCTGGAACGCTGCTTCTCATGTGCCGACTGGGCACGCAATCGCGAGGATTCGCGCGCTTGGCTCCGATTGATTCTCTTGGCCTTCAAGTTGAACGCTTCATCACGAGCAATTCTTTGCTTTTGCTCAAGAAGTCCAGCCCTGTAGATAGCACCAAGTTTAGATTCGAACAAGCTATCTTCGATGTCGAAGAGGAAGATCTGCGTCCGGAGAGTGATCCGAGGCACGTGCTTAGGGCCTTCCGGCTCTTTGGTCAAAATGTACTCATTCGTGCGCGTCAAGAAGTGGTGTTGAAGCTGCTTCGTCGTCTTCATGACATTGGTGATATTGTCAAAGATGTCATGAACCACAAGTGAATGTGGGACTGAAATGCGCATCGCTTCCGCAGCCATCTCTAGCGTCTTCTCCGATACGGACTGCTTCCCAACCTTCCGCCTGATATCGCGAAGATCAAGCCGCAGAACTTTGATACTGATAATTCTGCTCCAAGCCGATCTGGTTGCAGGAGCTCGGACATACAAACGTGTCAGTCGGCTGCGTGCGAAAGGCGTTGACCAGCGATGACGCCCAGCTTCCAAGTGATAGGCTTGCAGCATCATTGGTGGATCTGCTGGCAGTCGAATTTTTACTTGTACCAGATTCGCTTTGAAGTCAATAGCAGTAATTTCCCTTCGAGCAATATCCTCAAGCTCTGGGTCAGCAACAGACAACCCAAGGCTATGATTTCTGTTCATGCTAGGTTTGGTGTCTCTGCTCTCTGCACTGTCCAGGAAAGTCCTCTTGATGACCATAGCCGCGACGCCAGTTGCGAAATGCGTATACAAAGAGTACTGCACAAGTATGCTCTTGGCGAAAGAGTTGATATGGAAGATCGGACCATGTGCATCCGTTGACGTTGAGAAAGCGATTTCAAAGCGTGGCAGCGTCAGAAACGACTCCGGCTCAGAATCTTCGATGGAATCCACAATTGTACCCTCAAGATTCTGTATGTGGAATGTCAGCCGTCGGCCATCAGCATAGCTCTGATACTTCTTCTTTGGCGTTCCATGTTCTTTCTTGTCCTTGTCTTTTTGCGGAGTCCTGGAGACTGATTTGCGCCGACTGTGCCCATCCTGGTGAGGCTCGTCACGCTTAGCTTTGTATTCTGCGGTCCATGACTCAAGTTGCAAGCCAAAGCCTCGCGTGTCTTGAGATACTTGGTCGTCGATCCCAGCGAGCTCGAGGCCAAAGTCTGAGCCCTCCAATTTGCACTGCTGTAGCCATAATGGCATCTGCCGCAAAAAGCTCGCATGAGGCTTGTGCTTGTCCTCTGGTCGTGCAAGTACGTTTCGGCGCAGCTGCTTGACAATTTGGCGCACGCCTTCACAGATGTCGGGTCGCACAAGAAAGATCGTAAAGGTTTGAGCGCGACCGGTGGCATTCACAGCAACGTCAGGGAAAGCGTTGAGATCGACTTGTACTTCCACGAAGTCGCTGTGCAGAAGGTCATGCCTGTCGCCGGCTGCAGCCTGGTAATAAAGCCGATGGCGCGAGTGTCGGTAGTAAGAATTGAGGCTATAGTGTATCTGGCCATCTGTTGCGTGCGAAGACTCGCATTCCAATGCCACCGACGATACCGATGATATCAGCAAGTCGAAGTCATCGTCTGCAGCGTCTTTGGCTAAGGGTGGGAGCGATATGCGGACAACTGGCTCCTGGATGGAAAGCTTCAGGTGCGCTTTAGGTAGTAGTTGCGATATCAGCTGGTGATGAGCGCTGCTCGGACTACGCCGGCGTTTGCGCTCCGATCGCTGCTTTGTGATCTCGCGAACGAGTGGCAGGTGTTTCGGGTCCAAGTCTAGAGAAGGAGAAGTGCATACGAAATTGGCATACAAGATATTCGTGTTTCGATCGCTGGGATCTTCGACTCTCGAGTAGTGTATCGTTCGCGAAGGTAAAGTGGTTTTGACAGTGGCTGTGACCATAGGTATATAGAGCATGCGCTCCGGGTGGTCATGCCCATCGTCAATACCTGCTGCGATGGCAATGCCGGTGAGGAGACCTTGATGAGCAATGTCGTTGGGCGAGAAGTACATCCGATGCGCTGGACTTTTCGGGTCGAGACGCAAAAGATCTAAGCCTAGCTCCTTCATAGCAAAGTTGAAGTAGACTTCCTTGTTTCCGTGCGATTTGAGGTCCAGCTTCTTAGTTAGACCAACAAATCCCACGGCGAATTGGATCTCCTGAATGCCACGCAGGACGGAAGCGACGAAAGCCCGGGACTCTGACACGGCTCGAACAATGTTCTCGTCGCGGCTGCCAGGCCTATCCAGCTCATCAACAACGTCTGCCAGCGATAGGTCGGTGGCGCCGTCATGCTGAGGCTGAGCATATCGGCCTCGGAGGAGATCTGCACACCGCATCGCATGCTCAAAATCATCGTAAGGTAGATTGAGACGACCGAGCTTCAACGCGATTGACGCATCGCGTAGCCCCTCACGCTGCCGATGAAGCATTCCATGGATGTTGACAGTGCAGTAGTCCAAAATTTCGGTATCTTCGCGACCTTCGGGTGTGAAGAGGACGCTTCTAATCATCGACTTCCACTCTGCAGGACTTTGAGTCTGCGGCTGATGCTTGTTATGCTGGAACAGCCTACTGCGATCAACTGTCTGTCTGCGCGTGTCCACGGAAAGCGTCAAGCGCTCCAGCGTGAGAGACCCAACTCCTTCAATGTTCAAAGTCACAGCAGTCGCGATCAGGTCCAGCAGTCTGAGCCAGTTGATCTGTCTATGCAGTCTCTTGATCGTCTCTTTCGTCTCGGTGAGCTTCCGCCAAAGCCTCCCGCGGCCCTCCTCGTCCTCCTGCTCTTGCTCGGCTGGCGTCTTGGGTCTCGGCGGTGCATTGCCGTTGGCCTTCTCAAAGCTCCCATTTTGCTGCTTTGCCGCCTCGTCGATTGCCTGCAGGTTCAGTGTCACTACCAGCTCTGTGACAACCAAGCTACACCAGGTTGGTAGGGCGAACGTTGGGCGATGCACAGAGAGGCCAACGCCACGAATGTTGACCTTGATGCCATGGCGGGGAGAGAAAGCGATGCGCCTGAAACCTGTGTAGCCCACTCGCTGGATTGAGACACCCGTAACTATGCGCAAGATGGCAAACACCACGAGTGTGAACAGATATGCCACCACGACCAGGCCCAAGAGGAATGATATCGTCGGCACAGGCATGGCGGACAATGCGCCATCAGCTCCGCGCGCGCCGGCGCAATGTCGTTTCGGGGTTCGATGCTATGCGTCGCGTAGTCATGCTGCAGAGTGCAGTGCGGTGCCTGCGATCACGGCAAAACAAATAGGCTGTTGTACATGGGCATGCTTGGTGAGATGTGTAGTGAAGGCCGGAAGTAGCAGTGTGCGATGGAGCTTGATGCGGGAGCGTTTCTGGCAAGCGGCGCGGCGATGGAAGGAAGAAGGGCACCTGGCCTTGGGCGCTTGGCGTGGTCTACAGCTGGTGAATGAGTTTGGGGTGTTGCTATGTCTATGGAAGAAGAGAAGAAGGGTGTTCGTTGAACGCGCTCATTGCCGTTGCCGATAATAGTAAGCTTCTGCTTTGGGCGAACTGCATGGGCCTTCGTCAAGATCAAACTCGGAACAGATTCGACAGTTCTTGGATAGTATGTATTATTGTAGGCCTTGCCCTGTGGAAGGAGCGAACACCTTGAAGGCCTCGAAGCCACAAGGGCCTCTATATACAGTGCACGGTACACCGTTGCTACCATCGAATTGTGTTTGGACCGACAGTCCGCTTGGAGAAACGGAATAGTTCCAAAGTCGGTAACATTATAGGCATGCGCTATTGGGACAACGGCCGCAAAGATAAATGCCAAATGCATCTTTGAAAATTCATCGCCGTTATGTTCTCTTTTCATTCATCTATAGCTCTTCATAGCTACGAGTCTAAGCCCATTCACCACCATGCGTATCACTCGTGGCACTCCGCGCATGTCGCGTGCTTTGCGTGCCTTCGGGAGCTTTGACCGCCGCCGTGCTCGATCGCTCGAATGTGGAGCCGTGAGCCGCTCATGCCTGCTCGCAGCTGGCTACAGCATATCCCCAATCTATCACCATGCATCATATCATCCCCGGCTGCTGCTCTCTCATGAAGCCTTTGCATCCTCCATCTGCGTGTCGACGCCGTTGCTCCCATCAATTTTGATCGTCTCTGCGATTTCCGCAGCGCCGTTCGCGAATACTTGCTCCTTAACAACAGCAGCGCTGAGGCCCATCTTCTCCTCGCTGGCAATTTTCTCTGCAGCTTTGACAATCTTAGCAATCTGCTCGTCCCCGCCCCTCTTCCTGGATGGGCCCATTGGTGGCATGCCCTTTATTGAATGACTGCTAGCGGCTGCAGCAGTCTTGCCGGCCAAGTCTTCAATCTGCTTTGTGACATAGTCGTGATTGGTGTCGAGTGGCGATGCGGATAGAGTCTGCACCCAGTACTTGTTCCAGAGTGCCTCCAGTAGCTTATTGTCGAGCGTCGATTTGAAGTGGGAGACTTCGAGGGGATAGTAGCGATTGGCGTGCGCACCGAAGTCCTGGGCCTTAGCCATCGGAACTGCAGCCATGCCTTCAGCAGCCGATTCCTGGCCGTCAGGCTTGTAGCCTTCGGGATAGGTTCTGAAAGCGCCGATATCGACCTTGCCAGAGCTGATGGTGCGATGCGGGTCGACTACCACGGCAAGGAACGGATCTTGAAACATCTGCTGACTGTGCTGAGTCGAGACATCGATACCGGAGAGCCAGCAGCCGTAGCCCGGATGGCTGTGATACCACCCCACAGCATTCTCCAGCTGTCCTGTCTGACGCGACCGCTCCAAGAATTTGACCACGTACTCGTTGGCCTCGTCTGCTGCGTTGACTCTCGTCTCGGTGCCTTCGACGGGTAATCGCACAGCATCAGTGACGATGAATGTTTCGTGCTCCACGTATCCTAGCATCAAGCCCATCACCTCGATGTCTCCTCCCGAGCGCGCGTGCATCACCATTTTGACCATGGCGACGGCCGATATGCGCACATATTTGAAGTGATGTGGATCTGAGCGCCACGGTCGAGCTTCGTTGATCTTCTTCTGTTCGGCTGCATCGTACTTGTAGAGCGCGTCTCGGTTCGGGTCGACTAATTTGACCGACTTCTCGGTTTCTAGAGACAGTCAGTTTCATAGCGCGGGAGCATAGTGCACAGTCACTCACCCCAGGCTTGCTGCGACTCCATGGCGGCGTCTGTAGCTGTGGCGAAAGAGATAGGTAGGAAAGTGTCGGGTCGGTTTATCGAGCACCCTCTATCATACTTGGCCTGTGAGAAGTGTGCTTGGACTTTGACTGTCAGAAGACGAGCCAGGCCACAGTTGATGTTTTGTGCGGGTAATGTCAGGCGAGAGTTGCGATGGATGTTTGCCTGAGAAACGAAGCTCTGTGGGCCACTCGTTGAAGATGCGACGATGTCAGCGGGAAGGCCGTGAGCGGCACGAGATGAACATTCACTTCGCTAGAGACACATGCGAAAGCCGAAAGGATCGTTTCCAAGCTGTGCTGTGCTGTGCTATGCACGGATTGTGAGGGCAACGAGAAGAGAAGCCCGCGAAGCTCAGAGTCAGGTGCAGCAAGTCGAGGGAGCTTGGACATTGATTTGACACGGGCGCCAGGGTGACGCGCTACACGTACCATCCCATCCGACGCGACGCTCGCTCTAGTAAACTGCACCCTTCACCATTCACTCAACACCGCCAGAATGCCCGGCGTGCTGACACAGGGCCCGGCGAATGTTCCCAGCAAGCGGGTCTTGCAAGAAACTACTCAATCTCGCCGGAACCAGCAAGCATCGCCACAGAAGAAGAGAAAGCTCGATGCCGACTCGAAGCCAGCGCTCAGAGTGCCGGGAAAGAGAGGTCCCAATGGCAGTCAGCTTGGCTCTAGTCAGCCCAAGAGCCACTTTGAGACCGAAGTCCTTGAGAAGCTCACCCAAGATATTGGCGACCTGAAAGAGAATAATGCCGAGAGAGACCAGAAATGGGCACGTCCGAGCCTCGACAACTTCAACCCCAAGACCAGCGATATCACCTTCCAGGCCATCGATGCGGAGGAAGGCACACTGCATGGCGGCAAGGCGACAGTCAAGCTGTTCGGTGTGACGGAGGAAGGACATTCGGTGCTGCTCCATGTCACTGATTTCTTGCATTATCTATATGTCGCCGCCCCAGTCTCCTTCACCAAAAACGACTGCGAACCCTTCAAGGTCTTCCTCGAGAGCTCCATGGCTCAACACTCCGCTGCCATCCACTCCGTCCAGATGGTCCTCCGCGAGAACATGTACGGCTTCCAGGGCAATACCAAGAGCCCTTACCTGAAAATTACCGTGACCGACCCGAAATACATCAGTCGCCTTCGAACGGCGATTGAAACCGGAAATGCGAACTATAAGGGCATGTGGAAAGTGGCAGAAGGAGGCATTTTGACATTCGACATGATCGCATACGTGCTCCGTTTCATGGTCGACACGAAAATGGCTGGCATGTCATGGGTTGGCATCAACGCTGGCAAATACACCATGCTTCCAGAGCGAGATCGGCAAGGACAGTGCCAGATCGAGGCGTACTGCCACTATCGCGACATTATTGCACACCCGATTGACGGAGAATGGTCCAAGATGGCACCGTTACGTGTGTTGAGTTTTGACATCGAATGTGCTGGACGAAAAGGCGTATTCCCCGAAGCGAACGTCGACCCGGTCATTCAAATTGCGAACGTCGTGACGCGGTATGGTGAAGAGAAACCATTCGTGCGGAATGTGTTCTGCATGGACACTTGCAGTCTCATCGTGAACACCCAGCTCTTTGAATTTGATCAGGAAGAAAAGATGTTGATGGCATGGAGAGACTTCATCGAGGAGGTTGACCCAGATGTCATCATTGGATACAACATCGCCAACTTCGACTTCCCGTATCTTCTGGATCGTGCCGCCCATCTCAAAGTGGCGAGGTTTCCCTTCCTATCACGTTTAAGGAATGTCAAGTCGGTTGCAAAGGACACCAACTTTGCCAGCAAGCAGATGGGTAACCGCGATGCCAAAGCAACCAACACCAATGGTAGACTACAACTTGATCTTCTCCAGCTCATTCAGAGAGACTACCAGTTGCGAAGCTATACATTGAACTCTGTGTCAGCGCACTTTCTGAACGAGCAAAAAGAAGATGTCCACCACACCATGATTACGGAGCTGTACAACGGAACGCCAGAGTCACGACGAAGATTGGCGGTCTACTGCCTGAAGGACGCGTATCTTCCGCAAAGACTGATGGATAAATTGATGTGTCTGGTCAACTACACCGAAATGGCGAGAGTCACGGGTGTTCCTTTCAACTTTCTCCTTGCGAAGGGACAGCAGATCAAGTTCATCAGTCAGCTGTTCAGAAAAGCATTGGAGCAGCAGCTAGTGGTTCCCAACCTGAAAACGGACAGCTCTGACGAGCAATACGAGGGTGCTACTGTCATTGAGCCTACTCGAGGCTATTACGACGTCCCTGTTGCAACTCTAGATTTTGCTTCACTATACCCCAGTATCATGCAGGCCCACAACCTGTGCTACACCACGCTTCTCAACAAGACTGCCATAGAGAAGCTCGACCTGAAGAAGGATGAAGACTACATTGTCACACCCAATGGCGACCTCTTCTGTACGACCAAGGTTCGAAAAGGACTTTTGTCGCAAATTCTCGAAGAATTGCTGGGAGCCAGAAAGCGTGCGAAGAAGGAGTTGGCTGTCGAGACTGATCCCTTCAAGAAGGCTGTGCTGAATGGTCGTCAACTGGCTTTGAAGATTTCCGCAAATTCCGTCTACGGTCTCACTGGCGCTACAGTCGGCAAACTGCCTTGCTTGGCAATAGCCAGCAGCACGACGTCGTACGGGCGACAGATGATTGAAAAGACCAAAGCTGAGGTAGAAGCACGATATACTATCGCCAACGGTTACAGCCACGACGCACAGGTCATCTATGGCGACACCGACTCTGTCATGGTCAAATTCGGACCCAATGACCTGGCCAAAGCGATGGAATTGGGCGAGGATGCCGCAAACTATGTGTCGAGCAAATTCATCAAACCGATCAAGCTGGAGTTCGAAAAAGTCTACTATCCGTATCTTCTGATCAACAAGAAGCGGTATGCTGGTCTGTACTGGACAAACACCACCAAGTACGACAAGATGGATACCAAGGGTATCGAAACAGTGCGCAGAGACAACTGTCGACTCGTGCAGAACGTCATTGAAACCAGTCTGAGGATGCTTCTGATCGAGCAGGACGTGCAGGGTGCACAGGAGTAAGTCCGCAGATCTCTGCAGCTTTGCAGCGCCCCACAATTATTTGCCATCCAGCTAACTTTAGCACAGCTATGTCAAGGAAACCATATCAGAACTCTTGCAAAACCGCATCGACATGTCAAATCTGGTCATCACCAAAGCGCTGAGCAAATCGGATTACGCCTCCAAGCAGGCACACACTGAACTGGCCGAGCGCATGCGCAAACGCGATGCAGGGTCGGCGCCTGCGCTGGGTGATCGTGTGGCGTACGTGATGGTCAAGGGTGCCGCGGGCTCGAAAGGTTACGAAAAATCGGAAGATCCAATGTTCGTGCTCGAACACAACCTTCCCATCGACACGAAATATTATCTCGATAACCAGCTCGCCAAGCCCTTGGGCCGAATCTTCGAGCCCATTTTAGGCGAGAAGAAAGCGGCTTCTCTACTCACGGGCGAACACACGCGTGCCATTTCCGTCGCTGCGCCGACGATGGGCGGTCTCATGAAATTCGCGAAAAAGACGGAGACGTGTTTGGGCTGTAAGAAACCTTTGATTTCGAAAGAAGAACAGGGTGGGGCTGTGGGTGAGGAATGTAGGGGGCGATTCGGTGAGTTGTATCAGAGGTCTCTGAGTAAGACGGCGGAGTTGGAGGTGAGGTTTGCGCGGCTGTGGACGCAGTGTCAGAGGTGTCAAGGCAGTATGCATAACGAGGTCATCTGCGCGAGCAGGGATTGTCCGATTTTCTATATGCGGATGAAGGCGAAGAAGGATGTTGAAGATGCGGGTAAGGAATTGGTGCGCTTCGATCGGGATGCTACGCTTTGGTGAGGAGGAGATCGAAGGACATGCACAGTCATCGGCCGTCTGGACTTGGTCTTGGCTTTGATCATGATAACGGTGTGTGAGGCGAAATTCACGGCGACGCGACACTGGCGGCGTTTCTTCTGGTGGTGGGTTTGGGTGAGAAAGGCTCTCTTTCTCTCTCACAGTGATGAACAAACTTGGCACTTTTCTGTCCCGGATATACTCAAGCGTATCGTAGCAGAAGCATAAATTTTGAATGTAACCTTACCTTGTCTCTCACCCCTCTGTCTACGGCACGACACGGTACTTGTCGACGATGATGGGATGGTATTGTTGTCGATGAGAAGCAAAGAAAAGGAGGCGTTCTCCTGTTCCGCATGATCCTGGCACTGCGCGACTCACCCCTGGCTCTTGGCATGCAGGGTTCTTCTGTGACGAGGAAGTGGCCTATATATCAGCAACTCGCGCTGATTGGCTCGACCCACTTTTACCCCAGTCCCACCCCTTACCTCGAGTTGCTAGCAACTCCCCTAATGAATTTAGTTGAAATGTGCTTCAAATTCAAAAGGGCTTTAGGAATATAGTAATTTCTACTAAGGTCGCTAGCGATAACTTAATAAAGCTAAAGTTAACGTATAGTATAGCTATTATACTAAATTCGAGGTATATCTACTTACTCTTGCCTTATTGTCTATTGCTACCGCTGCCGCTACTACTACCGCTACCGCCGCTATAGTATAGATTACTACTAAAGGTCCTACTATTAAATAGCTACTACTATTCTTCTAATAAGTATCGTCGGTCGTTAATAAATACCCCTACCTACCGATTACTAAGTTGTAATATGTCTATTAGCGACTATTGTTATAGCGTATGTCTTAATAGGTTTAACGGCTATAGCGTCGGTATATCGGCGGCTACTATAGAGTAGCGAAGACCGCTTAGTATAGTAGGTATATATAGAAGGCGCTATTAGTAAAGGACCTAGCGTATTATATCTATTAAACTGCCGTCGTTTAAAGAAGGTATACTATATTAGAAGGTGCCGTCGCCTACGGCGTACGTATTTTATAGTACCGAGTTAGTTACCTACGTAGGCTTAAATTGCGATAGCGGAGAGGCCTAGAACGACAGCGAAGGATAGTAGTAACTGTTTCTATACTAATTAGTATAGAAAGTAGTCGCCGTATACTCTAGCGCGCGCTAAGTGCCCTCCTCTAGCGCAAATAGGTCCCTCGCCTATCGCGGTTATTATATTTAGCGAGGTTGTTATTACTAGTAGACTAATAGTAAGGCGCCTACGCCTATATCGACCTATGCCTATTAGATAGCAAATAACGTACTATTGTCGTATCGCTATCGATACTACTAGAGCTATTATAATAGCTCTACCGCTACCAATAGTCGCATATATTTAGACTAATACTATATAGCAATATTAGTCCGATAGGCGTATAACAAGTTAGCTAGAATAACCGCCTCTACCTACTTCGCCTTCTAATAATAGTCGTATATAATATTCTCGAGTATACTACGTAATAGAAGGTAACGGTCCTTCGTAATAGTGCGAAGAGTTAGACCCCGCAGTAGTTCGGGTTAGTTTAGTTTAGTTTGCTAAGCCGAAACTCTAGTTTGGTTTAGGTTAGTTTGCTAAGCAACTATATAAGTAGCTAGTTCGAACTATATAATTTATCGGTTTTTAAGAAGTGTACGAATGTATACGTAGCTTTAAGCAAGCCCTTTGTAAGACTTAGCAGTATAGCCGGCAGCGTAGCTAGCATTTTTAGTCCTTAGTACTTATAGAATTTTCGAATCCTACTTAGGCTACGTAGTTGTATAAAGGTACTTATATAACCTCAAATCTATAGACAATTAGCTAAGGGCACTAACTAATTAAAAGCATATATATATATATACAAGGTATTATAGTTTAGTTCGGAAACTGCACTCCTTAGGTATAAATTTCATCCTTTCGTTTACGGTTCAATTCCCTAACTGCTTAGTAGAATATCTTTATCTAGATCTAGGCAGAACTCATCGATTTCCCTAGAAGTCCTCCTTCTTAAGAAGTTTATACACTTTCCTACCGAACTATTCGATAATATTAAGTACTAGGATAGCTCCTCCCTCGGTATCGGTATAGTATATAAAAGAGCTATAAGGCAGCTCTATAGAACGTTCTACTAGTCACTCGCTATACTAAGGCCGAATACTAGTTCGTTCCTTAGAACTCTTAGTTATTTAGGAGATATAAAGGGTAGGGTAGGTAGTAACTTCGTATTATATAAGGAGGTAGAGGCTACTATAGAAGAGGCCTTTAACCTATAGAAGATAGTAAAAGATATAGAGGCAGCTATAGGTCTAGGTACCTAGTTGAATTTTTAGTAGGTAGAGTATAAGGATATTTAGAGGGAGTATTAGGTAGAGTTGCGAAGGTAGGTGTATAATATGCTCTAGAAAACAGGGATAGTGCCTATAACTATAACTATTAGGCTCTTCAACCTTCCTTATTTTTCCCTATTTTCTTTTTATAAAAATCTAAACTAATACAAATCAACCGGAATGTCTATCTTCTTTTAGTTCTTTAAAAAACCTAGTAGCGTAGCTAGTAGCGTAGCCGGCAGCGTAGCCGGCAGCGTAGCCGGCCTTTTTACTCCTTAGTACTAACGGGATTTTAGGAGACTTCTATTCCGTACGGCTAATAAAGTATACTATACTATATATATATGCTTAGAGAGTATTTAGAGCGCGGTATATAGCGCCGTATAATAGCGGCTTATTTCGTATATAGAAAAGCTTATAGATAACACTACGAATATCCTTTCTACTAGAATATCTATCCTACCTAGCACCGTCTCGAATATAGATATTCTAGCCTTTTAGAATCTAATCGAGTGCTTTAAAATCCTTGTCTATAATCGTTATACGCTTCGCGTAGATAGCTATAAGGTTAACCGCTAAAATAGTATTAGTATAGTCCGAAAAGAGGTAGAAGAGAAATATATATTCGAAGATACGAACTAGGTAGGCTTCTATAGCCTCTTAAAGGGCGCCTATCGCGGAGGCTTAGAAGCGAAGGTCCGTTCTATAATCCTAGGCAATTTCGCGAATAAGTCGTTAGAAAGGAGCTTTGCGGATTAGGAGCTAAGAACTCTTCTAATACTGCCGAATCTTACGGAGGGCTACGGCTAAAGAAGGATTAGTAAAAAGATAGTAAGAATGCCGGCTACGCTACCGGCTACGCTGCCGGCTACGCTACCGGCTATAAATAGGACTTACTTCCTAGGCGCTATCGACGCTTCGTACGATTGCTACTAGTAGTAGAAGCGCTAGTTATCGTCTTACGTAGAGCCTTGCCCGCCGTTATCTTACGCGGAGCCTTACTCGCGACGCCCTTTTTAGTACCGGAGCTAGCGGTAGTAGTAGCAGCCCTCTTACGTTAATATACTATGCTCGTTCTACTATTTCCGGTCTTATTACGACCCGTAGAAGCACTAGGTCCCTTCTTGCGAGGCGTCGTAACTTAGTTAAGTAGACTCGCTATTATAAAAGTCGTCGAATTGAGGAAAAAAGTGCGTTACGACGGTATACGAAGGCGCGCGCGGAGCGAGGGTATTACGGAGGTAGTAGATATAGAGCGTAGAGGTATAGGTATCGATACGAAGGTTGAATATAGCGGTAGTGTCGCGGTATCGCTAGGCAATAGAGTAAGCTTCGCGCAAGCCTATATTATAGTAACGTTAGAGCAAGGAAAGAAGGCAGGTACGGCTAAAAAAGGTAGATACGGCTAAAAAAGGCAGGTACGGGAGACTTTGAAATATAGCCGGTATATATAGCCGGCATAGTAATAGGCGAAAGCCTCCTTTTAATAAATAGCCGGCGTAATAATAGTATCTTACTATAGTATAGATATTCTTTAGTAATGCCTTTACTAGCTATAGTAATCTTATAAGTAACCTAGGCCTATTGCTAGTAAATATAAGAAATATTAGGTAGGCTATACTAAACAAGCTAGTTATTTAGCAGGAAAAGGCCTACTACCGTCTCTATATACCGGCTACGAGTGCCGGCTATCGCTCTAAATTCAACTCCGCCCTATCTCGGAGGCTAAGGTACCGAGCGGAAACCCTATAGCTTATATTTACTCGGTTGTCGCGGAGCGCTTCTAGGTAAGGTATTAGAAAAGAGTATAAAAAGTACGAGAAGAGTATCCTAGGATATAGGTCGTAAGTAAATAAGAGTAGTACGCCTAGTTATTTATATAGTACGTTACTCTATACGACTAAGAGCCTATATTATCTTATACTTCGCTTATAAGACCTCGACTCTACTAGTATACTATCGATCTCTTCCTCGGTCGCTAATACGCTATCTTAATTCTTCTTTAAGTTGCCGGACTTAGTGCGTATCTATAGCTATACAATAGCGCTACGTATTATAGAGAATTTCTCGTTAAAGTTTCTCTCTCGTAGGCTTGCTATCTACCTCGTAGTATAGAGGATTAAAGTACTAATACTAAAGAATCTCCTTATAGTTAGGATGCTAGGGCTCCTTAGGACCTTTGTGTTTTAGGTCTAAATAGAGACGTATTATAAACGTTCTATCGCCCTTTCGCTTACTATCCGCTAGGTCGCGATATACGAAGAAACTAATCTAAATGTAGCTCGTCTCTGTAATAGCCGGGTAAATATAGAGCGCTAGGTTTCTACTTCGTACCTTAGATTTAGGGACAGCGCGGAGATAAAATTAGAAATATAGCCAGTACCTATAGCCGGTAAAAGGATGCGAAAATAGGCCTCCTCCTAGGTTAATCTAACGACTAAATACAATTTCCAACTAATCCGCTATAAACCGACGCCGAATTTTAGCTAGAAGCTATATATCTTTATTTTAAAGAGTACCCCGCTTCGTATAGATAGTAAGGAGGTTTAAAAGCTTAAGCTCGGTTACGAGAAATGCCTCCGTAGCTTCCTAAAAAGCACTAATCGCCTTAGCCGTAAATCGTATACTAGACCGAAAATCTAATATAATTTCTCGGACGAGTCGCTAGAAGGGAGTCTTAGGGATTAAAAGCTCGGTCCCTCTTTTATTTTAGAAAAGCCGGATCTAGCGAAGGGTAATAGTACCTAGTTTAAAGCGCCGCTTCTTTATCGTCGAGTCCTGCCTTATTCCCTTTCTTTTAATAGAAAGATAACTTTTCTTCGCGATAGTCTTCGTCCGCC